GCCGGGGTGATGAAGCGCGCCTCTGCCGCTTCGTTGCCTGGAAAAACCAAAAAGCACGTTAAAAGAAAGTGAACCTGCTCACACTGTGCGCCCGAGCAAAGTCGCGCCACGTGCGCCACGGTCTCCACGTGAGACCAAGCTATGGTGGATTTATTGAGCACAAGTGTTCCGGCTGGGACACTTCTATTCTAAGGTCCCCTTGCCTGCTTGGGCTGGTTGAATCAAATAATGGGCTTAGCGGATCCTTCGCGCTCAGATCTAAGCTCTGGCTACTCATAAAATCAAACGAGGGCTGCGATCTGAGAACTCAGCAAATTTATATAGGTATCTGTAGTCACCTATTATTCTACTGGGCCGCAAATGAAAAATTAACCTATTGAAAAAATTCTGGCTACAGGCAGGAGGGACGCTGAGAGCGTTGGTCTAGAAAGGGTAGATCTGTTTTAGGAAACTGCCGTCGTCAGCTCTAACCAAGCGAGGCCCCACAAATGCCGTCCAGCGTGGGCAACAGCAACGAAGAAATCAGCTGCAAACTCCGCCTCTTCATGCACGTAACAATTCGTTCCATCCGTTGGGCCTTTATAATACACTGCGTCAACAAAAATCATCAAAAATTCAGATATGTCTCATCCTGGCAGCAAAAAAAGTTAATCGCTTTCGCGCTGCGTAGTTTTCACCACGCGCCTGTGATCCTTTGAAAAAATGGAGTGCATTCGCAAAAGTCGTTACATTCCTGGAAGAAGAACGAAGATCTTCAGCGATGACGAGTCCACATGCAAGCCTCTCCACCCCTCATATCCATCGAAGGAAAATGCACCCAGCGATAATTAACAAAATGAAGATAATTGCGTGGTCACTACCTCATGAACTTTGGTGACCGACGCCAATTGAGTTCTATGCTGAGGCACTGTTCATCTTTTAACCCGTTTCGCGGCAGGTGGCTGTGCCACTTCGTTCGACCTGTCAGGAGACGTATTTACCACAATAGCAGCCGTTAGATGGCTCATCATCACTGATTGTGCAAACGCAATCCTGTCAGCTTTGCTTTCGAGATATTAGCATCTGGCTGCTTCAAAACCAACGAACAGGTAAAAACAATAAAACGAAATTATACTACAGCTTGCTCGCGCCGCTCCCACTCTCCAGAAGCTCCTTGGCCATTCGAGCGTAAGCGCCGACGCAGGATCGCAAGTCGTCCACACCGATGTATTCGCGTGGACAGTGGGCGTCACAAATATCGCCGTGGCCGCAAAGTTAGAGCGACCCCGTTAGCATCCCTGACTGCATCCTTGGTCAGCTTTTCAAGTAAAAAAAGGACCAAGGATGACGTGGAGGATGCTGCCTTCAGTGGTAGCCTTAATAAAGGAAGGACTTTGTCCCCACTGAGGATTTAAAATACGGGATATCGGTATTGAAACACGCGGTACCAAAATTCCATCGTGACTTATCGAGAAACTTGTCTACATGAGTCAGGTCCACAGGGGCGTTCTGCGTGATCAGCTCGAGGTAAGACGTTAGACGATGAAAACTCGTCAATTACAACTATTGTATGGATCTGATCAAGCGCGGGAAAAGTGTACTGCGGTGGACAAACAGTACGACCACTAAAATCTCATAAGGGATCAAAAAATCAAACGCATCATGTGTCCCTTTCAAGAAGTCGAGGTCGTAAAATTCTATCTTCCACTCCCTTCTTCCCCTTGTCGAACTTGACACTTTCGTTCAACTCGCGCAGTATCGCCGACACAATGTCGTGGACGACTTTCGGCTCGGACACCAGACGGAACATGAGCATGGCGGACGCATGTTCTGCTAAGGCGTTGATAGCTTGTCCGCCTTCTATGAAGCCGACGTTGAGATCCGTTTCCCCGATCAGGTCGTCGCGTGGATAGGGCGCTTTGCGGATGCGCTCCAGGACGTCTAAAAGCAAACCAACGGCAGAGACTCCAAGGTGCGGGTAGCATCGCATGAAACTTGTTTCGTGAAAGCGCGAGGAAAGACGTGCTAAACAACGCTAATATCGCACGCCTTCCTCGCTAATATCGCGAGGAAAGCGTGCTAAACAATGCGAAGCCAACTTGTGGGAGGCATGTTGGTTGATCATCATGCTTGTTGTTTGGAAAACTAAGGATACATTCTACTTTCGGAAATCGTTATCGCAAAATATGAAAAATGTTGTGATACTTTGACCGAAGGAAACCCCGTTCTTCTAGAATAGTACCATTGAAATATGAGATTTCAATCCATTCCCATAGCCGAGTGTGCTGCCACTCCGCGACAAGTTATCCGCAGCTTTAGAATACCTTTCTGGAAGCGCATGACTCGTGCAGCAGTGGGCTCGCCCACTATCAGAAATTTCGGTTGCAGATTCAGAGCATTTGCGCGCTTCATGCCCTGATGCGTCGTCTCTTCTGAAACGACGAAAATGAAACCTATTTTCTCCTTCAATGCCGCGAGCATGGGCGACTGCACTGCCAAGAGCATGGCTGCCAACAGGGACTTCGTGTCACAGGAACCGCGGCCCGTTAGAATCTGCTTTGACGGATCTAGAGGATCGGGTTTCAACCCCGACGGAAAAAATGGCGGCACAACGTCAAGATGCGTGTTGAACAGCAGAGGTAATGAAGATGGCTGCGTGCCCTGTAAGTAATTCGCGATGAAGATTTGTGACTGAGGGAACAAAGTAGAACCATGGTACTGCGATCTGTTACTGTCGACGTATGTTTTAGTTTACATCATAGGCAAGTAACATTGACAAGATTCAGATTGTGTTTACCTTCGGCCATGCGAGGACGTTAAACCGCGATCCGAGGCCCTGTTTTCCCGTCTCTGGTTCTACAGGTTGCAACTGCACTTCATATCCATGTGCTTGGAACCACGTTTCCAGCGCACGTGCCATCGGGATCTCAGTTCCGGACACGGAGTCGATATCTATCAGCACTCGTGCCAACGCAAGCACGTCCGGACTAGCCTGTTTCAGAAGAGCCAGGAACGCGGCAGGCAACGGCTTCTCAACTGCAGCACCATTGCCGGACGCTGATGTCACAGATCCTGCTGGCCCGCTTGAAACGGGTGCACAAATCTCTGTCTGCGTCGACAGGTCTTCGCGGCGCCAGCACAGATCGCAGTTCCAACCACTCCCAAAAGGACCCCTGTCCCTGTGACCGCCGAAGCCGGTACTTGTAGCTGTGGAAGGCATTACAGTCAAACCGTCTGGAACCAAAGCGCGTGGAAGGAAAATGGGGCGCGGTCGCCATCGACCGCCGACTGCTGTGCCACAAATGACTTCGGATCCGGCCGCTGCATAGAGTGCCGCCGCCAGAAATTCTTCAGCTTTCAGTGTGTCGATGTTCTGCAGAACCGGTGCGCGCATATCGATCATCGTGAAGTCGCCATAGCATCCCTCTGAGATGCGTCCGATTGGGAGACCCATTGAACGAGCTCCGTTGACAGTCAGAACGTTGACCAAGTCCACCACAGAGAAGTGACCACGGCGCTCCGTCCACAATCTTTGGCCATACTCTAGCCACCTCGCTTCCTCCAACAGGTCAATGCGCAGGTTCGAGTCGCTACCGACGACAACCTAGGAAAAAAGAGGAATGCATTTGTTCTTTTTCATGGCTCATAGTGTTACAATTCTGCGTCAGATCCAATCAAGAACAGAATATGGTAGCAGGTGGAAGCAAGGACCAAGATGATCATCAACAATCATCAGCCTGTAAGTACTTGGTCTTTGCGAACTAGCCATCGTGGTAAGCCATCTGCCAAACTCCCCTCCGTGAGCGGACACACGCAGACGTTTCCGCCTCGTCCTTCCATGTAGTCGCGCATGTCTTTCTCGTTTGAATGGGTGCAATGGACTAATGTGCAGTTGGACATGTCCGGAACACCGGCATCCAGCAGGCAGCGGAGCGGCGTGCATCCTTTGTTTCCCTTGAGACACTGTTCGATCTCAGCGCGCTGCTCCTCTACGTGCATGTGAAAGACACGCTGCTCGGTTTGCGCATGCTTTACTAGGAGACCTAAGTCCTCCACAGTCAACGCACGGATCGAATGGGCAACGACACCCACTGTCTGTAGCTTCTCTATCCCCGCACTCTTGTTGTTTTGCGCGCACACACGATCTGCCGCGACCAGGCTCTCTAGTCAATGAATCAGAGCAGTTGTAATTCAAAGGGCTGCTTCTAGGGGAACTAAAATCGCTCTAGATAGTCGCTCAAGTACACTACAAATGAATTAGAATTTTTGGCAGCTACTGAGTCGACGGAACAGGTCTGTCTTTGCTCATACATGAACTTATCCACTCCTGGTGTTCGGAAACGCTGCTGCCCCGCATTCAGTTCCGGAATTTCCACACCACCTCTAGCGTAAAACGCCGATAGTAGAACGATCCGAATACCCGCTGTGGCAGCCGCTCGTAAGATAATCTCGTCATACTTATGCAGAGCATCTTTCTCTCCGTGATGGAAGTAGTGAAACTCGCCTACTGTCGTCACACCCGCATCTCGCATCTCGGTGAAACACTGAACGCCTTAGAGATCTAACTACAGACTGGCGTGTACAACTAAGAAGGGGCAGACTTGTCCATCAACGCATTCATCATTGCTCAACATCACAATATGATGCAGTACTACAACGTTTCCGACTTGCAAGGAAGATCATACGGAAGCTATTCACAGCTACTTGCTGAAGCATACATCAGATCAGCCTTAAGTACAATGCGCCTCGAAATCTTCATCGTTCAGAGTCGTTACTAAGCGGTGCATTTGCTGCCGCCAGGTCCAAAAGTCACCATCTCCCTCCTCCCCTTTGCCGCGAAGACCACGCTGAAAAGCGTGCGAGTGACAGTTGACGAATCCCGGCAACAGGATCGCATTCGGCAACTGCACTTTATCACCATCGGGCCCTATATTTCCGTTTACTTTGGGTTGTTTCTCCTGGGTTACTTTCAAGATTTTTCCCGACGTGTTACACACGGTAACGGCTACGTTCTTTTCAAGTCGACCACCAACCCAGGCTAAGCCGGGTAAATAGGTGGTCGTCGTACCCATGTGTTTTGCGCACACAGCTCTGCTACCTAAAGGCCTAAGCTTGACGAGTTAATTTCTCAATCAGGCGACGCACTTCCTCTTCCTCGTCTTACGTTTTTCCCGTCACCTAGCAATAATCGGTGAGAACTCCGGTTCTCTTGTCTGGCACCTACTCCCGTAAGAAACTTGGGTCCTACCACTATTTCTGAAGGTCGTGCTACTTACTGCTTTCTTCCCTTTTCAGCACAAAGTCAGTTTTGTGCACCAAGGAAGCTACTGCTTCTGGTACCACTTTCAGGCAATTCCGATTTCTGTGTATACAATACTCTCCTCAATCAGCTCAAGCCTATTCCTCTCAATTTTTTTGCGTGCGTGACTCTCAAAGTTTCTGTGGTAAGAGATCAAGAGATCCGTGCAAGCAGACTGGACACATCCACTTGCATCGCAAAACTGCTCAAGCAACTTACTTGCCACTTCAGTGTTGCGTTCGTTTTCGATGCGTGTGCGATTTTCCTGCATTTTACTCAAAAGCAAGTTGAAATTCAAGAAAACAGATGTCGCGCTCAGCGTTCATTTTCCATTATCCTCATCACAAATACGCGCTTTGCGCCAGAATCTTCATCGACGTTCGTGGCGGATGCAGCACCAAGCTGTCGCGCAAGCCGGTGTACCCTACTCCGGCTTGCGGCATCCATTTCAGGCGGGAATACTAGTAGCGATTCGAACTCTGCCACGCCCGTGAGTGCAAGCTCCCGCTTCAGAAAGTTCGAAATGTCACTATCATCTTCTCCCATGAGCTCTTCGGCACCGGCAACAGAGATGAAGTGTGCACCCTGCCACGTATCCGGATCAATCGCCAACAAGGCTGCACTGCCTTTTCGGACGCAGCTTTTGGCATCAGTCCTTAGACATTACTACTATCCACAAGGGCATTGAACTTGAAAAACGTTGCTAGTAATGCTACTTGCTGCTTGTGCGAAAAACCTCGACTCGTAGCTAAAGCGTAAATTGTGAACAATGCGTGTGAAGTGAAGCTCCTTCTTGGAGTTGGACGAAAAGAATGCCACAAGAAAGAACAATGACTTTAAGGATAGTTCTTGTTGTCATAAGTGTAAATGTGCACTCTCGCGAAGAAAGTCAATGTAGTCTCTGCGCACCAAGAACTTACTGCGATTGCGGCGGTTCGCGGCAACTCGTCGATCCTCTTCAGTAGCCGTGATTTCAGCGTCACGGTTCAACCTGTCCATTGTATGCATACCACCTACAGACACAAAAGCCATTTTTTCAGGCCGAGTCGAAAGTGTTTCCGGCAAGTCACCGTCATCCACTCCCAGAAGATCTGTCATAGAGAGGGATGTGCCACCTCCGTTCTCGTCAGCGTCGTCCTCGTTACGTTTCACATTTCTGCGATGGACTGCGCCCTTCCAACTTTTGTATAGATAGTCGGGAATCCCGTCGAGCCGCAGCTCAAAGAGCCATCCCAAGGCTTCGGGAGATTGAGAAACTAGCCAGGGCTCGTTGACTAGTCGTTCGTTCACTTTTGATACAACCCCACTGAGCGGCACCCGAATCTTTCCTTGTGAATACAGTCCTTCTAACGTGAAATAAGGCCCTATGGCGCGTATGCCTCCACCTGAAGCAGCGGGTGCCGAAGCAAACGCGTCACGACCGTGCCCGTCACCGATCAAGGCTAACTCCTTCGTTTCGGAATACTCTTTGCTCTCAGGACTCTCGTAGAAAACACCACCACGCGCACTTCTTAACGGCCCACCTTTGTCTAGATCCTCCAAAAGTCGGGGATTTTCTAATAGGTCATCGAAACTGAGAAATGTACGTCCTCCAGTAGCATTGCCTCTAAAGTTGTTGCTTCCCGCAGAGGAAGACCCTGCGGTTATATTCTCTCCCACCAAGCCAGAGAGAGCTTCTGCCCTGGCCTGGCCGCTCAAGGCTCTACCGTATGGTGCATGGAGTGGGGCATTTCGCCGTTCAAGGCGTTTGTTCAGTGCGTCGCTCTCCCGCAGTGAATCGCCTCTATCGAATCGCCTGTACCGAGGGTCCTTAGCCTTTCCCTTATTAGCGTCGAGAAAAGCCCCAACGCAAGGCAGCTGCACACGCGTGATCTCCGAGTTTACCAACTGTGCTCCCGTCCGTGTGATCCCGACCTCGCATCGCTGGGCCTTCTTGTGAACGCGCAGCCAAATGTGCGAACGTGTGTACAGCAAAATAGTGTCATTGGCAGGTGACTTCGCTCCGCGATTCGCGCGCGGAGACGTCCATGAGGGGCTGCCCAGAGGTACACTCATTCGAGGTCGTGCGCCAGCGTGAGCAGCGTGAGTCACCAGCGCGCTAGCGGACGTGGCACTACTCATTGTGCTAGAAACTGGTGAAAAAAACTAGTCAGATTTCTTGCTACAAAAATTCCAAAACAGGTGGTCCTAAAATGCAATGGTGAGATAAATCCTGCCTGAAGATGTCATATCCCCATCCCGCATTTCGAAACCTGAATACATGAAAAGATCCTGCTGCACAGCGGTTGCATACGTCTTGAACATGAACACTTAATCAGAAGTAGAGATATTCTTTCATAGGTGTACAGCCGGTTTACATTATGACTACAATCCCATCTATCTAGAGCGCGAATGGTGCAAATGGGGAACGAATATTCTGGTCTGCAGAACAAAAAGGTCAGTACTTTGTGTCTAGTACGGATTTCCGAGGACAACGAGAATATTTCTATGTCAGGACGTTCTGGACCCCATTTTCTCGTTTTGAGCCATGCTTTCGTGCTGGTGAATGCGTCTGAGTGCTGGTCCGAGTCTGTCTTTGAAATGCCCTAGGCGCGTGAGCAAAAACGCGAAACTTTTAATTTCTTCGAACAGTGCCTGCTCTTCTGCTTCTATGATTTCTCGTCGTGCAGTTTTCGGGATTCCTGTTTTCGGCATCTCTGCCTCCCTTTTGGGCGCCGTCGCGCTCTCTAACTTTTTCCTAGAAACGGTTGTTAGATGGCCGTCGGGTTCTGCCGCCACACAGACTCGTATCTGAAGGAGTTCGGAAGACATTTGTGACTTAAGCTTTAGCGCCAGTAAGCTCTCATTATCCTCTGTCACGTGTTATCTTTTCTAGGCTGACCATATTTGAATCTTTAGTTTCCAAGAAGCCAGCTGGGCCTTGCTCGCCGTCCTGAGACACCATAAAGAAAATGAACTCTTGCTAGTTTCATAAGAAAGAGTCCACAGCAGCTCGGTAGGTGCGCGTGCACTTCCATAACCGTGATATATCTCCCCACAGCCTGCGCGCAACTGCTTCATGCCACACTGGGTTGTCTGCTGTGCAGACTGCAGGCGCGCGCAATGTCGTTGTTCCCCGTCCTGTATTCTGCGTACTGCTACATCGCGCACGTACCGACGAGTCCATTCTGCTACAATCCTTCTCCCTCTCGTATCTATCAACGTCAGAGGTGCCGTACTCGTCAGAGAAACACAGCGTTACGCTCCCGAGCCTCTTACTAGCAACGTGTTTAGGTCCTTTCTGATCTGTCATCAAAACCTTGACGCAGAACCAGAGCTCATGGCTTCTCAACATGCATGGCAAAACCTTAAATGAGTTGGGATCTGCTGCGTCCACATCAGTTGTATACGATAGTATTTAAGATTCGACAATAAATAAGAATGAAGATGACACCACAGCTCACATTAGTCATCTCAACATAGTAGTCAGTACTTTCCTACTTTCTAGAAGTATGTTGATAAATGGTTTTCTTCAACATGATCGCACGCGCTTCAAACTAATAATTAAGATTAAGATTAAGAGATTTCTGGCTTACGAAAGGCAGCGGCCAGGGCTCCAGAAGTCTGGGCTCAGAAAACATCAGTGCATTTCACAGACAACAAGAAAAAGACAAATGGGGAAGCCACAGACTATCTAATATTAGGAAACTGTTCTATTATATGGATACGAAAAGGGATACTGAAGGTTACAAGACAAGACAAAAAAAAAAAAAACCTGGATACTGAGAAAGGGAGCCGGATCTGCTTCAAATGATTTGAGGCAAGGAAGAACGAGATGGAGACCACAGCCTAAAACCCAAAAGCCTAAAAACCTCAACGAGGGTAATTCTTGCCAAAGAGAGAAATAAGAAAGAGTAAGAGATGAAGCAGAAGTATTGTTTTAGCAGGTAATCCACGGCTTAGATTGTTTAGTAAATCGAACGAATGTAAAAAAATAAAACGCTAAAGCTTTTGTTTTTTTTTTTGCATTTCCTCATGTATATAAAGCGAAAGACGACACGCACCATCTCATCTGTGTCCTACCGCTCCCCGTTTTTGATCGATTGGAGGAGGAGCTGGCGACGTCAATTCGACCTAAAGTCTACAAAAAAAGTAAAGTAAACTCCTCAGCACGAGATCCATCTCAACCTCACACACCGAACCAAACGACAAGCCAGGCTATGAGCGCACTCACCTTCATCACGCGACCTTTCGATACTTGAACACTCACGGTATAACTGCACCCGGTGGCGCAACCGGGCCAGGCGCCGCCTTCTTCAAGTTGTTGCGCCGTGGGCGGATCTTGGTGGACGCAAACTTCTCCGGGTCTGCTAAGATCTCCTCCTTCAGTGCGACCGCCTCGTGGTACGCTCTGAGCGTGTCATTGCCATGAGCAGCAAGCCGAACATCCTTCTGTATCACTCGGCGGAGGCCCTGGAGGCGGACTGGTACCGATACCACCAGCGCCGTGCGAGCTTCTGACCACGATATTTGAACCGGTAGTTTCAAAGGAACACCTCCCACAGCAGGCTGGTCCGCGCCCGGCACTTGCTTTTTGCCTCCTCCACCTCCTGCGCCTGCCAACAACCGCTGCGGCTTCCTGCGCGAAGCCTTCTCGGGAGCAGCGTTCTTCTTCGGTTGCGTCAGCAAGGAGGCAAAGAGGGCCTCGGAGTCCCGTTGCTTGATGATTCGCATATGTTTGAACGCCGCCGCTGTGGAGCGGAACTTTCTCCCGGAGCCTGGCACTGGTAGTAAAGGCACGGAGTCCTGAGGCGGCGAGCGTGATGTAGCCGAGGACATCTTCTACAAGTTCTGCAGGAACACATATCATTTGACAAAAAGTTCACACCAGTCAAGCTGATATCAATATGAATGACACCATAAGAAGATTCTAAACAAGTTCGCAAGAGTGACCCCAAACGAATCCTCTGGTGTTGAAGTCTTTACTGTTCTAGAAATCTAAAGTAATAGTTCCGAAATTGTACTCTATCAGTAATGTTCTGAACATGATGAGTGTTCTTCAAAAATATTCACCTCAACAATTGTGACAACTACAACTGTGCACGAGACTCGTCGAATACTTACACTGAGGAGCCACCGGTTCTATAATTAATAGGATACAAAGCCATTGCAAGACTCTATTGAGAAGAGTCTTTGCATTTGTGCTATACAAGGAAGAGGATTCAGCATAATATCTAGGGTTCCTCTATACCTATTCTGGTCTTTCATACATTGGAAATGCATCAGTGTAGGGACCCTATGTATGACACTACTAAAAAAGAAACTACAAGACAACTAAGGTTACAACAACATTTAGCAGGTCTTTAGACTTTTCTTAATCATCATCATCATCTCGTTCTTTAGAAGTTGTAAAAAACAGACTGAAACTGGTAGACGTGGTCGCAAAGCGAGCCACAATTTCTCTATTTAGATGTTATCAATAGGAATCAAATGACTGGATTCTTACGTATTATACGAACAAGAAGATGTAGATGAACGTTTCTTGCAATAAGACAACATCATCTACATTAAGTACTCAAAAAAACTATGTTAGCTTTGCTGGCTGTTGTGCCAATCATTGCTATTTTTGAGTTTGAACTCGAAGACATTCTTGAGTAATTATAATGGATCGAAATCCGTTTGCAATGAAAAGTATAAAGAACAACGACTGAGAAGATTACTTCGACTGCGTCGATCTCCACAATCTTGATAGCAAGCTCCATGCTTGTTATCAAATTCCATGATGCCAAGCACCATCAATCTCCATGCATACCCATCAATCTCCATGCGTGGCCCACCTCCTCCATCGCTAGTTCTGTAATCGGAAGCCTCCCGCACCCCCGAGGGCATTTCCTTGCTGTCGGTGCAGACACCAGGGACAGGTGCCATATTTTCGCAAGAATGCCATCCAATCCTCCCGATTCGCTAGGGATCCACAATCACTACACTGCACTTGCATGTGCCGCAAAACCGGTTGGCCAGTTACTACGCAGGGCGAACATTAGAGCACTTCATGGTCTTGTTTAGCTTGACCATAACGGTTACGGGCTAGCACCTTCCTTATGATGATCCATATTGCTTACTCCTTGAAAATTTTGATTGAATCCTGGTTGCCTGCTCTTTGAAACAAGAAACGAAACAATATGCGGCGAGACCGAATGATCATACAGATGAAGCTCTTGTTCTAGTATGAAGGCTTTCATAAACGTTAGTGGCTCCGCACCCAGCCGTGCACTTCAATGCTGCGCTATAGGTTGGCTTTCCACAGCTATCGCATTTCCTTGTGGGGATCTTTTGCTCGACGTTGGGACTCACCGACCAACCCAACACGAGCTCGCGGATATCCTCGTTCTTGTCATGAGCATTAGAACAGTTGTTGAGTCATGATAAAAATTGTTGAGTCATTTATCAAACGAAACGACGAAAGCAGCAACATTTCATTGACAGGATGAAGATCCTAGCTAATTAGACTACTAACATTCCTGTACGCGGCTTACTATATCATATTTAGGGTTAAGATGAGAGAGAAAGAAAACACACCCAGGCAAAAAGGACACGGACTTTGGAATAGATGACAGCATTGTCCCTTAGGATTCTAGACTCCATGCATCACCATAACTGACAAAAACGGCGTATCCGGGATTTCGAGGTCTGCGGGATTCGGAATGTCCGTTTGTTCGAATTCTGCGTTGTCCAGATGCGCCATTTCATCCTGGATGGCGTCCACGATGTCCAAGTAGCGATTTAAGTACAGGAAACTGCTGGAAATTTGTTCTGCATCCTTCGCGTCGACCCCGGCGTTATAAAATGTGCGGTCCACTGGCAAATGCGTCGTGTAACGGAGGAGCGACTCACTGGTGCGCGCCAGGACCTCTTTGGTGACCGCCTGACTGCGCATATGCAAAAAATGCGCCGAAAGCAAATATTTCACGAGTTCGCTGTCACTCTGGATGATGTCGCTGACGCTCATCGGCGTTGCACTGGAATTGCTGCGGCCCATGACCACTTGGAAGAGCAATTCGCGCGCCATCTCAATCTTCTTGGCGTTAGTATCGACACACAGAAGATTCTGCGCAATCACTTGGTACAACGCGGTTGTCTGCTTGTTCACTGGCGGAGCGCCGTATCTGGAGGAGACGCTTGATATTTTGTTACACTGACTGCGTTAGAATCTGTTCGACAAGAGTTCCCCTTTTTGCTTTTGATACACTGCTTTAGAAGTTGTTCAACAAGAATTTTCCTTCTTCTAATAGGAACGACTATACACATCACACAATACCAAAAAATCCTACCTGTTCAAGACTTTGCATGCTTCCGCTACTTTTTCGCCCTGGCCACCGCCTTGCAAGAGTAATTTCACATGCTGCAGGACATAGTGGCTTAGAAGCTCTGGGTTCTTCTGTTTCTCTGCCAACGTGAGACATTTGCTCCAGTCTCCACTTCGCGCGTACATGTCCAAGGCTGTCGTGACATCCCCAGTCTTCCGTATCAACTCGTCGCCGTCACCTGCCTTGACGATATCGCTTTTGTATCTATTAGATCTTTCCGGAATCCATCCTTAAGGGTATCTTGGTAGTGTTTACCGCTTAGAATTATACCGCTCCTTCTAGATGCTTCTCAAAATGGAAAATTCCTGTAACCAAGCCATAAATCTACTTTCGATCACCGACAGCATCTGCGGCATGCTTTGCTGAGCAATCTGCTGCGCTTTAGTCCAAGCCTGACAGCTCATGAAAGCTTCAATAGCCGACTTCGGGTCATCAGCCTCCACGAAAAGCTGTGCGGCAGATTCGTGCCGTCCGATCGCATCTGGTCAATGATGCAGAGGAGTGATTCAAAGGCCATTGATGATGGCATTTGTTGGATGATGCAGAGGAGTGAAGATTCTGAAACGACAACATCTGACGTCCGATGGCATCTGGTCAGTTTGTTACATGATGCAGAGGAGTGATTATGAAACGAGGTAGTTAGCTACTAGTATAGATACACAGAGGAGTGAATGTGATCTGTGAAGATGATTATCTGTGACAGGAACAGAAACAAAGTGATCGTGATTTCTATAACAAGTACTAAGTCTCCTCGCCACGTCTTCGCATACGACTGGATATCTGTCGCCGGGTGAGTGCTTCATAGCGATACGCACCGCGATTTCCCATATTTCTTCCAACCGGGCTTTGTCGCTGCACATCTTCTCCGTCACCATGAGATAAGAGTCGATCGCCCGTGTGTAATTTGACGTTTCCTCATAAACTTTGGCCCGTTCCAATACGTCTTCAAGCTCTCCCCTGCGACTACTACCAGCGCTGCTGCCCCGCTCGCCACGGCTGCCGAACGAACTCACCATCGTGCCCCCGGGGGCAGCTGTTTTGGGAATGGGCGTGGGAATGGAAGTCGGAATCAAGGGGGTCCTCTTCCATTCCAATTGTGATCTTATTTAGGATGGAGGTCGGAGTCGATCCCGGTCATCAAATTTTCATCATTTTGAGGGTGAAGTACTAAGAACTCAACAAGCAATGACTCAAAAATGATTTTCGAGGAGTACCTGCACTGCTATCCATGACATCTCCCAAGATCTGTGGACAGTGCTTTTTTGAAACGCGAATTGCGTCATTGACCATCCCCCTCTGCGAATACATTTGCACTGCTAATTCTGCTTCTTTTCCTTGCACGAATAGCGACTCGGCTAAGCGAAGCTGCTGCTCACCTTTATTTCTATGTAGTACAACTCAAAAACGTGACAAAGCGCCAAAGCTGGAAATAGATCTACAAGTAAATCTCGAAGATCACATGCATCAACATAGCCATTTCTCACAGCTCAACAACGCTGCATGCCTGCTACAGATATTTGAACCTTTTTTTTCATGATGATGACTAACTTCATCATGAAATATAAACTTCACTGACATTGATCACATTGATATTGGTTATCACATCCCAATCTCGGTCCTATGCATTACTTCCTCCACCACATCACTACATCTACACGTAGAGCTACTCGTTCTCCGTGACAAACAGAAACACATAATTATACATACCAGCTGCCTGATCAGTAACAATGTCACGAGCTTGCGCGACCATGACTTCAGCTTTTGCTTCTCTATCGTGGCCTTCGGCGACTCGCATCGCGCTCACCCAATCCCTCTGGTGCGTCCACATTTCTATGGCTTCCCTAGGCTTCCCTGCCATCAAAAACTCTTGTTCTGCCTCCGGAAACCGCTCTTCATCCTCAAAAGCGAGAGCGCGCTTCAGATGGATTTCTTGAACCTTGTTGTTGCTGTTGTGCATATTTCTAACTTCTATTTTTTGGGACGACATTATTCATTGATTTAGCTAGTATGTTTTTAAATAACCCTAAGCTAAGACAAGAAGACCTTGTCAAGAACTTCTCAAGGAAGTCGCGGACGACGAACATCAAACTGGTACGAAGTAGATCACACAACGCGTTGCTGTAGAAAGTTCTTCTGTTTACCTTTACCTCGAAGAGTGATAAAAAATAGGACCAACCTTTCCGGTCAGCCCTGCTATTCGCGCCAATTCGAAAGCATGCTCGAAGTTGTTGTGCTCAACCGCATAATCGATCGCAATCTCCTGCAGGCCATGCTTAGCAAGCAACTGCGCTCCAGCCTCTGCACCAGACTCTTTGAACACTGCATGCGCGTGAGCGAGAACGACCTAGATGAGGGGATTGAAATCGTTCTTCTGATGGAGTTCCAGTTTATTCACCGCATAGTTTGAAACTCATAACACATGTTCTCATAGTCAAAGAGTAACGACTGCAATGAAAGTCCGCTATCGACTTCTAGTTGCAGAAGGAAACAAAACAAAAACTGACTATACCTTCTCGAACGCCTGTTTTCCACCGTGTGTTTTTGCTACTCGTTTCGCGTCGTCCCAGGACTCGATTTGCCTGTACATGGAGACGGCATTAGTCCAGCACTTGGCTTCAACATAGTAGTGCTCTGCCCGCTTCAAGTTTCCTTTGGCCTCGTACTGGCCCGCAATGTGCTTGTACGTGTCAGTAAGAAGCTCCTTCCGATATTTCGCCACTAAACGCAACATCTGTTCATACTCCTCGCGCTTCTTGTACATATTGATCGCCAGATCATGGTCGTCGACAGCGAGGTGAGATGAACGGACGAGGATCAGGACTCAAGTAAACCTCCTTGTGAGATCTCAAGTTCTTCGTGAAGATGTCAGGTGATGTGCAAAGACTAATAAATTCATGGGGAAACCGAAATACGACAAACGAGACATAAAATTTCTGAAATATTCTAGACAACATATAAAGCGTCTATTGTCTTGTGTTGATAATTGTCCAAACCGTGTGAGCAAAAAAAAAACGCCAACAACATAAATACAGCTGTTCCGCTTCAGCCAGTTTTGCTCCGGCCTCTGCCTTCTCGGCTAGCATTATGTACAGATCCGTCCGCTCGCGTGGCGATAAGTGGCGCGCTGCCACTCTCTGAGCCTTGTCGTACATTTGGAAGCTGATGTACATCGTCACCGCTTTCTGCGGCTTTCCCGCTTTCAAGTATCCTCGCTCTGCCTGGTCGAATTGACGACCAGTGATTAGAACAAGGAAATTGAGTTGTTTAACTTGTTGAGACTTCATAAGTAACGTGCGGCGCATGAAAATCTGATCATCACTGTTTCTGATTTACAAGAAATACACTATGAATATCCTCAGTCCTCACTGTCTGTAGTGACTTTTCTTGGTTGAGCACCACAAAATCTACACGTTCATTCTGTTAGCAATGACTTCTTCTTTCTTGTTGTCCCACTTCTACTCAAATGTTTACTACATGTGTTCTTATCCATAGCTTTTCATAGAACGTCGCGAGTTTCTCGTAGAACGGAAGAGCGACACTGCTCTCTGCATGTGTGCTTTCTAGAAGCTGCTCTGCCTTGTTCCATTGTCGAGCGCTGATCGCCGCATCGATGGCCTTGATGCTACATCCAGCCTCAATGTAGTGGTTCAACGCACTGTCCATCTGCTTCTGCGATACTGGAAAATGAAAAGGAGAATGAGGATGAGAAAAAGGCTTGCGCTTGTGACAGCAGTAGAAGAATGCATTCAAAATAGTTGACTTCCCTTCGTTCTACTTTACACGAAAAGTGAGGCAGGCAGCAGGGCGAGGCACGCAGACAAGGATGAAAAAAAAATCACATCCAAAGTTCATAAAAGTAGTCTCCCCACTCTTCTTCTAGTCTGACGACCAGTCCAGGTTGGTTCTGTTTCGCTAGCTCCACAGCCTGTCGGTACGCGTGGCCCTGGATGTAGGCTGCCATCGCTTTGTCTAGCATACCCATTCGCTCATACAAGGCACCAGCCTTCTGACTGACGCCACTTGTCTCGAGAGCAGTTGCGATCCGCTGCAGCTATCTTAGAAGTGGTGGAGCGATGTGGTGAAAAACTGGGGTCTCGTTTACATTCCTTGCTCTTATTATTGGGCACAGTTCGTGGTGATCATTCATAATTGACTACATTATAGGATGAAGTTGTATTCCATGGCTAAAAAGAACCTTATCAAACCCCCACCACATACATAGTTTTACTCTACACCAATAAATATGTCTTGTCCCTTCTGTCTGTTCCTTTCTAGCCTTAACAATTCTTGAGTGTAATTAAAGTTCGAGTATCGTTCGACCAAGGCAGCGGCCTTTGCCGCCATGCCTCCTTTCAAATACAACTCGATGGCCCGCGCGTAGTTCCCTTCCCTCTCTTGCAACTCGCCGGCTCGCTCTTCCTGTTGCGTCGACAGTAGTTTGGAGGACTTAGTTTTTTCCACCCAGCCGGACCATCTAGGCTCCCCCGCAGCTATAAACTTTTACAGGGAGAAAAGGGGGGCCGGGGTGGCCTCAAGGATGGAAAAAACAAGGAAGGAAAAAACGATCATCCATAAATAACCACTGCAGATAGTGGCTCTTCAGCTGCAAGACGTTAGGATGACCCTTTTTTTCCGCCAAGCGAATGCTCTCGTCATACTTGTGCAGCTCCTGGTACATCCCCATCGCCTCCTCTAGCTGATTCGCATCTAGAAGGATAGCTTCTGCTCGATGAAATTGCTTGCTCAACATCGCCATCTTCGCTTGGACGAAGGTTAGAGAAGTTAACTGGTCGTGACCCATCTTCTATGCACTAAATCTTTTTCTTTTCTTTGGGTTATAATTGCACAAGATTAAGCTATCTATCGCTATCCAAAGCTTTTTTTATCAATACCTCACACTATATCGAATTATTGCCCCCGGCCCCGCTCATCTCCATAACAAATAATGATAAGCGCCCGATGTCGTTCCTGGTTCCGAATTTTCTTCGATGAGGCGATTCACGTTGTGGATATACCTTGCTTTCGCGACGTCTCCGAGCACAGCATAGCTCTGCTCCACTACTGGCAATGCATCAATTAGAGACGCTGTCATCCCGTTCTTTTCCTACTTCATCTTAGTGTAGCGAACCGTTTGAGGACAAACGTAAACTCATCGAGGTCAAATATAAGGATCAATTCTTTCTCTGTTTTCGGCAGTGCATTCGTTATGAAAGTATCGATAGCCATAAATCGAAGTCGTCCAGTGCCACTTTGGCCAGATTTCGCCATAGGCTCTCCGTTTCAGGAGTCATCGGCAATTCCTCTAAGATATCCACAGCTTTTCCATATTGCTTTTTGTCAAGACAGGACCCGAAGTTTATCAATGCCTCATCCAGCTCGTACTCCACAGTGTTCACGCCTTCGTCGACCTGTCAAGTGTAGGTGTTCGATTGTCTAACTTCTCTAGGAATGGCATCTTACGTTACAATGTATGAAGAAACAAGTGGACTCGTTAGATAGTCTTTTTGTTTCTACTCTAAAGAGGTATGTTAAACAAGTTGAAGTTGTTCCAAAGACCCTCGATCATGACCTTGACGAGCACGTTGAGCACGTAGGCGAAGCAACTAGCACCGCTCAGTCTCTCACACTCAATCACATTGGAGCAAAAAGCCGAGGACGCAAGCATGCGCAAGCAGGAGCATTGAGAAAGGAAGAGAGATAAGATAGTAACATAGATAACAAACTAGCTAATAGAAAAAAGATGATGCTTCAGCCCATGGCGTCCCACCCCCCAGACCTCTACTCTAAAGAATAAATTACCAAAATTATCGCATCACAACAAACATCAAAAATCAATCAAAAAAACATACCGACACAAAAGTCCTCCCTTGTGCCCGCTCGATGTCCTCGATGTCTCCCTTGATTTCGTGACAAGTCACTCGGTCTGTGTTCTCCAGAATCGAGTACCACACACACAGCTGGTTCCTATTTTGTGCGACCACGACGTCGCTATCGGGAACCCAATGCACGTAGATGCATTAGACAATACATCTCAACCTATTTTACGACTTCTGAGTGACACTCGTGCATGACAGTTTGTATACTACCTCATTGAGCCAATCAACTTGTACTCGCGCCTGTTCTTGCAGATTGATAATCCTCAATTTATTTGCACTACTTACACTGTAATTCATACACAATAAAGTTCCTTCGACACACACACACACACACACACAACCAGCCCTAATTGCAGTAGTTCAACAAGGTCGTTCGCGTCTGTGTGGCAACGTTGTACAAGTGCAGCTTTTTCCTCTTGTCACGGAACAGGATTCGCGAGGCACTTGGATTGAGTTCAAGCCAGTCGACTTTCTGATCATGTGCGACCGTGGCGAGGATCTGCTGCGTGGCCAGATTCACGAGTCGGATGGTCTGCACATCGAGCAGATAAGCGATAACGCGAGTAGGAACGTCGCCGGCACCATCCGGAAGGGGAGACATGAAAGGATAGAAAACATTGTGTTGTTGGGTTCTGCGAGAGAGGATACTCAGATCTATCCTGACGTAGTTGAGTTTCTTGGGGGACAGGTCGTTGCAAATTAATACTAACTCAGAACAAGAGAATAAACGTAGCTTGAAGGATGAAATCTACTGGAAGCTATCCCCGCTAGTGTAGTAAATGAAAAAGTCTCCCCCTCGGTCTGCTCATACCTCCATTAGCTCCTGCCACCGGGACTTCGGCTCGCACTTGGATGGATATCAGATGTGGCGACATGTGCTCCGTTCTGGCATATCCCAAAATCTCGTTCTGGCCGTATTCTATTATCGACAACTCGCCCGCACGAAAAATCATGCACACCAAAGGGTTATCAAAAAAGTATTTTTCATCTTGCCCCGAGCCCTGCCATGGAATTTCGCTTAGCTTGCAGCTCAGCAAGTCGCCGTGAGTATGAAGAAGTAGGATCTGAATTGTCGATGAAATCAAGAATCATGTCAAAAATGCTGGACGAGTAGCTGGCTCATTTAAGTGTTGATAATTGTTCTTAATTCTACACGCGCCATGTCTTGACCCGTATGAGTCTCCAATTCAAATAAAGGCGAGGACCTCCCGTCAATTTATATTATATATAACAAAAGAAAGATACTACTCACGTGCATATGGACGGCCAAGAAATTTCCTACTTCCCATCAAACTAACAATATATATAGTCATAAAGCAAGAGGCTCTCCACAGTATGCGCGACCAAGTAGCGTTCCTTGTACACGTTGATCTTCTTGATTTCGTAGCCCACGTTCGATTTAAGCACGATGCGCGATCCGGTCGAGAGATTCTTCACGATCACTTGAGACAGCGAGATGTACGTGAACTCGTACTCGCCCTTATATCGTGCCCTTTTGATGCACGCGTCGAACAGCTCGACCGACCCGCAGAGTGTTCCCATCAACAAGCGACTGCCGTCCGGACGCCAGCAAAGCGACGTTATCGTGTACAAGTTCGGCACTTCTTTGACCGCAACTTCTTGCCATTCTCTGTTGCGCGCGTGCCAGGCAAAAACAAAATAACGATTATAGTTTCCAAGCACTACGCTCTCGCCACTCGGATTGAATCGGCAACAGGAGAACTCTTTGACCCCCTTCATGGTACCGTAGTCGAATGTACGCGCATCTCGGCCTGATATGCAGAAGTGAGTAAGAATAGAAAAATCAAGAAACAAATCGTGCGACTATTTCTGATTTTTGTCACTCCTGGATCCTCGTTTGTAAAAAACATCACAACAAAGAGTCTTTCTCAGTTTGAATCACAGCAAATAACCAAACTGCTCACCCTCCGGACTCCAGAAGCGCACAGTCTGGTCGTTTCCTGCTGCACACACGCCTGCTGCGCCCCATCCAACGCACGTAATCGCGCATTGAGGTACTCGGATGAATTTCTGCGTGATAGGGCCGCTGTTCTCGGTCTCGAACGAAAATTTGTGTATGCTGCCGTCCACGTGACCAGACATCACGCTGTTCCCGTCCCCACCAGGACACATGCACATAACGAAGGAATCCGTTGAGTACAATAAAGCAGCCTTGTTTGCGGAAATTAGAGCACGAGAGTTTTTGTAAGTTGATTCCGTTGTGGATCTCAGAATTTCAATGATCGTTCCAGAGGTGACTAAAAAAGGAACACTAACTCCTTAAAAAAAGGAAGTACATCCTTACCGCTTTCCAAGAGAACATGACCTTAGAAATACAAGAAAAGTTATCCAGCACTCGTATGAACCAAATGAAATCTACCAGCTTTCATCGATCTCATAACTTGAGTTGTCCGACTTTGACTCGGCCTTCCGCAAGACCGAAGACGATTTCGTTTGGGTGCTTGCTCGGCCAGCACAGACAGGTTACGCAGCTAGTTTGTGGGAATTTGTTACAGATACTTTTCCGCTCTTTCCATTCGGCACCCAATTTGTAAACGAAAACGATGTTGTCGCTCTGCGCAATCGCCAATTTCGTCGAGTCAGGTGAGAAATCGAGAGAGGAGTTAGAGAAACACTCTACAACTACTTCTAGGTGAAGGGGCTTCAACGATACAAGTGGTGTAGGCCTGCCGGAATGGACGCAAACGATAGAGAAACGCTTACGTCACAACATTAGATCATCTTCGAGAGAAGACGTATGCAGCAAGAACCTAGAGTTACCTATTTATTATTGCGACATCTGTGAACGCGCACTCCATGGTAAAAGGAGAACGCGTCGTCTGGTCTCGCGTAAGGGGAATACCAACTTGCATTCAATTTGCATTGGCTTGAGCAGCTTCAGAAGCTCTTCATATCAAATCTTCAGTGTTAAAACTGGCAGAAGTCTTAACTTTAACAACGAACAACTTCGTCTCCTTGTCGCCGGGTTTTGTCGAAAAGCGGTCCTGCTTTTCCCCTTGTTCGTCGTAGAGATGTACTATGCGATCTGTCGAGACGACTGCCACCTTCTGGTTGTTAGGACTCCACGTACTCGCAGAGATTTTCTGCATGCCATCCTGGGGCGCCTGGAGGTTTTTCACGTAACGCAACTGCATTTTGCCACGACGTCGGCGTGATTAACGACAATCAGCTGTAGGAAGCCGCTAGCTCCGTAGTCAGCGACGATCGAAAGACAGTGCGTCTCCTTTCAAGGTACGGCTCTTCTTGCGACAACGATCGGTCAGGTGTGGATCAATTGTATCTTCGGAGTTGAGTGAGAGGGAGAGAGAGACAGAGGCTCTGAAAAGCTTCCAGAAAATCTCTCTCAGCCACGCGTTTCCCGTAGCCCTCTTCCGTGGACGCGTTTTCGATGTTTCCGTCTACTCAACCGAAGCAGCAGGTGACGTGCTTTCCCGCGTCGCCTTGCTGCGCCGTGCAACGAACATCCATTTTCCTAAATCAGCCACATATTTACAATTTTTGTTTCGCGCATTTATCATATCAATAATCTTGAATTTCATTTCCACCTTGTCCCGTTTGTCTGAGCAAAAAATTTTCGAAAGAAGAGGATGGCGTTTTTTGCTTTCCTTTCAAAACTTCGCACGTGCACCTTTTTGCTCTCCTCTTCCTTTCATCATCTTGCACCTCTCCTTTCATCGTCTTGCACCTCTCCTTTGATCGTCTTGCGCCTCTCCTTTGATCGTCTTGCGCCTCTCCTTTGATCGTCTTGCGCCTCTCCTTTGATCGTCTTGCACCTCTCCTCTCATCGTCTTGCACCTCTCCTCTCATCGTCTTGCACCTCTCCTCTCATCGTCTTGCACCTCTCCTCTCATCGTCTNCGCATCTCCTTTCATCGTCTTGCGCATCTCCTTTCATCGTCTTGCGCATCTCCTTTCATCGTCTTGCGCATCTCCTTTCATCGTCTTGCGCATCTCCTTTCATCGTCTTGCGCATCTCCTTTCATCGTCTTGCGCATCTCCTTTCATCGTCTTGCGCATCTCCTTTCATCGTCTTGCGCATCTCCTTTCATCGTCTTGCGCATCTCCTTTCATCGTCTTGCGCATCTCCTTTCATCGTCTTGCGCATCTCCTTTCATCGTCTTGCGCATCTCCTTTCATCGTCTTGCGCATCTCCTTTCATCGTCTTGCGCATCTCCTTTCATCGTCTTGCGCATCTCCTTTCATCGTCTTGCGCATCTCCTTTCATCGTCTTGCGCATCTCCTTTCATCGTCTTGCGCATCTCCTTTCATCGTCTTGCGCATCTCCTTTCATCGTCTTGCGCATCTCCTTTCATCGTCTTGCGCATCTCCTTTCATCGTCTTGCGCATCTCCTTTCATCGTCTTGCGCATCTCCTTTCATCGTCTTGCGCATCTCCTTTCATCGTCTTGCGCATCTCCTTTCATCGTCTTGCGCATCTCCTTTCATCGTCTTGCGCATCTCCTTTCATCGTCTTGCGCATCTCCTTTCATCGTCTTGCGCATCTCCTTTCATCGTCTTGCGCATCTCCTTTCATCGTCTTGCGCATCTCCTTTCATCGTCTTGCGCATCTCCTTTCATCGTCTTGCGCATCTCCTTTCATCGTCTTGCGCATCTCCTTTCATCGTCTTGCGCATCTCCTTTCATCGTCTTGCGCCTCACCTCCCCTTTCATCGTCTTACACCTATCCTCTCATCGTCTTGCGCCTCCCCTTTCATCGTCTTACACCTCTCCTTTCATCGTCTTGCGCCTCTCCTTTCATCGTCTTGCGCCTCTCCTCTCATCGCTTTGCGCCCCTCCTCTCATCGTCTTGCACCTCTCCTCTCATCGTCTTGCACCTCTCCTTTCGTTGTCTTGCAACACACAGAGTGCTCTCTTCACGAGAATCAATTGCCTGCTCCAGCTCTCAAACTAAATTAAGTTAAAAGTTGCAACCCAGAGAGATGTATATGATCTATTTTCTTGATGATCACTGTAGTTCATTATACATGACGTTGAAAGATAGGAGATATTACAGAAAAACAGGTGTAAAATTCAGGAAAAAAACACTTCGTAAACAACGAGCAATATACTCTGGAAAAGTAATGATCGTTCTTTCTCGTACAGAAAGGCCACAACAACGACGCTTCAGCAATCACTTTCAACAACAAAAAGGGGTCAATCAGCCCATTATTCTCCCTAGCGCTTACCACGGTGCCAAAAGTTGTGGCTGCGGGACCATTTGCTGCGGGGGCTCGAAAAGAGGCACCGGCGCAGTAGACTGGAGAAATTTTCCCGTCGTCTCGTACTTGGGACTTTCTCAGTACGAGTATATGTTTGATGACATCTGCTCTCATAGCATTTCTCTTGATGCATAGTTTCGAGATCAGAGGCACAACCCGCGAAGAAATACCGCTCGAACACACGATTCACGATCCGCGGAGGCTGAAAGGCCTGGTCAAGAACATTTGAAGTAGTCTCCACCAACGCGTCAACTTATTGGAGCAATTACACGCATACAGATCCATCATCGCGGAAGGACTCTGTCCATTGCTGTTTTTTGGAAATCGACAAGATTGCTCAACTGATAAAATCTCCTCCACGAAAAAGTGGAGGACCTTCACAATCCTAGGCTTCCATTTTCCAGTCCTTCACAGATTTACCGTGAGATGGACAAAGTTATCCGGCCGCCGCACCAAAACAAGCAAATAATAGAATCCCATATGCCGTTCTCTCCATCCTTTCTGTAATTTTGGATCCACCTACAAACGACGACCACGGCGACCGTGAGCCTTGCGGGTGGTATCGTGAGGAATCGGAGTGACATCCTCGATACGACCGATCTTCAAACCGTTACGGGCGAGCGCACGTAGCGCGTGCTGAGCACCCGGACCCGGGGATCGGCTCTTCACACCACCGGTGGCGCGGAGCTTGACGTGAACAGCGGTGACGCCTGAGAAAGAAAAAAAGAAGAAGATGATGATAGATGGTAAAGCGTTTTTTCGAAATTTGCAACGCGAGATGTCTATGTTTCGCAACCTGATATTTCTCCACAAACTTTAGATACACCCTTTGCACGACATCAACGTCTACAGACACTTTGGCCGAAAAGGCCTGAAAAAATTGACAAAGCAAGCTCTCATTTCTGAAACGCGGCAATCTACTACTGCACATGAACCCACGTCTACCAACATTCAGTTGAAAATACCGAGATCTTTCAATCGCTTGACGACTTCCTGCGCGGCAAGCATTGCTGCGTACGGAGAGGACTCGTCACGATCCGCCTTGACCATCATACCACCGGTGTAACGGCAGAAAGTCTCACGACCAGACACATCCGTCACGTGGATGAAGGTATCGTTGAAAGAAGCGTAGATGTGCACAACACCGAAAACATCCTCCCCCGAGGCGACCTGGAAATTTTAAGGGAAATTTTAAGGGTTGGGGAAGATAAAAATTTGTCGAAAATGAAGTTCTGTGAAAGAGACATCAAAAACTACACGAGGCGCTCCGGTGATATTTACAAAGCCCTTACCTATGCCAGACACAAAAATTCTTTCTTAGAAATCAACTAGTGACTCATCCAAGGAGCTGCTATCATTTCCTTAACGTAGATCTGCAAAAATTCTGATATTTTCCCCACCCAACAACGCGGGCCATAATCAGATAGATCAAAATTTAGATTTAGAATACGTTCTGCGGGCCCATCTTCGGGGCTTCCTTGACAGCGGCAGCCTTGTCCGTCATTTTGGCGTTTTATGGAGTCCTACGACACTAAACTTCCTTCGAAGTTGATCTCGTTTCCCTGGTTGTTTGAAACGGAAAACAGAATAATTACTTTAAAACGAGCATTAAACGAATGGATATATTCGGAGATAGCAACTCAGAATCGATCGTTGTGTTATCCAAGAAGGACCCCTCATTCTTTCATCTAAAACGATCATCAAATTGTTGATCACCATGCATTTGCAGTTCAATCGCGACTTATTTGCAGGGGATCTCGATCCTATATTTTCAGTCGTGCTTTCTTTAGAAAGCCTCATTCGCGCAGGCTTCCGTATCTGACGATCGTTTCAAGCGAGAGCTTGATGAGCCATCATATTTCGGATCTTGCGGTTCCAGAATCGGACGCTTTTGGCCATTCAGCGGGCTTCCGCGATCTCAGATATCTGAAGAACCTTTCAGACGAGAAAGTCTCTGATCAAAAAGAAACTCTGATCTAAATCGTGTCAAAGATCTCCTAATATCAACGCCTACAAATGGATCCGAATTGCTGAGACACCTCGATTTACTTCGATCTTCGATCAGTGACAACTGGATCTAGATCGTCAATTATTCTGTCTTTCGCTTCTCAGAAGTCTCTTCGAGACGCAGAGCATGTGAATCTGGTGCAGACTCTCTCACGGTTATACCTTGCAGTTTGTTCTTGAGTGCCACTTCAGCAGTCATGGTCGAGGCTGTGAAGAGGAATCATATGATCTTAAGGATTCCGAATCGGACCCCTGGTGTTGAGTAGAGACGACTTATTTGGTTCAACACAACTTTCGGTGGATCAGGAACGTTTTTCAGGACGAGCGTTATTTCTTTTTGTTCTCTCCTTCTTTACCATGATGAAATAATAATGATGTTCTTTTAGTTGTCCAGGCTGACGTTGATTTAGAATACATATGGAACACCCAAGAAGCTGGTGGTCTCTCGAATGTAGAGGTACGACTCGTATTGGACTCCACCCACATGATATTAAACTCAGACCCACATCTCGACTACTTTTCCAGCAGGGAGGGCCTCCGCTATTTCTTCAACCTTCTCCTCCGCTTCCGCGATCGCCTTGTCGGAAGGAAAATGGCAATCAAAAACGGCCTTAGGCAGATGCTTCGCGTTGGTGACAGTCCAGCAGGACGAGGGCAACGCCGAGCAGCGGCACCACACGCATCTAAAAAAGTCGTTGGAAGAGGGAAATTAAATGCCTAACGCGGAATTAAATGCCTAACGCGGAATTAAATGCCTAACGCGGAATTAAATGCCTAACGCGGAATTAAATGCCTAACGCGGAAATAAATGCCTAACGCGGAAATAAATGCCTAACGCGAAATTAAAAGCCTAACGCGAAATTAAAAGCCTAACGCGAAATTAAAAGCCTAACGCGAAATTAAATGCCTAACGCGAAATTAAATGCCTAACGCGAAATTAAATGCCTAACGCGAAATTAAATGCCTAACTCGACCTAAATATTCTGATAGAGTCTGTGTCGCTCGTGATAAATATTCCATGAGATGAATCGTAAAGCATCTTTGTTGGGGAGGAAGACACACACATGAAAACTCCATTCAAAAAAATGAGAGAGGATTTCACAGGTGCGCTGCGACAAAAAAATGGCGAGGCTTTACTAGGGGTTTCGTCAAGACGGTTTTCGCTTGCGACCATCTTCAAAATTTTCATGGTTTTGCAAGAGGTCTCCATGGACATACCTTGACCTACAGTATGGACTACATATAAACTATCACTGTGGAGAATCATGTGACGTCTCTTTGTAACCAATACAAGATTCAAAGAATTCTACCCTCCGCCCATGGTGGTGTCAGCTGCACAGGATGCCTCGTCGGAGTAGGCTTTGCGGCATGGATCGTCTTCTGGTCCACCCTTCACGACCATGAAGGCATCCTTGGCCGATGCAAGCAAGGCACCGGCTGCGGCGAGCAGAGCACCGAAGTACTGACGCGCGATCATGGTTCTGATATCCGACAGTTAAAAAACCCACACAGATCTATAAAACAAGGATACGTCATCACACACTGTCGCATGTAGGAAACGGCAGAAATCAATCATATATCATAAACGTGAAAAACGGATAAAAATGTGGGAATTCACACCCATTTTCACATTGTCCACGATCCAGCATCGATATAAGTTGTACACTCTGTTGGAAGAAGGGTCCCTTCCAAACACGCTCCGTCGGTTCGCTTACCATTCTGTCATTACTGACAAACATCCTGCTCTTTTCGTTCACTCTACATCTCTCGCGGGCGATGTTTAACTCACTCTGTTCCTCTGGTACTTAGGTACATAAGTGCCGACATGGCTCATCACCTGGGAAACACGATGAATCTCGCTTCCGAGAAGACAACAGAACATCAATAAATATCTTCAACATGTAGTCATTGCTTAAAAATAGGTCCAAATATGCAGTAGAATGTCCTATTTCAGTCCACGTCCATCGCAGTTACAGATTTAGAAACTCCGGCGGTCCCAAACGGAAGCAAGCATCCGGAAGTCTCTCCACTCACCGCATCGTGAGCGGAAGACAAGAGCAAGACACGAGCCAGAGCCTGTCTTAATTCAGCATGTTCGGGATTCCTTTCATCTTCATCCCTTTTGCTTCCACTTCGACCATTTCCTGCTACTTGGACACTTTTTAGTAGAGCCGACACGCAGCGTACGACGCGTGCAATCTTGTCTCGCGCATTCGTATCCTGCATATCGTTATACAGGAAGGCTAGCTCTCGCGCAACGCCAGTCTTAGTGGTGGATTTCGTACCCGACATATCGTGCTACAGGAAGAATTCACACGCCAACGTGTGCTAAACGAATTATCAAAAATCTATTCTGCATGTTCTTAAGATTTAGGCTCCAAAAGTCGTCAATTTCTGCGTAAATTTCCACTGCACGGAGCAAATGCACTGAAGCCGCTCTCTGAAACCGCTGCCGCATTCCACAAGTGTTTTGTTGTTCTTGAGCCTTCCACTTGCTTATGCAAGAGAATGACTCTTCGTGGTCCACAGGAACGTAAGTGGTCTTCAAAGAGGCATCAATATGCCGCCGAAATTTTTGACGCCTCATGCTACTTTTCGTTCTAGTACCTCTTGCTGCAGTTTTGGTGGCAGTTCTGGCACGTCTTCCAGTAATATCGCTTCCCGAGTCGCTGCTTGAAGTCAAAAGGTCGTCGTTCTCTATGTCAGGCACACAATTGCCTCTGCCAGTGGAGGTGGAGGCCGAACAACTGCGCGTCGCCGCAGAGTGTTGCTGTGAGGAGTCACCACGTTCCTCATTATCATCTTCACCGCCAGACGATCCAGACACACTAATCCGCGACATAGAAAGAGAGATATCAGCCGCAACTTCTTCGATGTAGCCAGAGAGCTCACTACCACCAGTACCTTGCCTGACAAGCAGCGCGCGTGCCTCGTTTAGAGAGCGTTGCGCAGCATTGAAATCCTCTAGCTGGAAATGCATGCGTGCAACTCGACTGAGCGCCCGCGCTCGCGCCTCTTGCAGGCCAAATTTGTGTGCCATCATCAATTTAGAAGAGAGCCGCGCTTTGATTTGATTCGGCGTCATACGCGCTAGCGCCAAGCTTTTCCTTATTTGGGGAAATGTTAAAGCATCAACGCTGACATTTCTACTGTTAATGGTATTGACCGTCTACACGTGACGATACTACAGAAAAAAGAAACTTATCATTTACTCTATAAAAAATTTCCTCTTGCGCACTTGTACTTTGAGATAACAGTCGAGATGACACCGCCTCCCTAAGTAAGGCTCTTCCGCAGGCCAACGCAGCTGGCATCGGAGAGCGGCATCCGAGATGAGCATCCGCGATGAGCGTGTGCGCGAGCGCCACATCTTGAACAGTCAGATGGTCACGATAAACCAAACACCCTCTTCTCCTCTTTTCATGAAGAACTTCTACTGGAGTTTGGACTTGGGGGTGGTCATGCGTTTGATTGACACGTCTTTGAGACAATTCTTCTGCCGTCGAAGATAAAACTCGTAAATCCACACGCCATTTTTGAGCATGATGTCTTGTTTTGTTGTCAGTGTTGTTCGTGTTCCCTACTGGAAGATTGATTCCAACCTGAGGAGGAGCTTTTCTTTGGTGTGCATCTTGTTGCATGGCAGTCGTTGCAAACTGGATCTTGGTCCTGCTTGTAGGCGGATGCACTATATTCTTCTGTTGATAATACTTGTCTCGTCGTGGTCCAGCAAGAATATCTTGCGTCAAAAACGTGCACGCTGCATCCAATTGATCCACGACTGCCACAAAATCACCCCGCGCGAGACTCAACCGGGCTTTTTGCAGTACATGTGCAGCGCGATCTTCTAATGGCTCTTTAACCAGGGTCTGGCACGTAACAAAATCTCCTGTGCGCAGAGCCTGCTCAAACGCCTGTCGTTGACCGTCTGAGTTCGGACACTCATGCGAAAACTGAGAAGGGCGTGTTGGTGAGGACTTGTGGATCCGCTCTGCAATGCGCGCCGTTGCCTCCGCGAGTCCGCGCTGACCCGCGACGCAGAAAACCAGGCTCTGTCCTGCCAGAAGCTCCGCACGATGCTCCTCCACAGATGATCTAAAGCTGGCTTGGTTCGAAAGAGTATGGTAGATCACTACGCTCCGATGCGCGCCAATTGCACTGTGATCCAGGTACGGCGCAGCCGGCACGGTGAACCCTCCAGGCACAATTCCTGCGACTTTGCTTAGATGAGGTCCTCATTCAGTGCTCCTCAACCTCAAGGGCCCCAATACACTCGATCAGTCATGATCACGAAGAGATCTTCTAGGGCCACAAGAACGCCTACCTCGTCCACATCAAATTCAAAGATAATATAACGAAGATAAGTAATAAAATGTCATTCCGTATTGTCTGGAGTAGGCACAGTGTCCTCCATGTGAAACACATCAAATATCGATCATATAAAATCATGTAACGGTCTTCGCTCTCCACCACAGGTCCATAACCCTTAACTTTGGTTCTTGCTCCTGCGCTTGTCCTCCTGGTAATGCAGCCGATGATCCTTCTAAGAAAGCGCGAGTTTGCAACAGGTGTGGACGGGATGCTACGAGGCGTGCTAATGCCCCCCAGGCAAGAACTTCTAGTTCCGTCTTAGATGAGACAGCTTGATTCTCTGAGAAATGTGTCGAAAAAAAGCAAATACTTCTAGTCCCTTCTTAGATGCGACAGCTTCTCTCAAAAGATTCTTGGTATTCGTATCCCTTCAGCATCTGTCCTAGTCTAAACTCTCTTGAGAATCTGTGAGATAACTTAACTTTCGTTGCACTTCCGAAAGCACAGGCGCGCTCGCCACAAGCGCGCAAACTTGCCTGAGCACGAGCGAATAGCCCCTGCTGAATCTGAACCAAAGCGCTCTGGAAAAGACACCGCACAAGCCCCTTGTGATCGCATGCCTCTTGCGCTGCTCGATTTGCCTCGCCAACAAACTGCCACGCGGTCTCATACTGCTTTCCTTTGTCACATTAGATCATTGAAAAACATTGGACGAATGAAACAAGGGTTGATATATTATATCTAAGTCAGCTATATGACGCAAGTACGAATCTGAAAAGGATGGAAATCACAAGCACAGCTTCAATGAGTAGACGAGATCAAGAAAGAAATAAAAGAGCTCTAGCTGGTTTTTCAGCTCTCCCTCCTAGACGTCAGAATTTTCGTATCTTCAAGTTCTTTGCTAAAGTAGCTGACTGCTTGTTGAGATGCAACGAAGACGGACTCAGCTGATATGTAGCCTTGAGCCACAAGATCACAAATAGTTGGCACGCCTACAAGTGACATAATAGTAGAGTCCTGCGAGAGCAAGAAGCACGTAGTGCATCTCTGCCGGAAGTTGACTAGGATCTTGCTCGTTCCTTTTCCGCCTACTCCGCTGCAATCTCACGTGGCACGCACGAAGCGATGCAGCGGCCTCGAGTATTCGCCCATGAGCGCTGTGTTGCTCATACGAAGAAAACCATGAACGGCAGGAGTCCTTTGATTTTCGTTTAGTTTGTTGGCAAAGAAATCTCTTCGTGAACAGTGATGAGTCTTTTTCGGAAGATAGTCGTATTGTTGGGGACATCAAGAATAGCTAGCTACAAATAAATGTACAGTAAGTAGTCCAGGATGTCCCTCATCAAATGATTGTTCGTTCTTGAGGAGCACAGAGGGCAGGAACGGGTAAGAACCTTAAACGCATCTCTCACCCTCATTAATCGTGAGCAAAGGACGAGCGCGCGCAACAAGAGATTAAGAATATAAATAAAATAAGTAGGAGTTAGTTAGAAAAAGAGGGCGGGCAATGCTACAGCCCTTGGCGTCCCACCCCCCAGCGCTCAGGTGGGAGCGAACTGAGAGGGGTGCTCGCACTGGCAGTAGTTCACCACAACTTAACAAGACCAAGGGTACCGGGTCACCATGTCAAGCCCTACTGGCAGTCGCATCCCGACCCCTTATAAGATAAGCGCTTGATGGCCTTAGTGAAAAGGCCATCGCCCATCACCATCTGGGTAACTAGTTATTAAAGAAGGCAACACGAGCAGGGAGCACGCGCGTGAGGAGACCAACTCGCTTCACTCACAGCTCGTCTAAGCTCATATAGAGAAGGTTCATAAACTTAAAGAGAATAAGGAGAGAGAGAGAGGGAAGGGATCTGGTTCCAGACTGTTGTATTCAAGTATTGACGCTGTAGCAATCAGGAAATAGACTGCACAGCGTACCATGATAAGCAACGCCCCACCTGAGAATAAAACCAACAATACAACAGAATCCATATCCAATCCAGAACAGATACCTAAATAATATCTTTTTGTCTCGTAAACGAATTATGCTATCACTAACTCCTGCTCAGTACCTCATTCGCTGCAAGAAAGTCGTCGGCCCCGTCAAGAATGGGTTCGTTTACGAGCACGGAAAAGGTGATCGCTTGCCGTTCTTTTTCTACGGCCTCGCTCAAAGCGCAAAGCGATTCGAAACTCGCCTTCTGTGCCTCCAATGCCAGACGGCGCAAAAATAGCCCCACAGCGCTTGTGCGGGGGTATTGACCTTCAGCTTCTCCCAACAGGGCTCGCGCATCTTGTATTAAAGGTCGGCTCATTGGCCACTGATTCTGAAAGAAAGGGGCCCCATGCCTGTCCACTTGTTTTTTCTTCATTTTCCCCTGTTGTCTCAAGGGGTCTCCTCTTCGGCGTCAGTGACCAACCTCAATGACCAACGAAGGCTGAGCCATAATTGTAAGAGTGAAAACAGAGCGTCACCTTCTTCGACCGGCTCCTCTGCCAGCCAAATCAAGAGGGCCCCTGCTAATTCACGCCCGCCGGGACCAACCCGCCGCACACCATTCACGAACGAAGCCAAATCGTGCACATCGAGGAAGCTGGAAGAGCTACTTTTGACACTGCCACCACTTTTATTGTGCCGATCCTGTGCACCTGCACTGTTGGCAAAAATTTCGGATTAGAAAGATTAAGGTTGCTGCCTAGAATTCTATTGGAATAAAGAAGCAAGCTCAAAAATGAAGAGACGCCAGAGTGAAGGGAGCCCAGCCTTCACTCAGAAGTTCTTTGGATTCACCCCACGTATTCTGTGCATCTATTTACTCACTTATCTTGTGAGATTTCAAACTACAAGATAGCAATCGGAAACAAATGCACTCAAGTGAATACTCGTCTTAAGCATGTGCTTCCCGAATAACCGAGAAAACGAACAGCTGAAGTACTCTACTGCATTCGGTTCGCACGAAATAGAATAAGGAAAATACGCACCCTACGTGCACGGTGCGCAGCTGCGTCATGATCTTGCTTCTTGCTTCTAAAAGGAGATATCAACATACTTATATGAGACAATTGATTCTACACAATATTCCTCGGCTTAATAGATACGTGCTCCAGAATAAAAAATATCTATATCAAAAGTCGCCAGAAGAACCCGTTCGAGTGCTAGTCGGACGTGACTCTTCTTCGTCCCAGATAAAAGACGCGCTTGTACCTGTTGATTACTTAACCTGTAAAAGAGAAAAAGGGCCTATCGAACTCGAAGATCATTCCTTTTTCTACTCCACGGGCGCTTCTGCATTTGATAAGATGATGATGACCCAGAGGAGCAGCGTTCATTCGATGGCGTGCGCCAGCGTGAGTCACCAACACACTAACGGACGAAGCACTACTCATTGTGCTAGAAACTGGTGAATAAAGCTAGCCAAATTTCTTGCTACAAAAATTCCGAAACAGACGGTCTGAAAATGCAATGGTGAGATAAATCCTGCCTGAAGATGTCATATACCCATCCCGCATTTCGAAACCTCAATACATGAAAGGATCCTGCTGCACAGCGTTCGCATACGTCTTGAGCATGAACACTTGATCAGAAGTAGAGATATTCCTTCATAGGCGTACAGCCGGTTTAGATTATTACTGCAATCTCATCTATCTGAAGCGCGCATGGGGCAAATGGGGAACGAATCTTGAGGTTTGCAGAAAAAAAAGGTCAGTAGTTTGTGTCTAGTACGGATTTCCGAGGACAAGAACGAGAATACATTTATGTCAGGACGTTCTGGGCCCCGCTTTCTCGTTTTGAGCCATGCTTTCGTGCTGGTGAATGCGTCTGAGTGCTGGTCCGAGTCTGTCTTTGAAATGCCCTAGGCGCGTGAGCAAAAACGCGAAACTTGTAATCGCTTTGAACAGTGCCTCTTCTGCTTCTATGATTTCTCGGCGTGCAGTTGTTGGGAGTCCTGTTTTCGACATCTCTGCCTCCCTATTGGGCGCCGTCGCGGTCTCTAACTTTTTCCTAGACACGGTTGTTAGATGGCCGTCGGGTTCTGCCGCCACACAGACTCGTATCTGGAGCAGTTCGGAAGACACTTGTGACTTAAGTTTTAGCGCCAGCAAGCACACATTATCCTCTGTCACGTGGTATCTTTTCTAGACTGACCATGTTTGAATCACTAGTTTCCAAGAAGCCAGCCAGGCCTTGCTCGCCGTCCGGAGACACCATAGAGGATGAGGAAATGGACTCTTGCTAGTTTCATAAGAAAGGGTCCACAGCAGCTCGGTAGGTGCGCATGCACTTCCATAACCGTGTTATATCTCCCCACAGCCTGCGCGCAACTACTTCATGCCACACTGGGTTGTCTGCTGTGCAGACTGCAGGCGCGCGCAATGTCGTTGTCCCCCGTCCTGTACTCTGCGCACTGCTACAGCGGGCACGTACCGACGAGTCCATTCTGCTACCATCTTTCTCCCTCTCGTTTCTACCAACGTCAGAGGTGCTGTACTCGTCAGAGAAGCACACCGTTACGCTACCGAGCCTCTTGCTAGCAACGTGTTTAGGTTCTATCTGATCGAGGTACGCTAGTCGGTCAAAGCTGCGGTCCAGGACTCGAAAGACAGCGAGTGCAGGCAGTCCGACAACCGCGCTATGCGAAGCGGCGTCAATGGCGTCTCTGGATATCCATCCAGCGTTCATTGCAAGAACACCACAAGCCGTGATATCTTCAGCAAACAAGTCAAATATGCTTCCTAACTCGTCTGCACTTGTCTCAAACTCGTCACCCGTGCTCGAACTCCTAGCATTGGTGTAGCCTTCGGCAGCAGTGATCTGTGCTTCCCGCCTTCCGCGCCGCCTGCTGCCGGTAGCAGACGATGCGCGTGCCAGAGCGTCGAACTTAGAACAAACAGAGGCGCTCCCATAGACATGATCATACCTTCCTTGTCGCCTAGCTACTATAACACCCCTAGGATATATTATTGAATCATCTACTGCAGATACTCAAGCAAGAAGTTGCAATGAGATGACAAAATACAGATACTCATCTTCGAGCGAAAAATCATTTCGCGCGAAACTAGAAAAGTAAAAGGTTGGACAAAAATGAACGGCATCGTCGGAATGATCATGACCCAAATGAAAATCACAAGCTCATCATCATAAAATAGCCACCGCTTTGAACCACACGCAGCAGCCCATCTAGATGGGCACCTTGACCGGGAATCACAGAGAAGAGGAATGTTAGGCCTAGAGTAACGAAACTCGGCTTCCTTGGATCCGCAAGTATATTCGATCGTTGACCTTGCACAGTCGAGGAGGCATGGTGCTGATTGTCGACTCGAAACAGCCATCTAAGACTTGGATGAACTAACTCGGTCGTGCGGACATCCGCCTCATGCAAACAGGCAAGCAGTTCGTAAGACGCGACAGAGATCACGCCAAAGCCTCGCGGTGCGTAGAGAAACATCCACCCTACGCGGATCGCACAAGCCGCAGCAAACACAGGTACCCCAAGGACCGCGATCGCCGGAAGCAGGGCCAACGAGAGCACAGTGAGCACAAACCAGCAGTGCCACCACCACGGCTGTCGTTCTGGGAAGAAGGTCACGGCAAAACGAGCTGCGCGGAACCACCAACCCAAAAGCTTCCCCACTACAATCAGGACACCCGCAAACAAACTCACGACCGCGGTGAAAAGTGCTACCACAATCACCGCAAAGACCCTCGCGACCCTAACCTCATAGAACTCCCCACGCCAGTCTTCTGGAATGTCCCCTAGTCGATGTCGCAAACCCTTCGGAGAATCGCGGGACCAACGTGAAAATTAGATGGACTCGAGGTCGAGGATAAACTTGAAAAAATCACAAGTAGTTATTGATTATCCGACAATTAGAGCGACGACAATATCGACGTAACCAGATCGATGTTGAAGTATTCTTTTTTTAAAGGTATCAATTCCGAAATGCCACCAGGAAAACTGTGTCATGCCATAAACAAAATCGACGAGAGTTTTCCAGCAACGTTCGTGATACATTTCTGCGACACCCCCAAAAAGCAGGGATGGTTCCCGCTCGTCAAAAACAGACGCGAGCATGTGCGCGGTGAAGAACAGGCTTGAACAAGCTGCGGCAACGGTGAACACCGCAACGGGAATCGCCAACAGCAGCGCAAAGGGCAAAAGCAGGAGTAGCGCCACCCGTAGATTCGGCCCAACAAGTGCCGTTGAGTAGAGCACACGCGCGCAGATGTAAGTTTGGTAAGGCGCAGACGCGATCGCAGTCAGAGTTGCGGAGACCGTGAGGAACACGCACGGTGGCGGAACAAATATTGCGGCCTTTACCAAACCGATTATTGGGAGCCCCCCACAACAGCAGCAGACCCACAGGGGGTCGTCAGGACGCACGCGCTTTCGTGCCATTTTCGCTGGTGAAACTGAAAGACCAACAACACATCTACTATTAATCATGGAATAGGCGTCTACGTAAAAGTCATCACTATAAAGAAAATGGATGTGTGCCAAGTAGTAGTACGCAGAGTTTGTAGCTATACCAATAGATACGTATCCCAGACAACCTCATCATACAAAACAAAAGAAATTGAGATGATGCCATCAATCTTGATATAACTTCATTACCACGACTAGTCACGGAAAATCTTTTTGTTGGGTGCAGACTTTTCCATCACAAGAATGAATCTGTACCGATGCACAAAATGATAAAAAAGAATATGAATATGCGTAACACAAATGCGGAAGAGAGATCGGTGTACAATTTTATATCAACGTATAGGGGAAGTGGTGTATTTTCAAAAGGCTGACAGACCGTGGCTGGTGGTTCTGCTTTTGAGTAACAAAATTGGAGGCCGATGATCACAAGCATAGAGAAGAATTCAAACCAGATCTCTCGGTATAATTATACGAGGGCCGATTGCTAAAAGGGTTAGATCGCACCAAGCATCAATACAAGAGAAAGTCAGAGATGACAATGATTCTTTATTTACGGTGCGCTCGACCGATGAAGAACACCTTCAATACTGTGTACGACGCTACTGCTTGGCATTATTAAGGTCCAGCCCTTCTTTGGTAGAACGTCGCCGATCCTAAACCACTACCACACTCGTTGCAGTAGATCTCATATCAGTCTAGGCGTCGCTGGCAGTGCGATCTCGTTACTCATTTACGCTCACACTCTCTTACTTCCGTGCTCTACAGAGGGACCCAGAAAAACGCTAGACAATGAGGAGAAAAGGAAGTCTTAGCAAGCATAGCTGCCAGTCGCAAACGCAACAGGTTTGAACTAGGAACAGACCGATTCAATGGAACCGGGTATTCTTGTTCTTAGTTCCTAGTACTGCAGTAAAAAGGTCTAAGACTTGGAGGTAAGTTTCGGACTCCGCCCAGGTTGTATATTGGTTCGACATCAGATACTTTTTCATGTGTAAAATCAGACGCAAGAAAGGGTTCATTCTCATGATGGATATCGTAAAACAAACAGCAACTACGACTAACAACAACCTTGGTACCGGACATTTTTCAGACTACTTGCGTGATGATCTTGATCACCGCTCCCGTCTGCGACTAAGTCACGTATCACATAGCTTGGATATGCAACAAGAACAGCATCCAACAGATAACGGTCACCGTCACCACGAGTGCCGGCCGATAAGAAACACATTCATTACTAAAAGAAAATATATTATGGAGATAACGATGCCTAAAAAAACCAACATACTCAAACTCATGCGAAACGGAAATATACATGTACGAGATAAATCATTCAAATGTGATAGGTATGATAAGTAGTTTCATTTTATCAAATTGTCTTGGGAGGAAATGCAGGGTTTTCTTTCCTTGCATGGCATTTCTACGAAAAGCAATGGGCCAACAACGAAAAGAAACATCTGGGGGAAGCACAGGTCAGAAAAATTAATCCCAGGCCAGTCATCTTCATAAATCTTTCGCGGAAGGACGGACGCTATCCGTTTTTCAACTCGTCTCGCGACCTCCGTATCTCCTAATGGACGTAGTCTACGTTTTTTTTTTTTCCATAGGACTACATGCTGCCTCCCATTAAACTACTAAAAAACCCCACTTAAACAACTTACATACCGGGAGAGCAAGAAAACCGTATCACAACGGCCAAAAACTACTACTATCGGCGAGGACTATATTACAATAGCCGCTGAAGAACAACGAAGGCACAACCTAACAATGTAGGGCCCTGGAAGCAAGTGTTACAACCTGCAAGCAGCCAGGTCGAGGACAACAGCGGCGAAGAGAACCCAAGGCGGGGGCGCATCCATCGGAGTCCGGGGGAGCGAAGAGCGGAAGGCCATACTCCAAACGCCGCCGCACGCAGGTGGCCCCAGGAGTCGGCAGCGTCTTCACAGAAAGGGCAAACCGTAGGGACTAGCGCGCCTACCGAAATCCGCTTGAACCTCGCCGCACCCAAGACAGCAGCAGCGGCGCGCTGCGTGCTCCGTCCATCCTTCGCCCTGTAGAGAGCGCAAAGCCCGGCCGAGATCAGCCCGCGAGAAGTCGAGGGAGAGAAGAACGCTCGCACTGACTGAGTGCCTACCCGCCAAATCAGAGAGGACGCGCCGCTCTTCCGTTTCAAGCAACTCCGTCAGCAGCGCCTTCGCTGGTTTGGCTCCGACCGAGGTCGTCGGCCCCCGGAGGGCCCGCCAGTTGCGTTCTTAGTCCCAGCGTGCACAACGAGTCAGCAAGCTCGCTTACGGCACACCCCGCGTGGGAGTTAACGTGTTCGACCCGGACCGAGATGGCGCGCGAGCAGAGGACACCAAGGTCAGACGCAAGCGCCTGCTCGGCGGGGGTTCCCATGCCGACCCCGTCCGCCGCGGTGAGCGTTTTTATTCTGGTGACCAGGCTCAGGGAGTCCGTGAGGAGAGCGATACGCCTACCAGTCGCGACCCCCGTGCGGATCATCCGCCGGGCCGAATGGTGGAACGCGATCCACTCGCATTCGTAGCTACTGCGGGATAAGAATCGCAAGGCAAGGAGCAGGCAAGCCAGTTGCCGCCCAATCAGAATTCCTGCCGCGGAACCTTGCTCCTCCCAGTTTCTCCTTCGGCTTGTCTTTATCCCGAAACCCCCGTCTGTGGCTACGATGAGGCCGCAGGCGGCAAGCGGGCACCCGCGAAGAACTTCACCCACTTCCAGGCTGACGGGCTCGGAGTCTCTAGTCAGTGCCCTGCCCTTGAGGTTATCCAAAGGAGGGAGCAGGAGGCGAGCCTCCTGGCGAATCGCCGAGAACTCCCACCCGCTCTTCTGCCGCACTCGGTGTGCGTTCTGGAGCCATCCAGGGGCAAACGCCTGTCTGGTCGGAGAGAGCTCGGGCGCGTACGTGGTGAAGACTGGGAGGTCGTGGGTCATACCATGTGGCGTCTGTGCGGGATCGGGAGGCAGCTGCGGCTGGTCCGAGGTCTCACTGCGGAAGTGATGCCACTGGAGAGCACACCTCTCGCCGTGAGTAGTGCTAACCATGATACCAGGCGGGGACTCACCCAAATGTTGCCGGGGCATCGCGCTCCACCAAGACGCAAGGGCGGGCTCGTCCTGCGAGGGGATGGCAATCAGGCGAGGCATTGGCAGGAGCGAGCACGCGGCATCCTCGTTGCGCGAAGTTGCAGGCGTTCCACGTGCGTCACGTCCTATCGAGGCGATGGCGCTGTCTCGGACTACAGTACTCGGGCCCCGGATCGCGCCATCCATGAGCATGCATGTTGCTCGGGTGTAGAGGTTGAAAACGCAAGAACCCTTGGTGAAGAAACGGAGGGACTCGAGCCGCATCGTGCGGGCCTGTCCGATCGCGATGCGCTGCGCCGGGTGGAGGGCCTGCGTGTTGACGCCTCGGAGGTCTGACCACGCGGCACACGGTCCCCAAGCCGCAATGGCGTACGTTACGACTTGCGTCACCAAGCATCGGATTGTCATGGACGAGACAGGGAGTCCCGCCCCCCACGAGTTGCCCATGATTTTCCGTAGCACACAGATGCGGCCTCGTGCCTTCTGGATTGCGCTCCCGATGTGCTTCTTGCAGTTGGGGCAGGAGTCGGCCGCGACTCCTAAGATGCGGCGAGCCGCCACTTGCCGGGAAGGTAGACCAAGAATCTCAGGCGGTGGCGCGTCAGCTCTTTCTTGTGCGCGGGCCTGATGGCGACACTCGGCCCCCCTGGCGTGGAGGTCCGGAACTGAGAGAACGAGACAGACGGTCTTGCTAGCGTCCAGCTTGAGGCGGAGGGCGGAGGTCAGCTCTAGTAGGAGTCTGGATGTGGCGGCGCACCGCTGGACCAGCTCCGTTTCTGTGTCCGCAGCCAGGAGGATTGCGCCGTCATCCGCGTAGAAAAACGCGTCCACATTTTCCCCACTAAGCTGCGCAGGCAGCGCCGCGATGAGGATAATCCATAGTAACGGACTGAGAGTGCCACCTTGTGGCAGGCCGGTAAGTGTCGGCCTATACGAGGAGACCCCGCCGTTGATTTTCACCCGGAGCTGCCTCGTCGAAAGCCAACCCCAAAGTATGCGGACGACATAAGCCGGAGGGATCTGAAGCTCCACGCACTTCGTGATGACATCCGCGAAGCGAGCGGAGTCATATGCTCCGGAGATATCTGTGCTGATAATGGCCACGCGCCGACCTCGGCGGGGGTGATCGTTAGCAGAGTGCAGAAGCACTGCCAGCTCTTGCTCCGCGGATCTCGCGGCTTGGTAGGCGAACTGCCGCTCGGAAAGCTTGTCGCCTGCTGACCGAAGAAGGCGCGGGAGAAGAACCCGCTCGAAGAGTTTTACCACTACCGGAAGCAAGCTAATGGGCCTCATGCTCTTGGGCTCGCCCGGGGGCTTTCTTTTGCCTTAGTTATGTTTACTTTATCTTCATTATATTTCGCTGGACACAGCGACCGGGTTCGTGATGCTTCCGCCAGCGCCGTATCACCTCCTTAGTCTCCTTCTCGAGCACTTTCCCGAACTCCTCGGACGATGACAGAAAAACTTTTTTCACATGCTCTATACCCATTCGTATTTACCTTGAGAAAAAAATCACACTTATCTGTTCAAACTTCCTCCTGAAACGAGATCCAATCTAATGATCTCCACGTCTTTGTCGAAACACATATTAAAGTTACAAACTGGAGTAAAAACCGAATTTATGAAGACGGTCCACGACCAGCTCGCACTAGCAAAAGCAAAACTATCAAGCGGCGCAAGTGTAAAAAGATCTGTTTTTCTGTCCATCTCTTCATAAAGTAATCACCTCAAAGACGCTGGCCGGAGTATGCCTAAGCATGCGCTAGCAGAGCCCACTGCAACAGGTTCTTCAGTTCCCCGCGATGTATCGCTAATTTCTCCATCGGATACCAGATCTCGCACTCCTAATTTCTCTATATTAGCAGAAGCTATTTTGTAACGTACTGACTCACACAGAGAATACATTCCTATAAAAGGCGTTAACGGGATAATTCTCTCATTGAATTTGCTTCGCCCCTGTTCACTATCCATAAGCCTACAACTCAAGTCCAAGTGGCTCAACTAACAATAAACAAAAGGGACTGAGAAATAACCTCTACTACAGTGAGGATTATTATCATGTTAGTATGTCGCAATCCATGTTTAGAGGTAACACATATCGTTTGAATTCAATTTGTTACTCAAAACTATGCTTGTAGGTATCAAATTGAGTCCGCTTTTCGTAGTTCTGTGATTCTTTTAAAGAGGAAAGACGGTCTACTTAACTGTGACTCAGCGCGACGCATTTTCCGCAACACATCTGAGTAAGTAAACCTAGGAAAGTAAACACAGTGGAAAATCGGTCCGATCAGGGTCTTCTCGCAGATGACGCAGTTGATCTGATATTTTTCCAACCATCCCTTGGCTCGTCGCCCCAATTTTTTCAACACATTTGCTCTTGGACTCAGGTTGATACTAATTGGAATGATTCATAGCATGAAGGTTTATTGATACAACCCATATATTGCAAGAAGGGATAGCCTAAAAAGGTTTATTGATACAACCCATATAATGTCGAAACTCAAACTCCTTTATTCGCGTCATTTACATTTTCTTGCTTCTGTCTCTTCGTTGTTCATCTACTTGGAGGATAAGGCTTCTGCCTCGGGTCGAACTTTATGCGAATACCACATACTTTCTTCTACCACAGTTTTCATAAGGATAACAAAAGTGCTCTGCGCAAGTCTCTGCTTCCCTCCCCCTATAGAATTTCTTGGGCTATGCCCTTGTTCCCTCCGGTCAAGTTATCCGCTAGCCTTTCCGCTCTTAAATCTGCCAAACTTTTGATGTTCAACCCAGACGCCTTGGATACATAGGGCTTGGCATTACGCCAATTGAACGGATTTCCACAACCATGTTGCAAGTTAAAATTACCGTTCTCTTCATTATAGCCTGACGCAAGTGATGAAGCCGTCTCCTCGGCATTTTCGATCGTGGACTCGTCAATTGCAGATACTGACGAACGACCAACCTCGTTTACCGTGGCGCCATCCGTAGATACTCCGCAAACCCCCCCTGAGGGTGAAACCACCTTTTGCAAATCCCCCACACTGTGTCCATTGCCTCGAAACGACAGAATGGGAAGCCACAATGCGATAATTGACACGAAGATGCGGATTACGCCGTCGCTTGACAACATCATAGTGTTTGCGTGTCATAGATGTCTTCGCGGCCTCTTTTGGATTTTTTGAACCTTATCAATTGAGCTGAAACGGTAGAACATCAATTATAGATCGTACTGTTTGAATTTCCGGAAAGTGGATGAATCTTCATCATCGCCAGCACATCTCTGACGAACAGTGTTCCTCAACGAACTGTTAGCGAGACGATAAGTGCCCTGCGTATCTTGTTCTACAATCTTTACATACTTACTTTAGTACCCTGTCGTAGTATTTGTCTACCTTTTTGTTATTCAAAGTATTTTCTACAAATTTCTGCACTTGTTCATCACATTCCTCTCCAATGCCGATTTCAGGTCTTTTTTGAAAAAGGACTATCGTAGGTACCGTGACAAACAGACTTTTCATTTTGTCCAATCGAGAACCTTGACGATGGACGCATAATACAGAGGAGCCCGCCTTGCCATGTCGTTTTCTGATTGCAGAGACTTTCTTCTGCACCATTTGCTCTCATCTCTTCCATCGGATTCTGGCAAGAGGGTCGCAAGACCACTCCCAATCAATACTCGCGCAAATATCTGGGTTGACTCCACGCAAGGTGCCCGCACAAGGAACAAAAATCGTCTAGTATCTGTCATACTATTTGCGCCCTCAATAGTACCTTGTCCCAATCATTTCATACTGTTTCAGCACATCATTTACTAGAATTGCACTTTTTTTTTCACCACTTCATTAGAGACCGAGCATTTTGGTCCAATCTAAGGTAACCATCGCAGGGACGTTTTCCCCGTTCTCCTTCTTCTTCTTTCTCCTGCGACTACTGCTGGAGGACCCACCCGTGCCGGGGCGCTCGGGTGATATGCTTTTATGCTTTTTCGGCCGTTTTTCAGCCAACCAACGCACATGACCCGGCGGCCGGTCCTCTAATGTAGTGTTCTGCCACAATGCCACATCTCCGCGCCGTCGAGCCTGTGGTATTATCAATTCTCGCAGAAATTTACTTATTTAGTTCTACAGGGACCCGAGAAATGCCAAAAAATGCCACGACTGTATCTAGTATTTTTCTTTTAAGAGGAAGAAACATAAAAAACGAAGCGATCACGTCTAAAACTGTAACTGTTAAACAGCGTTTTATAGATCTATAAGAGTTAATACCTGATTGACCAACAGCCTGGATGTGGTGGGGACGTCCTTTACTCGATGCGGCAAGAGACCTAACTCGTCAGCGCACAAGGCAGCGACCGGAAAGGATCCCAAGTCTTTTTCGATCGTGTTTCGTATATGGGTCGGTACTTCTGTGTCTTTTTTGAAAACGCTTGCTGCCATGGTTCCGTAATTTATGTTCACGTCAGCCTTCTCGTCACCCTCCGCGCCATCCTTGTAAAGAAAATCCAGCTCCGGTGAGAACTTGCGGTCAAAGCCCTTAAAAAACTTGCTCTTGCGCATCCACAACTTATACCCGTCGAGCAGCTTCATCCAGTGCTCGCTGTCGGGTGTTACGTGCTTTGCGTGGTATTCACGCTTGTCAGCGAAATAGTACAGCGTGCGTTTCAGCTTTTCTACATTCTCGTATTGTCCCAGCGGTGGCTTATTTAATACCAAGTTGCCGCGGACCTGAATCAGAAAGGGTCACGAACTATCTTCAGGCGAGTTTACTCATCGTAGATGCACGTCATGTTGCAACTTCATCTCTCCCACTTCATCATCAAGGAGGAATAAGATGTATTGACATTATAGCGTTGTAATGAAGAATGTTAGTGACGACGCCACTATCTATACTCCCTCGAATTACTTACATTCGTATGTTTCCTCGTTGGAAGATTTTAGTCTATAGCAGAAGCAAAGTAGAATTCAAATCTTCTACCTGCTGAAGAGCTGGCTGAAACTTGCCCTCACGATGCCACTCTGGATTATATCGAAAGATCGTACTGTCCGGAGCCAGGCGGTTCTGGAATTTCAGCGCTCGCCATTGTTAGAGCTGCCGCAGTTGCATCTTTAACTTTGATTTTGATTAAAGAAGGAATAAATCTATCAAATGATTAGTTTTGAAAAAAATCCGAATCCTTGCTGGCCTCTTTTTCTAAATGAAAAGAAGCCAAGGAAGACGATGCTGAGGATGCAGTGTGCGTTGTCGTAACATTGGTAACATTCCTGGTCCATTTTCGTTGGGAAGTGGTCTTCCTGCAAAGTTTCCAGGGTCGGTGTACTTTGTAGAATCTGCATATCCGTGCGCGTTCGCGTTCGGAGATCCGGGCCGTCGCGGCGGTCAAAGGGTAGCCGCATGATCTCCCCCTGTACTTTGGTCAGACCGATCTGTTCTTTCACAACGCGCGACGCATCGCGCTTCCGCTTGCGGTCTGCGAGTTTTTTAGCAGTACGCCGCATCATGGACAGCACGCCCAGAGCGTGCGTACTGCCACTCTCGGCGTCGCGCTCCGCCGCTTTCAGATTGCCTATCTCGCGCGTTAGCTGGGCCTTCTCCTCGTCACTACTCGTGGGTTCGCCTCGCATCCGTTTCATCTTGTTGCGCCTCTCTCGGTCGGTCTCATACTCAGCTAGCTCCGCAGGCGTCATGTCTTCCACCGCCTTTTTCACTGCGACTCGTCGCTGGGGCCGCGAAAAGCCGCCCTTATTTTTGTTCGCCAGCGCGGCGCGGTTCTTAGTCCTCGCAGCGGATGCAAAGGCCCCGCCCGTAGGGGCGTGTGTGGGGGAAGAGTCCGCTCCACCCGGAGACGCGCCTCCTGCTTCAGACCTATTGTCCCGCGGCGTGACGCCACCGACAGTGACCTGCCGATCTTCGGGAATCGTTTTCAGGGTGGCCCCATAATCTGCATCGGCCTTCTCCATATTTACCGCGACGTAGTCTTTCCCTTCACCTCCGGTGGGGGACGTGTTCCCGGCAATGTGCGAGCTGTCATCCATCGTGATCGAGGCCTTCGCTGCGACCGCTTGCGCCTTGGAGAAGGTGAGCATATTCGCGAACGTTCCCGTCTTCTCATCGCGCGGACTGTCCGGTGGCGTCTGGTAAGTCGTTGGCCGCAAATCCGGCCCCAGCCCGCTCTGCGCAGCCACCTTGCCAGGTCGAAAGCCACGCACAGAACGCTTCAGATCAGAAAAGGCAGCGTCAAACTTGTGTCGCTCCTCCCGCAGATAATCAGGCTTGTACATCGCACGGTCCCTCTCCATGGCATCCGCGATACGTAAACGCTTCACCACCTCATCCGGGACCTTCATCTTCTCGTCCCACTGAAACTCCAGCGGCTTGATTAACGGCCGAAGCTGTTTCCTCATGGCCGGGTACTTAGGCTTCTCCTTATTCGCCAACGCCTGTCGTGAGTGTACGAAATACAAATATCAAAATAGATCATGAAAAATTATCTTAGATAACAGGCACGAAAGAACTTACGTTTGGATGTAATTGACACCTTCAAGAAGTTCGAAAAAACCTCCTTCCATTTCATGCATAAAAGCCGTGCAAGGTGGAAGTAAGACGAGGGTACTGCGTGCAGCCCTCAAAAATTCAAATGGTATCTGCCTAGTCCTAGGGACTGCCTCCATCCAGATTGCTCTGATAAAACTCTATTCCCATCACATTCAAATCAGCAGGTATATAAAATAAAATCTTCTACCTCGTCTAAGCTTATTAATTGAACAACCTGTACCATTTCCACTACGTCTTCGAAAGTGACAGATTCCAGCTCTTCTTCTGATTCAGAGTCAGAGGGTGGTTCCGGCAACCGTGCGAATCTCGAGAGCCAGACAATCCATGCCATGCGCTGCGCGTGGCGGTCTTGCAGTACAGGGATACCCCATATCATGGATACCACGTCGATGACCTTCGTCGCGGGTATCATAAAACCTTGAATGATAAGGAAACGGAGCCACCACAGCAATCCGAAGCAGAGAGACGGCAAATTCTCAAGACACTCGTTGCATTTTCGATGCGTGAACAAATAGAAGTAGTGGATTTTTTCGTAGAAGGTGAGCACGAGCATTGCGCTCGCGACAAGAAAGATGATGAGTAGCTCGTCTCCCGCCCAGGGCCGTCCCGTTTTGATTCCCGTGACCTCGAAGTCACTGATATTATCCTTGAAATAGCACTCCCAGGGCCCTGGTCCGCAGCCCGGTGCGTATTCGGCGGAATCACACCAGACCATCTGCGCCATCGGTCCCGCATTTGCGCCCTTGTTTAGCTGCTTCGCAAAGCCGCAGCAACTATCTAGCGGGCAGCAGCCAAACAAATGGTCATCCGCAAATTCCACCTCACCACGCGAATTCGGTTGCACGTCAGGGAACCACCCGAGCTGGTACAGCTCCTTTTCTGGCTCCTCCACTTGTCGCAGGGATACAATGAGCGAACAGTTGGGTCCGTCGCACGCCGACGCAAACCCGGAAAATTTGCAGAAGGCGAGCTTGTACTCGGCTGCAGCAGAGCTCGTGATCTCGTAAAACACGTAAAAACTCAAGACGATAAGGAAAAGCGTCAGCCGCAAGTAAAACTGTATACCCCGAAAATTTTTCCGATGCAATATTTGACGCTTCACTAGTTCCTTCGCTTCATGCTTGAAGTCCACACCCTTCATTCGCATTCGGACTGGCCTCAACAGCGTTCCCAGGATCGTTGCTGGTTTTTTGGGTTTGCGCGTCTTCTGTTTTGCCAGCTCTTCATCCTCAACTTCCTTGATCCGGACTCGAGTTTTCGCTATTTTATCCTCCTCGCGCTCACGGGACGCCCTCTCTTCTTCACCCTCAGGCACCTCCAAGCCCATGGCCCTGCGCATCTCCAGCATCCCCTGTTCGCGCGACAGCGAGTTGTTCTTCTTCGCGATAAAGAAACCCCCCGACATCTTGCCTTAGTATTTGGTGTTGATCAGAGGCAGCACAATCGTAAAAGGCTCTCCAAAGTCAAGATAGAATAGCTTTTCCCACTTCCGGATTAGCCTCGCCTCCAGTCCGAGTCGACACAAGGTCAGCTATACTCCAGAATTTCAATAGCGTGGGGCAGCAAGTCGCAGCCAAAAAGGTCTAGCTGCAGCTAAAGCCTCTGCAGGCAAAGCAAGGAAAAAACGACTTCTTAGATCTAGTCAATGTTGTCAGGAATCATTTCTATGTGTAGGTGCCTGAAAATACGCGACTGCACCAGGGTTGAAGTTTTGTAAAGACACACCAAACTACACTGCCGGGATATTGATTACTCACTCCCACCACCAAACATGCACCTCTAGTATACACCAAGATATTTCTAACCAACAATACAAGATACATGGAAGAAAAGATCTATGAGAAAATGTCTATCCGATTGTAAACCAAAAAAATTTATACATGCGGGAAAGGTGCCTTGCTAGATACACGAAAACAAATTTTTTTTGCTACGTCGATATCTATTTTCGAGCATTTGTATCTTGAAGGCCTGACATATGGGAAAACCAAAATTTGGATACAAGCGGGAATATTGGGATAAGTATGGGTCCCTTTTTCATTGCATGTATACAGTAGGGAGATTGACAAGCTCTCGGACTCTAGACGAGGCGTAATTACATCGGCGTGTAAGCAGTAATATCGCTGTGGCACACTTCATCGTCTCGCCATCACAGATTCAAGTTGCTTTCTTACTCCTCCAGCATTAATTTCTCTCTCCGATGTCGACACTCACGCTCACGCACGCATTTCACTTCTCAACTCAGTCAGACTCTTCGCGGCATTTAGACAGCCAAACTAGCGCTCTCTTCTTCTCTGTTCTCGACAGGGGTCTCCACACTGACGCTCAGACCCGATACACTCACAGACAGGCAGTAATCATTCTCTCATACGACATAATGGTTCATCGGTTACATGATTTCATCCATCCTCCGTCTCTGCACCGCTCCCTCTCAGGACAGATAAACTCTCTATCACTGCTCCGTAAGCACAGATAATTCAATACTTGATTTATTTGACGGTCAGAAGCAAATGAGCTATTCCCTCAAATGTACCAACAGACCGAGGCTATCCTATCGATTCCACAATTGATACTCTCTCAATGGCATTGACAGGTTCCTAAGATGCCATCTTCTGCGGTAGCGGAGACGCTCCATTACGCGCCGTTTACAACCTTAAGTATTCAGGTGCAGATGCACCAATCCAAGAGCAGCACATAAGACGCTTATCTGCTAAGCTCAAAAAAGCTAGACGTGTCAAAATGTTCGCGTGGCGTGCAGTCGAGAATCAACCTCAATTGAAGACTCCGCTCGAGAAATAAACATATCTTTAGTTGTAGAATGACTATACATGATAATTCTAACCTAGTTGTACCGTGTAGCTAGTGATTGTAAATGAGCAGGTAAACGACCTTAGACAAAAACGATTTCTATTTCAAGTCCTCGAGAACATGAGATGACATTTCTTCACTCCTGCACTTTTCTGAGCAGCTACTGTTTGCACATTAATCCTTAATGCGCAAATACATTTCCTAACCTGACTATGCAATATACCATCAACTTTGCACAGAGGGGAGCTCTACAAGAACGTCACACTGACACAATTTTCCAACATTTAATCTGCTAAGATACACATTTTAGGACTACTTTCCAAGCCATCTTCTTGCCTGCAATGTACTTAAGTTTGACACTAGTCATCATCTGCATATTCTTTCACAAGGATCAGAAACACAAAATGAGTCTCAATTTCTGTCGTATGCACAGGGCCAATATGAATGTTTGCAAGTATAGATTATACTAGTTATACATGACATGGATATATATAATAATTTCGTCATGCGAAGAGGATCTAAAATCGTTGATTTGATGTCTGAAATTATATCGTGCTTTCTTGTCAATAGCATTACCGTCGACTAGTAACTCTCAGTAGGAGTCATCCTTCATTTCATCGAGGTAGCTCAAATCTGGCATTTTCCAGGGCTTTTTCTTTTTCTTCCGCCTTAGGCCTTGTTGCTCCTCTCCTTTTAGGTCCCTGCCGCTCGTTTTCTTCGGTGTCTCCACAAATGTAGACCAGAAATCTAACACGCCGTGATAAACCGCACCCCGTTTCCGCGGTGCGTCGATCGAGCGCATCCGAACAAAATGCGCCTCTTGTGTTTCCTGTACATGCAGAATTTTTGTTGGTAAATCAGATAGGATTACTCTCTAGAAGTAGGTACATTTTCTCACACCAACAAATACTGCAATTAATTGCACAACGAACGCAAGAAGGATGATCAAATATGCGTGGTCGTGATGCATGAAGTCAAACTGAAGCATCGATCCATCTGTAACTTTAAAATGATTAGCGACGTATCTATAAGAACGTGTGCTCTATGCGCATGCCGATTGCGACTTTCTCGACTACTAAGGGAGCGCGCGAACCGTTGCGGCAAGCTCGTTTTGAGCTTCTTCTTGCTTCCTAGTTTTGTCTTTTCCTTCTCCTTCCAATCCTCATGTCCCGCTTCCCAACCAAAAACACGATTATCCTCTGGCTGATCCGGTAGCAGGGTCACGTTTCGGCGCTTCTCAAAAGTGCTTTTTGCATGCTTGACTTGCGCATCTGCTTCGGCATGGCGTCGTCGCCATGTCTCCTCCACGAAATTCCAGTATTCTTCCCGGTTCCGGAGGCGGCTCTGCTCGATTCCCGCGCTCGCGCCTGGCGGCGGCACGCGATGAGGCGCATTTTCTAGGCGGCCAAACTGCGACGCTTTGCTCTCGGCCGCCTGCTTTACGAGCAATCGGCTCGTTGTGCTCGCGTCCATCGGCCGAGAGGGTACGAGTCCGATTTCCGAGGCACGATAACCAAAAAACGGCATGCGGCCTAGGTCCTTCGGCGCATTCACTTTCGAACGAGCGTCCTGCAACTCCCCTAGTTCTACGACAAAGTCCCCAGTTGGTACTCGGTATTCCTCTGCCAGGTCATCTTGCATGCTGTAACTTTCGCCGTCTGAGATATCGCCGTCGTACGCTGCTACTAGTTGTCTTGTGAACTTGTCCTCGGCACAATTCTCTTCATCTTTGCGCTGGAAACGACGTGCAAATTTGTGCGTATCAGGAACTAATGACTCCACCATGTCCTTCGCTTTTCGTTTTCGTGCCCGCATTTCCCGTAGCTGCTCTTGGCCTGCATACAGTTCGACCGCTGGCTTTTCTCCGGGGGGCGCAATATCTCTCTCGTAAGCAAAAACCTCCGGCCCAAGGTTGGGTCTCAGAAATTCTCGATAACCCTGCGCAAAGTGGTTTCGGGTCACTGGATTGGACGACCCGCGTTTCAGATGCTGGCCGCGCCATCGCCACAAGATTCTCGCAGCGGCATCACGCGCACGTCGGAACAACCGCCCGTCAGTCTTTTCTCGTCGCTCGAAGTCTGCCACGTTCAAGGACCCACGCACCCACTCCAGGGGCTGCCTATGCAAAGGCGCCGACTCTGCGCGCTTCGCAGCACGAACGGACGCTGAGCTCTCCGGTCTCTCATCATCCTCTTCGCCGCCATTCCGATCTGCTGAGCGCTCTTTACTTCGCTTCGAATTCGTTTTGCTAGTGTGCCTTTTCAAAGTCTCCCTTTTAGCCCCAGCAGCACTGCGCTTACCAAAAACGCTGCGGTCTGGAGTTTTGTTCAGACGTGTCGCACCAGACTCAGCCTTCATGGCTGAAGGACCGCTAGAGGAGTCCGGACGATCCCCTTCGACACCGTCAGCTGCGGTTAATAGCGTTGGAAGCTGCGCCGGTTCCGTTTCAGGGCCGTTGCCCTTGGACTCACTCTCGACGTCCCGCGTGGGAGTATTGCCCAACGCCTTGTTCCTATTTTCTTCCTCCTTTTGTCGCATTTTCGCCGCCGCTTTGCGCTTCGCTAACGCGGTCTTTGGTGCCTTGGCTGTCGCAAAGGCCTCTTGCTTTTTGCGGGCCGCTGCGGCTGCTTTGCGCGCTCGCTCGCGCGTTTCCGCAAGGGCCGCCTCCTCCAGCCGTTTTCGCTCAGCCTCCTCGGCTTCGCCGGCAAACACAGCCACCGTCAGCGTCTTTTCGTCCCTTTCGACACTTCGGACAGCGTGGCGCCGGTTGGTCCGCTGGTCGTCGGAGAACGCCCCACGAGAAGTTTCGGCAAGCATAGGTCGATAGCGCAGATTCGTGCAATCGAATGGGAGGCTGTCCTGAAACTCGATAGCGCGCCAGGTGTAAGCATCATTCTGCTTTTCGAGACCGATCGCTCCCATGTCCTGAAACATCTGTCGAGTCTGCTCCTGCGATGGTAGCGACCGTTCCCTAAGAAGTTTTGCTCGTAGGTTTGGCCGCTCCTGAAACGGGTGCCGCAGTATCGCAGCCTGGGAGCGGCTGAGGCCAGGGCAACGCTCTTTCTGCTGCGCAGCGGCACGACGACCGCCAGCAAGCTTTCGCCGCACCGCCTGCATCACCGCGAGTCCGCGTGTTTCTCCTCCGTCGCTCTTTTCGAATAACGACGTTGCATTGAGCGTGCCTCCCATCGTGCTATCCAGCTTATCCTGGTGCTGCACACTTTTCCTCAGTCCCCCTCCAGTTTGGCTCGCACCCGCAGCTCGCGCCATCAGCGGCATGCCGAAGAGACTTTTGTCGTTGCCGACAATCTCTGCAAGCCGATTAGCGGCTGAACCAGCTAGGTTTCCTCCTCTTTCTGTTTGTGGCGGGGAGCCTGCGCGCCCTTTGGAGCCCGGAGTTGCCCGTCTATCTTTGCTGGGCGCTCGACTAACCGAGCGCGAGGATGACTCGGAGCCAGATTCTAAGACTACCCGGTTTTTGAGACGAATTTTCTCTCGCGCTTTTGCACGCGCCTCCGTGTTAAGACTCATCGACGAGAGCTTTCTGGAAATATCATTAAGCGACGCTGCATCTTTACTGCCACCACGGGAAGAACCCCTTTCCTTCGAACCAACTCTGCTACCTGGACTACCACTTCTACTACCTTTCTCAGGGTCATTTCCGGTAGCATTGCCAAGGCCTTCACGACCTCCGACCAGCTTGAATTTTGACACGGATCTTGAGCGACCGCTGGCGAAAGGTAGCTCCTCGCCGTGCGACGCTGTGGATTCCAGCAGCGTCGGCAGTCGTCCTCCACCTGCACTAGAGAAGTGCCCGTCAAACGTGCTCGTCATCATCATTCTTGCGTTTTCGTCCGTGTCGATCCCACCACCGCGAGAAAAGGCCGGATCAAACTTGAAACTATGTATGTGCTTGTAGATATTGCGGTCTCGTGTGAGGCCGGCTGCATGTCGAGTCACGCGACCCTCGTCGCGTTCTTGTGCTTGCAATTTCTCCAACCACGTTTCTTCCAGTGGTTCTATAATCGGCCGCATCAAAACTTCAGTCGGAATCGACCCGTTGTGCTTTTGCCGCAACTTTCGAACCATTAGTTCGAACTTCGTCTCGTGCTTGCGCTCCTCCTGTGGCGCAACCAACTTGCGCCGGCCTGGCGGTGATTTCCTGCCTGCCCCTGCCGCCGGCGTGGTCGCATCATCGCCGTCTCCCTTGTGTTTGGTCGCCTTGGCACTAGCGTGGGCATCCGCAATAGTTTTGTCTCTGTTATGCCACACATTTACCTGTCCAAGAAACCATCGCCACCCCTGCTTGGCCTCATTCTTGGCGAAGGCGTACGCATTACCAACGTCTTCTCGAGACAATGCTCCGTCGATCGGAATGACCGTTTCTCCATTATTATAGCCCACATCTTCGTTAGTAGTTAGCGGCACATTCACATAGTTGTCTGCGCACGGCATTCCCCCTCCGCGGGCCTTAGTTACTCCACCGCCCGCTCCTGGACCCCCGGGGCCGGACCCATCTCCAGCACGCGCGTCTCGCGTCTGCTTCGCTTTCTGTGGCGAATGGTACGGCGTCAACAGTGTGTTTAGATGGCAGGTGTCGCCACTTCCGTCTGCTCCACCAGTGTCTCCCTTTCCTTTACTCCCGCGTGGCCCTATATCAACCGTTTTAGACTGTCGTCGCGCTTCTTCCTCGTCATGTTCCAGCACCCGCTCGACCATATTGCCATCCTCGTCCACCTCCACGAGCAGACAACAGCAAAAAATCCCGAACAGATCTTGGAGAATCGCATTCACTAATCCACGAAGGAACAACACCGCACTCAGCAGCAACAGAACAAATGCTATGATAAAAAACATAAATTCAGTGTCCCCAAAGTCTGGCTGACCTTGCCGCAGCCCGTCGACGGTGTTCTTCGCTCCGTATCCGGTGAAGTAGCACGCCCAGGGATCGCTATTGCACCAACCACCCCAATTATCGCAGAACGTTTTGGGCCAACTCGTCTGCTTTTGCATCAATTGCAAACTCTGACCCATCAAATTGCCCTGATCATAACGAGATTCATTTCTATCTTGAGGCGTTTATTCTTCGTCACAGCAAGTTTTGCATTATTCAAAAAGGAAATGATATTGAAAAGCCTCGGAGGCCCTCCCTTGCATGGAAACGGAACTCAAAAAATCACTCGACCATCAACAAAACCCATCTAGTGTCCCACATGTACACTACCTCATCATCGTAGATGCGTTCTGGAGTGGTCGATGTTGTCGTCGTTGACAGGCCGCAGCACGAGGTCGCCTTGCAGCACGAGAAGCCATCACCTTCAAAATCAACACCCTCTTCGGCATAAATTGAACCAGACATTTCTGGGAACCAGTTTCTTGCTGTAAATTGTTCCTGGGTAAACTCTCCCTCCTCGTCTTTCGGAAAAACCTGTGGCAACTTCGGTGAAACAAGAGAGTCTGGATTCAGCATTTGTTTATGCGAATTCATTGTAAAACCTAGGAATCATGATCCGCTCGTAGAATAAGGTTTCCCCTCCTTGCTCCACACTAACATCGTCCCTTTCGCTGTGAAAAACCCTCACCTTCTAGTGATCAATCTCCTTTCACCTCTTGGTTGTGCGGTACAACCAATGGAATAAGACAAATTTTGCATTTGCTTTTGCTAGCGCATGTACTAGTATAAGGAAGTACCGCTATCATAAAGGCGCAATCCCCTTCCCCAACATTGCATCCCAACGTCTCAAAGGATTCAATGTAGCAGCCTGCTAGATGCAACTCCGATGCTTCAGCGTGCTTACGGTGCCACTCTGCAGCAGCAACAGCTGTGCTAGAATTAGAAACATACCTCAGAATAATCAGAAGCAGACGGCCTCGAGTCATTCCTAGCTCTCTCTTGATAACTCAAACCAGGAGAGTGAAAAATCCCTGCTGGTAATTTCAGATATTTTCGAGAAGTACCTAGAGCACACCACTGTAATCACGAGGCTCGTTAGCAACATGCCGTTCGGAAGCGAAAACGCCTTAACGAAGAACACGACGACTCGAAAAATGCACAAGACCGACGCTGCGTAGTCGTGCTTTGATGCCATTTCGTCCAGGACGTCTGCATTATTCAGAGACGACGAATCTCGTTTCTCTACTTCTTGTTGCTTTTCGCCCGATGGCTTAGGATTGTCCCTTTCCGCATCCTCCACGGCTTTTTTGAGTTTGCGTCGATTCTTTGACAAAGACGGATCCTCACTATCAAAAAGAGCGCGAACGAACTCGGGTACAGCCTGAACCCACAGGTAGGCGATTAAATGCGGAATCCACTTATGAACGGAATCAAACCCACGCAAAGCGAGGCCTTGCAAAGGCCCAGCGCGCGCACGACGGTTTTTCGAGCGCTTCTTTTCCAGGATTTGTTCTTTCGACAACTGCCTCTTAATGCTGTAGTAGTTGACACCTGGCTTGAATCCACCAAAGGTTGGCTGCTGCGGCGCAAGCACAGTGCGCTGCTGCTGCGCGCGCATCGGCGATCCCACCACTGGCATGCCGCCTCTGCCGCCACCAGCATACATCTCTTCGGCGTCTGTTGCTGCTTTATTTCCCCAGAAACAACGTGCGCTTCTGACCAAGATGAAAACGAAGAGTGTTCACATGGCCTCAGATCCGCTCGTTCGAATTGGAGTCACGAAAGCGCAAATTCATCTTCTAAGCAGGAAAAAAATAAAGACGCCATTATGAGATTTCCAAGTTCATGTATGTCAACAACGAGCATGTATTCATCTCGAGAACTGTCTAAACAGGAGCTGCTATCGATGCGCCTCCTGACTATTCCAATTATAATTGCTTGCGTCCATTAACTTAAACCAATGGAATTCCTACCTCTCTTGCCTCCTGTTCGCTCGGAAATCAGGTTTTTAATTAACAAGCATGTCTCACTCTTCATCCCGAAGGCGTAAATGGATCTATTTTTTCATAGTCTGAATCATCCGAGTTATTATAGGCAGAGAGTGCGACATACACTAGTTACCGATTGGAAAAAAAGTCCCATTATAGCTTCCCACGAAAACAAAAAAGATCGCATAAACCGTCATTGTCGAAATGAACAATACATTTGTACACATCAATATGAAGTGATCAGTCACAACACTTTGTGTTTGCACATGACCACAATTGCCCCGAGAGACAGAGGACAATCAAGCACTGCTACCTCCTTTCGACTATATTATGGGCGCGACTTGGAGTAAGTAGTCGTTTTCCCTGAGTCACGTGTCGTGTCCAAACGAAGCTGGGAGATATGTCTGCCATTTCATGAAGCTTTCGTCTGTCCGAAAGGTAACTGTGGAAAGGTAGAAGTTCCATCCTAGGTCAATGACAGCGTCCCAAGTGGTTCTAAAGTGCGGCCCAAAGCGACTCTGAATGACAGTAAAGTTCAACAAGTCCGATAGAGGCCAGAAAAAGAACGAGGCCACGTAACTTTCCCAAAAAGTGCTTTGCATGCGCTCGTTGGCCTCATTGAAAGCATGCTGTACTCGTGTTTGGAGGCATGTAGTTGTAGTTCCTCTTCCCTGCTGTGAAGCCGGGTCGTCGCAGTTTCTGTCCAGTAGACTTTTGCTAGACTTCTCACGTGCCTCGTCTATTCGGGTTGTTGTACTTCGTTTCGCATCGTCGCTTACTCCATGAACTACTGAAGCCTCGGGACGACGGCCGTCACTCAATGTATCTTTGCGACTTTCTGTTGCGTCGTCCTTACCAAGATCGACGCCGCCTAGTTCCGCTTCCTGTCCGCACAGTAACAACACGAAAAATTTAGACAGGAAGATGAAAGCGGGAGTGCTAATCGGCATATACAGAAATTGCACGGCCAGCATTTTTGGCACGGCTCGTCGAATTGTGGGCTCCGGTCCGATGTACAGGTCTAGCCCCCGATGGAACCATAAAAGTGGCCCGCCATTAAAGAACGGAGCACAAAGCGCAACCCCGAGTGTCCGCCGCACGTCATAAGCACCTCTTTTTTGCAGCAGCTGATGTAATAAGGCGTCGCTGCGATCTGGTGGAGACGACACTACTTTTGTTCCGGACTCGCCATTTTCTATCCGCTGATCCAGTGATGCGGATAAGGGCTGCTCGTCTCCTGTCCCGTGGCATGCCCGCTCCTGTACTATCCTGGTTGTGACAGTCTGTGCGACAACTCCACATTTCCCCTGCTCCTCCTTGTTTCGCTGGTGCTGCCTTTCTGCTGCCTGCGCCAGTACGTCGGAGGCACCGAAAAGACAAAACGTGGCAGCGAGGGGAGCTAGGTTGGGATACCGCGCATACTGCCCCTTGATTCTGGTCGCAAGACATTTCAGAACCATGCATTCCTGGAAAATTCTAAACTTTTCTACATACAACTAAATTGGAAACTTCACTCTTACAGTGAAAAGCGTCAGCAGTACAAAAAACTACTTGAGATTAAAATCACCGTCGCGGATAAGATCATACAAAACACTACTAGAGCATACTTTAAGTATAATACAACGTTCTGCAGCTGGTTTCGTTCCTAGTCTGATATTCTGGAATTCCAAGACAGAGCAAACAAAATCGAACACGCCAACAAAAATCAAGTTCCTCGCCACGCCCTAGTCGCTGTGCCTTATTTTTCCCGACTCACTAGTATCCATGCGTAGGCGCAAACAAACAAAGCCTTCGTACATTCTTAGACCGTCTATCAGACTTGGCAGGCAACTGGAAACTGCACGACTCTAACACGATTCGCACGATCACTATACTCAGCGCGGACTTGTAAATAGAACCGCACTGGATCCTCCGAAGCACCGCGACGATCTAACATCGCTGTCTCCCTATCGTCATCCCTTGGCTCGACATCGCGTCTTTTCTCCGCTTTAAAAACTGAACGACGCCTGCGCTTCGGCTGCTTCACAGATAATCGAACTAAAGCTTTATTTCCACGCCGCTCTGTGACAGCCTCTGGGTCGTCCTCCGCTGCTGCGGCAGCAACCAAAGCCTGGCGCAATGGTGCGAAATTGACGAGCATATCCAAGCTAAAGAAACGAACCGATTCGCTTTGTGTCTAAAAAGAAACTTTGAAGCTTTTGAGTGCTTGAAATGTGATGAAATCTTACACCTAGGGGTAAGTTACCTGCGCAGCCCCATCATAGTACTATCAAGAGTGAGGCTAGAAGTCCAAAAAAGAGCATAGGGGGATCTCTCAAGTAAACAAAGAAGAATAAACACAGAGGCGCGAGGGGGTCGGGGATGGCTGATTTCCGGCAGTTCCTTCCCTTCAGCGTCACTTTCATCGCGGCAACCCGCTCAGCCTCCTCCTGTGTGAGTGTGTACTCGCTACGTGTCAGCTGCGCGGGGCTCTCGTTGATGCTCGCGCCTACCCCGCCGCCTAGCTGCGCCGCCCCCGCTGGGTGTTGGTCTTTTTGTGCGGTTGCGGCGATCTCCGGGGGCTGCTTTCGCCTTGCTAGTGGACACCATCAAGGCCCCCCTGCTTTTGCCGGTAAAAATTTCTTTTATTAGAGGTAGGTTTTTGGTGTTCGTTTATCCCGTTTGTTATGGCCGTCCCCCTTAGGAGAGCCATAACAAACGGTAACAAAAGCACCTTTATCCCACCCTTAATTTTAGTAGTGGCAAGCGGCGCAGGCGTGTCGCGCGCTCGTCTTAAGGTGCTTCACGTAGACGCACGCCGGGTCCTCTTCCTGCGCGAACTTTAGCCACATGCCCGCTATCTATATGCGGGGCGCTGCTGCTGCTGCTGCTGCCCCTTCTCCCTCCGCTGCTGTCTTTCCATATATGCGGTGTGCTTGAGCTCACTATGTCGGAGAACGCCGCAAACTCTGCGGCGTGCTGTACGATGGGCGACTTCTCTAGCATTTTCTTCGCTGCCGCCTTTGCGTGATTTGCTCGGACGTCATCGATCAGCCGCAGCAGCCAGAAGCTGCCCCGGGGCTCGCTCGCAATTGCCACAAAGTCCCCTGGCGTTCCTTTTGTGCCCTCCGTGTGGCTTCCCGCCAAGTCTTTCAGGATGCGGGCAGACATTTGATCATATGGCGCTAAGGTGCGGCAGCTCTTGCGACAATGCGATAGCACGCCCGCACTCCCGAGAAAGAATTAAATTTGAGACATCCCCACACATTGCTCATAGAGATGACGTGAGTAACTCAATCGTCCTCGATAACTGTTGGCCAATTATACTATAGACATCGAGTACCTCGTAGTCCTCCTCCATGTAGTCCCCAGGTGCTGGGACAAGCGAGAAGCTAAGTTCACCTTTATCGGTCAAAACGCGATTTGTTGGCCATGGCAGTTCCTCCCGCTGATATCCCTCTTGAAAAAGTCTCTTGTTCACATTTGCTGGTGCCAACGCACTAGCCCCTGCCAACGCGCTACTTCTATTAGTCAATTCTGATCCTGTTGCCGTTAAGGACGTCCTTCTAGATGATGAACGCTCCGGAGGTGCAAAGCTGGCGTCCGTTGCAACATCTTCTCTAGCTCCCGGGCCAAAGGCTCGCGCATCCCGCTCCGCAACTGCTTCGGTGTAAAATTCTATGACACGGCTGTTCACCGCAGATGCTGGCTGCATTTCTGTACGGCTAATACCAAAAAGTGCAGGAGAAATCCAGCCATGTTGCCCTGCATTTTCGGCATCCTGTAGTTCTGCTGCTTTTCTCTCTGCAATGCTGCTCGAATCTTCTGGAAGAAACTCAGCCACTGTAATCTGCATCGCTACATCGAGAGGATTAGCGAAAACTAAGAAAACTTCGGATTCGCCAGACGCCAGCAGCTCCGCGTGCAGATCTGAGCGCGTTTTTGTCCGTTTGGCAGAGACTGCTAAATGCGGCAAAAATCGCCCAGCAATGTTTTCCTTCTGAAAAGGCGGCACGCTGCAAGGGTTTACCTGAGGCTTCACCACGATGCGATTCGTGTAGCGACTGCGTCTAGACCTCTTCGTCAGCAACGGTTTGCGGAGCGGGAAAAGACCATCTTAGAAGAGATATGACGAGCACTGATCCTCAGAAATGCCTTCTGAACAAAAAAGCGTCAACCCCTGAATAAGGCCCGGATAGTAGACTAAGTTAAGGTTTGCGCTGAGGTTTAGGCTTGTTAGGAAGCTCTTAGTAAGCATAACCCGACAGGAACGTGAGTAGCACTAGAGGACCAAACAGGATATTCATGAGGTAGTTTAGTTGGCCATAAGTGTCATCCTCGAAACGGCGAGCGGGACCTCGATGGAAATCAGTGCCCGATGCGACCAACTGTTCCACTGCCTGCATTAACGAGACCCCAGAAGATGGTTGAGAAAAGGGCTGAGAGGTTAGAGATTGCAACTGCGCGAGGTCTGTCACTAGCTCAACAGGCGTTTGATCGACGAACAATTTGCAGTTACTTCGCATTACATCCGCATGCGCAGCTGCACGCAGCATAAATCCGTCATATTCCGGTAATCGAAAGCCGTCAGAATCCGCTCTCAGCGTAGTTTCTGTTGTAGAGCCACCAGTTGCGTTCGCTTTCTGGGACGCATCCGCAGACTCCTTGACTCCTAATTGACGACCGTCTAGCGTAACGCAGACGCCTTTTTCCGCCCATAGTGCTGCTGGCACCAACTCCCCAGCTACTTCGGGCGCTGCTGCACGACTATAGACGAGATAGCCGTCACGAGGATGCCGCATTGCGCTTCTCTCGTCGAGCCCGGCGACGAAGTCCTGCACGGTTTCAGTCCCACCGAGTCGCAAAACCTCATACGGCCGGAGCAAGTTGCTACGCGGATCTTTTCTTTTCGTCTTTTCTTTCGCAAGACGCTTCTCCAGATCAGCAGCGCTCCACACCGGCGATCTGCGCTCGTCGTCGACATCAAAGCCCAGCCTCTTTTGATTTCCGAAAGACGAACCGTCACCTAAGATCGCTGCTTGCGCTGTCAAGGAATGCCGCTCCAGTCGTCGCTCCAGGTCACGTATTCTTTTGCTTTCGCGCATTAGACAAAAGTGCCTCGTCCTGCAACAAACGCTCACCTTGCTATGCCAGAAACGAACAGTCTTGCTCTAACACCTTCTGTACAACCGCCCTAAAGTAAAAGTTCAGCAACACGAACAAGACGCACAGTTCAGAGCATAAAGATGAAACCTGCAATCAATGTGCAACAAAACTCAACCTCAAGCACCATAATTTCGCACGCTTCTGAAATACCCCACAGAGTCGCTGAAACTCCGCTAGCCCTGTACTTGCGCTTTCTCGAGCTAGCACGCGCTGCGCCAGCTCCTCCGGTCTTGCGCTCTGCAGCATTTCGCCTCCCTGCCAGCGACATCCCGGACACGAAAGCGTGTAGAAGATATTCAATGCGCCAGACGAAGAAGACGCTTCAGCACTCGTTCTTGACGATCTTTCTTGTCCTCCTCGTCCGTCTCTCGTCTTCTGTGTAAAAGTCAGCGTGGCTCCGCAACGTCCGCATTCAAAACACCGCGGACAGCGTGCGGAATAGGCTGTGGCTTCGCGAGTCGGTAGATTCTGCAGACAATGGGGGCAATAATACGAGTCGATCTCGTCTACCAACTCGGAGGGCGAAAGCAGCAAATCGCAAGAGTCATCGAAATAAAGCTGCGACAACGGCAATACCGATACGTCAGGTGTGATATAGCCAAGCCACGGGGGGCTTGGCCGTGAGCCCCCGATTGCTCTGCTATCGGCAGACGGAGAACGACCTGCAGACGTGGACATGGGCGTACCTCCTTCCTTCTTTATTAAATGCTGAATGACACCGATTCGCAAGCCTCCAAGACAAAGTAAAACATATCATAAATTGAGTTCGAAAGAGGTGATCTCATGCGGGCGATACAAAACTACTAATTGTTGGCTTCTTGAGAAAGTAGGATCTTCCGTATCAGGGGTTTACTAAAAGTTGACTCTTGTTACCCACCAAGTCATCTTTTCTTCATCTGCTTCATCTGAGCTTTTCCTTAGGGTCCAAGACCCTTCATTTTTAGTGATCGGCAGTGCCTCCATGAGCATGTCACGTGAAGTGCCTGCCTAGTACAACCTTTACAGCGGAATTGATCTGCGTTGTGGAGTGCTTACCCTCACTCCCACATCGGTCCACTAAAGACACCGATCTTCACCGACATCCACAAGAAAACTTACAACATCGAAACTTGACGAATACTTTCTTTTTTATGGCAGCGAGCACAAAGGATTTGCGAACACTAGGACAGGACGCCTTTTCAGTGCATCCATCAGAGCTGCTGCATCTCGGAGTGGCTAGATGCGTACTCGATTCTACCTTACCTTCTCGTCAGCATCTACAGTCATTCGTTATCATTATGTAGCAGAGAGGCCTCGCATTATATTGGCGCACTCCGGACAGGGCCTACTCGAGGAGACGGCATGTACGCCTACGACCGAAGGATCGCGCTCCCAAAATTCTACGGTTAGCCGCGGCTGGCTACTCCTGTCCCCGTAGATCCGACTGTATGCGTCGCGCCCGGAGCAAGGACACGCGGAGGAGTAGTGTGCCACTGTATTGCAGCGCGAAAGGTATAGGATTACCGGACTACTCAAGCCCATGGGATCGGACAACATGCAGCAGTATGCATCATGCAAAGGCTGGCGAGTCTCTAACTGAATTGAGAGCCAAACTATTACGAGATCCCAAGCCTACGCGCCAACCTATCGGCGCAGGGATATGCCCGCGGCCGTTCGCGTTTTACTGGCCTCACCTCTTGCACGCTGCGCCGGGCGAAGCTTTGTCGGGCTGCTGGTATTGCGCACGCCTGTGCATTGGCGGAAGACGCACGGCCCGCGGCCATTGTAACCCGGATGCGCCTGAGCGTTTGCCCGAGTTTCCACTTTGCAAGGTCGCTCGCGCGACGCCTGGAGACGATCTGCCTGGCATCCACATCTTTTTCCTAGAAACAGATGAAGCACCCGTATCTATGTATAAATAGTTTTCTCACTATCGCCTCCGGGACAAAGAGGTCAGCCTAATAAAGTCAAAGCTTAGAGGCATAGATATTTATCAGTTATCAGCTCACAGAAAAATCTGGGCGGCTGAAGTAAAAAGACTAATCTCAATTTTGAGGATTCTATCAAGATACTCATCTACTTCTTCAAAAAAACTACTTTTACTAGAACTAGTACTATCTAATCACACATTTACCTCTAGTATCATGTACGACACCTTTCTCATGTAAGTCACAACACTAGTCTCTTATCACCACCTGCTCACAACTGATAAAAAGAAAGTGTGCAACGACGGGAAAACAGCAGCGAAGTAACAAATGTAAAGCCCTCCGCTTTCTATGTTACCAAGTAAATGAAGACCATATCACCCGTTGTTCGGGAATAAGCAAGAATAGATATCGTCAGTCGTGAAAACTCAGTACCTGAATGATACATCGATCTTTTGCTGAAACTCGAAACTCTGACCGACAGAAACGCATCACAGAAGGCAATATGAACTCAAACCGAAGACGACCTCTTCTAGATAAGTGCTTTGATAGACCAGCTTCAGATTGAAATGCAGTCCATTGCACAGGCTTTCCTTCAGCAACTCTTAAAAAGACTCTAAGAACAGTGAAATTGACTCATCCTCAGACGGAGTGCACCTCAACAGATTTTGGCTCGTTCTCAAGTGGTCACTATCAACTCAACTACTCCTATTGCACAACAGCTCGCCCTTCTTTTTCTTCTGAACACAATGTAGAAAACACAACACACAATGCCGTGCTGAGCCACCGACGTTAGGACGACGATAGAATGATGAACACTGAGCAACACTTTCTTGTTTTCTCGTCTACACGAAGAGCCAACAGAATTCTGGCAGAGCATGGCTTGTCTCTCGATACATATGGAACCGCATGGAACACACTACTCTCTCGGCAACTTGAGCACTGTGACTCTTGGACGGCGTAAACGCTTTTGGTCTGTTCTATGATTGACGGTAAAATTCTCGATGAGAGTACAATGAGTAGGAGTTCTTGATTCAGTGTGATGATCATCTTTTCATGTCGGCTCACGTCCGTGTAACTCATACATCAAGGTTGAATACCTGGTGAACTGGGAGTTGGTGTCACGGAAGAGAGTCAATCTGACGAAGCACGGATGCCTGCCCAGATATTTGAGGTAGATGAACAGAGAGGCACTTCATATCAAACTTCGAGCTGCTCCTCCAGCGCTGACCTCAACAATATTTGCTACTGACTCGTCTACCATCATGCCTCATGCGAGCGACGATGTAGTCTGCCAGCTGCGCCTCTAGTGGAGCGCCAAGGTCTTCTTCCTTTTGTCCAAGGCCATTCGACCGATTGATATGTAGGCCTACACTGTCCGTTGCCGCAGCTTCCGACTCCGGTGGCTTCGCCTCGACTACCCGGACGCGTGGATCCATGCTACTCGAAGATTCGCCTCCCTGCGGATCCGAATGATCTGCGTTGACTATATCGGCTTTCTGACCCGCCTCTACTGCTTCAACACTTTCATTGTCCGTCGTCGTAACTGCAAGTACGTCTTTTGGCGATGGCAACGTTGTGAGGAAATTTACGTCGAAAAAGAAAAATTCTCTGTTCTTTTCGAAGAACTCTATGCTGCCCATGTCTTGGTGGCAGGAATTTGCTATCTCCCGAACTTGCTCTCGTAGTGCGTCCGATACAGGATAGGGCCTTAACTCTATGGTGCCTTTTCCTTTCCCTGCACCCTCTGCAGTTCTCTGACAAACGCACGTATTGAAAACGTCTTCGGCTAGTTTCTCGTCCCCCGACTTTGGCAGTTTCGTGTTCCTTACTGACGCTGCGCCAAGAATCGTTCTTCCCCTGTCGCAATGCCAAATCCTCACAAAATTTTGCGCGTCTCTTACGTACTTCTGTACCAGCAATGTTCCGTCAGTGGAATGCTGAGAGAAAAAGTCGTCATACAAGGCTTGCATTGCCTCGTTTTTCTCCAGCACTCTCTCTCGCAATGACGGTGCTTCCAGTTTTCTTGAGGTTTTCTCCTGATGCTGTTCGATTCCACGTATCAGAAACCAATCTTCAGCGTACTTCCGGAGCTCTAGGCCGTCGCGAAAAAGCGTAATTCCACGCCCGAAACCACCCGCGTTTGGCTTCAAGAGAACCGGAAAGCCCCCAACCGCGCTTGCCTGCTCTGCCGCCGCGTCAACGAAGTGCTCAACGCATGACCGCTCGTCTAGCGGATACAGTCTGCCTACAGCCTTTTCGGTGTTCTCTTCCTCTTCTAGAAGGAACCCTCCCGTCTCCTGCTCAGTGTTCGTCTTGATTTTCGTCGAACCACGACCACTTGCACAGACTTCTGAGACGCGCAAAGTTGTGTCAGTCCCCAAGACCACATGATGTTCCATCAGAGTAGAGGCTTCCCCCGCGTGCAGCCTCTCCACCCTCTGCAATATCGCTAGGTGCAAATTCGAAGAGCGAAGCTGTCGTGTCTCTGGACTTCGAAAGCCTAGACGATGAATTTTAGCATGCTGCACAGTTTTACTCCAAGCGGTGGCCAAAGCGTGTGACCCGTTCACAACCGGCACTTGCCACAGCTCACAATACGTAAGAAAATTGTGGACAAATTTCTGCAGATCCGAGTTCTGCGCATCAGATACGCGGTTCACCACGCAGTCAAATGGGGGCTTCACCATCGGATCGAAGGATGCGTATCGAGCGTCTACGGGCACCACTTTGATATCAACAAGCGGGATCTCTGACACTGGAGCTGCGGGAGCCTCTGCAGCAACTGTGGCACTGAACTCCGCTACCTGATCATTGCTGGAATGCTCAGTCTCGCGTTCCTTCTCGCCTGCATCAAGGACCCTAACAGCGATTTTCTTCGAACGTGTCACCTTCATCATGTCATTTGTCGGAACGTTCGCGTGCGCCTTCGCTTCTGCAATCCGCTTTTCTTGCAGCTCTCGGGCCTTTCGCAGTCGTGTGTAGTCACAGAGTTCGTGCAACAAACGCTGGTTCCAACGCGCGTCAAGCTCGCCGTAGTGTAGCAAAGCTAGGTTATACTGGTGCAGAACATTTGGATCATGTACCTTGTCCGCACTTGTCCCGTCGCCCCCTACAGCTGCGCCATCCTCTGCGGTGTTTTCCTCAGCAACGTCTTTCTCTACTACATCACCTGCCTGATCAAGCGTTGAAAGCAAACGCATCAGGCGCAAGCAGTCAGGGTCAATTGCACTTTTCGGGGTTTGTTCTTTTTGGTCTTTTCCAGTATCGTTTTGCCAAAAGCGGTGAATCAGCTTGGAATTCTCGGGCAGGGAGTCGCCTTGGTCCCTAAAAGTGATCGCTATCTGGTACGATACTGCCGTTGCGGGTGACTCGTTGGGCTGCGGACAGTCCACAATTTTCACCACCTCTTTGAAGCAGCTCTGTTCCAGTGTGTCATCCTGTATAAACTGAGGAAACAACCGCAGTTCTTGACTGCAATCGTACACGCGCCGATCGCTAAAGAGTCCCTCATTCGTGCCCATGTGCGTTTGCGCCAAAATGGACTCATGATCGTCACCCTTCTCTTCCTCCCCTGGGTCACCTGGCAGAGCGAAGCGCACGGAAGACTTCCGTTTCAGGTCGCCGCCTTTCCGCTCTAATACTCGTTCCTCCTCTAGTAGGGCTCCCCTTCCAGGACCTCTCACAGTCGCAGGATCAACATCATCCCGATTTTCCTCCAGTGCACTTGGTGCCCGAGCACTTCTCGACAAGCCTATTCGCGTGCTTCGTGTAGTGTTATTTCGTTCACTTTCAGCAGAAGCCGGTCCAGTTGCGCTTTTCGCGCTTGAGCGGACAGAAGACGGCCAACTGGGGCCATGGGGAGAACTGGCACCCCCCGACTCGAGAGTTCTACTAGGAGACCGTAAGAGAGGTGAAAAGCCGTTGCTCTGTGCTGGGGCAGAGGGTGATGTTGAAGCGTCACGGACGCTTTGCCTGGGCACCTGGGAAGATAACATACCAAGCACCACTTTCAGCAGCACTGTGCAAATAGCAAGCTTTGTAGCTGATGCTAGTGATTCGTTTTCCGAAGTCGCAAGAAGGTGCAAAAGCTTACGCACATCGATTTTCGCAATATAACGCTCTTTCAGCCGCCTGCAGGTGCGGCCAATCGATATGGAAGATATAATTGGTGTGTAATGCAAATGAAAGGCGTTTGGATCGTATCTGTCTTCGATGCCTAGCCCTCCCTCTTGTATCGTGCTGTTACCGAAGAGCAGGCGCTCGAGCACAGCAGGCCGGCTATATACCGGCTTGTTGCTCTCCCGATCAGCATAGCACATCCCCGCGAAAGAGAACCTGCCCGGTTCGCCCTCCCGCTGCAGGTGCTCCATTATTCTCGCACGCTCGTGGAGCAAAAACTTGTTGAATTTTCGTCGAGAAAAATGAACGAAGTAGTCTCGCTGAATGCGTGCCTTCCGCTTTGCGTTCGCGCCAAACTCCTCCTTGAGATCCACTTGCAATCTCACTGTCGCTCTCGCAGGTGCAGGAAACGCCACGTGCGCCTCAGAGGACGACAACAACCAGGCCCGAGCATCCTTGCTTTCCATGTTTCTGGCCAAAAAACCGCTTCCACCACCGTCGCCCGCTTCTTGCTTGATACTCTTATACCCTGAGGACGAATTGTAGCCCCCACGGCGTCCGTGCAGCAGAAGGCTTTCACGAATGACACGTCGCATTAGTGCCGACCACTCGCCTTCTTGTCCTCCTGCTCGTATAACATCTTTATCCTTCTCCGTGCCACTCTCTCTGTCTCGTCGTTTCTTCGTATTGAAGCTAGAACTTCCTGGGGACACAAGATCCGCACCGTCATCTAGTCGCATCGCAGTATCGCCAAATGCAGTCAGTTCGAATTGGCCTCGACCATGCCATCGCAGCTCGCTCCCTCGCTCCTCAAGGCGGTTGCGCATCAGTTTGGCGAGAGCGACAATTTCGTCTCCTGTGGGTCCAACTCGCTGCTCTCCAAAAGACTTCGCGAAGAAAGCAATCCTTTTGCGGACCTCACGGATAAACGGGTCACGCCCATCCTCAACGTCAGAGCCAGAGCCGGAAGAGGACGCCGCCATCTTGATCGACTTTATTTTCGCGTTGTAGTCTAGAAAACTTATCTAAAGCGAATTAAACATAGCATGCAGTGCGCTCTCATGCACGAAATTAGTCCGAGATGCATGGATATTTCATACAACCAATGCAAAAATCTCGGCGACAAGGCGCACTACAATGCATAGATTCATTATTCTAAAGAAGACAGTGAATCAGATAAGAACGAAGCGGGGGCACAATCAACTTTTATGGGGATCGATAGAGCCGCGGTATGATGAATAAAATCATTTTCCCAAGTAACCAGAAGCATGCGTGGAGGGTCCGAATTTTGAATCTACTGCGTCATTATCAATACAGTTTTCTTGTGGTCTCAATCCTACAATCACCTACACGCAATATTTGTCTCTCTCTGCACATCACCATGCCTCATCACGGTGAGGCCCGATACAATTTTCCTTTCTCTCGTGACAGATAAGAAATTCGTCTTCCATTTCTCATAGATAGGCTAATGGGTGAAAAAAGTTGTTTGTATCACATCAACGATCCTCTCTGTGCATAAAACAGATCATCACGTGTTGACAGAGTGCAGGGGATTCAGATCTCGCGACGAGCTTTACAAATCTTACGCAGCCGACAAAAAGCTTCGCAAGCAAACTCTCGAATCATCATTTTTCCAAGAAGTATTCTTTTTCACAGGCAACTTTAAAAAATAGCGCGGTAATTTCCGTTGGTGCGGGTGTGCTCACTAGAGCATTCATAGTCAGTATCTGGTAGTAAAGCGTTAGGTATGAGGATGTTCTTCTTGGATCCTTGCCCAAATTTCGCCCGCCTCTACTAGACACGAGCTTGAAACGACCAAGTTCGCGGTGAAACCCTCGACAACCGCTCTCTCCTTTCGTTGTTCTTGTTTTCGACGTAGTCGGTTATTGCTCCTCGAACAACAATAGGACAGCCCACGTAGACTACAGCGTCTCCTCACAAAAAGCGCCCACCAATGCAGCAAAATTTTCGATGTCTGCTTTTGTGACGTCCATGTGGAGGACCAGTCGCGTAGTTCCCCTCTTTGATTTCCCGCTGTCAATGATGAAGTTGTTCTTTTTCACAGTCAGTTCGAAATGCGCAGACATCCTATTCCATGCCTCCTGCTTCAGAACTGCAGCAAGTCCTGCGTCGCCTGCTTCTACCGCCTTAGCTACTTCGCGGTCCAACTTCTCCTTTTCAGAACGCAGCGACGACGATACGAAAACGAGAAAAACCATATTTGTTCCCTTCACCTCATCGTACTCCGCACTCATCTTGCCCTTGCACTTTGCCAGAACGTCAGTCCATTGTTTAGAAGCTCCCGAGAAGAAAAGGCTCGATGAGAAAAAAATCTATTCATTAGTCCTGTCTTGACATACAATTGACTTGAAAATTCTGTTCTATATTCGAAAGCAAAAAATTATCGATTCTGCTCTTCAATCATAACATTATTCCCTTGTCCGAGCGCGATGAGTTGGTACACGTACCTTGCGTTTTGGTGGTCTTCGAGCAGTCGCTTGCGATTGTGGTTCCAGACGTATTCACAGCCTGCGGAGAGCATTCCTGCTCCCTGTCTCATTCCACCACCCGTCGCCTTTCTCCATCTTCTTGCCATATCGGCAAAACCAGGCAACCTACTGCAGAGGATGGCCCCAGCAGCAGCGCCTAGACCTTTACTGGCGGATTAGACGAAAGTAAGTTAGCTTTTGAAGTGGTGACAGTATAACTGACAGTAGTTAGAAACCCCGTGCTGGGTAGCACGTCAGAACTAGCATAATACCGATCAAATCTCTTTAGGATTAGGTCACTGGGATTTTTCTAAAACTAAATGACACATGCATCATAATAGCAGATGGTGATCGAGTCGACGTACTGGCAGAACTCTTTCAGCTCGAAGCCGAATTTTGCACACGCGTTGACAATTCTGGCTCCGTCGCAGTGAATCCTCATTGCGTCTGCTTCCGGCCGTTTGCTGTTCAGGCGATCCACCAACTTTCGCAATTGCTTGTAGTAGCCTAAATCGGTAGCATCGCCGACATGTGAGTTCTCGACCAGAATGCATCGAGTCCTGGGAAAGTGCACGTTGTAAGGTCGGATCGTCTGTTCTAGCTTTACCAGATTGTATTCTCCACCATCCATATCCAGAGGATACATCTGCACGCCTGCTAAGCTGGAAACGCTCCCGCATTCGTAAAAGAAAGAATGGCCGTGCTCGCCCACGATGCACTCGTCGCCTCGCTGGCAGTGCGCAAGGATCGCACACAGGTTACCCTGACAAGCAGTTGGCAGGAAAACTGCACCTCCTCCACTGCTTGCCCAACCACATTTCGCATTAGATGAAAAGATTTAGATTTACTTGAAGTATCCATTGTGCTAGGCCTCTGTTTTGTTCATCGATACCAGAGGAAGCTGAAAACTCTCCCCTAAGCAGTATATTATACTTTAAGACGTATAAAACCTTTAGCAGCATGAGTCAAAAAGTCGGTCCGCAACATAATTACACAAGCACCATATTATAAGTAAAAAACAGTGTGGGCAGTCGTAACTTCAGTCATGAATTTTTCGAAGCCGGTTGCAGTTGGGCAATCGTTCCATACGTCATCACCCGTGATGGCTTCACACATTGCTTTTTTATACCCCTCGCTTGGCTGCGTCACTGTGTCGGATCGCAGATCGACAAGACGAGATGAACCATTGCCGGGCGTCATTTTGTTTTTCTCTTTTGCTTTGAGCAAAATATCAATATAATTATTACTATGTTCGCGCACGACCCTACCGCCGCACACGTTCCGCGCACACAGCGCACGACTTCTATCTCGAATGATCTGTTGTAGTAGAAGGAACAAGCGTGGTAATATGAAATCGCGATAAGAAGACTGTTGTACTATATACAGGGTCAGGAATTAACTCGTGCTAACTTGCAAGGTATAATAAGGTACTACAAGGAATTGTATTTCTTTTCTTGTATCGTTCAATGAGAACCGCCTCATCGGAGTACCGCGACATTTTGGTCGTTCCGATCATTCCGTAGTCACTGTTTAATTGAAGGGAATTCCAAATCGTTGTAGGGAGCAGAAAGGCATTGCACATTCATTCTGTCAGGTTTACTTCGCACTAATTCTGGTTAGCAAGTCCTGCAGTCACTTCATGCATGTTGAAACAATAAACGGAAACAACGGAGGAGGGAAAAATACTAGAAGCAAACACATGCACCATTCTCGGGTTCTAAACCAGACTATTCGGAATTAGAAGGCGACACTATCTACTTGATTCAGAAATAAGGAAAACTTCAATGCGTGCGATACAATAGCGATCGATTTATAGCTCTATGATATGTATCCTATTCACATCCAACTTGCTTAGTATACATTGCATGCTACCATGGGAATGGGAAAAATAACTGGATATAATGCTGGAAAGCTCTTATTGTCACCAAGCTCTCTTTCCAGATTTGCTTTCAATTCTAAGATAATCGTACATGCACAGGAAAGCGAAAGGTTGTGAAATGATCAAATTGAAAAGCGACTAGGGGTCCCGCAGGGGGAAACATGACATTTTCTTTTGTTGTGTTAGTGTGAGTGTATAATCTAGACGCGCCTGTACAACATCTTCTCCTAGACTACTCGTGCTATTGATGTGTCGTGTCAAAGTGTTGATGTTGTCGGCACTGCTTGCCGCACAATGAATATACGTCGGAGAAGCATGATAATTTGGTGCTCCTCAATTTTTCAATTACTCAGCAATTGTATCCTGTTTTGAGAAAACTTGAGTGTCTTGGCCGCCAAAGGTGACAGTGGATTCGCGGCGATCGCGATTTTTTCGAGATTCCCCAGTGACCAAAATGCTGCTCTTGCGAGGCGCACCCGCAAAGCTCCCACGCGCACTGCCGGTGAGGCTCCCACTACCTTGCAGGCTGCTATTCGATCCGAAGCTGCCACTGCTACCTGGTGCTAGAAGGCTACTAGGTGCAGAGCTATCTTGATGCACGTCGTTTCCGCTTCTGCCTGCTTGCCCCGCTCCGGCATTGCTACGGCTGTACGTGAATGACACTGCAGAACGTGCGCCGGACCGCGAGGAAACAGGTTAGAGAAGCTCTCAACGTTAACTAACATTGTGTTCTGAAAAAACATGATGTTGAGTTGCGCTACCTACAATGATATTTAAATCTCGGGTATCAATCAGCCTTAAGGTGAGTCGTCGCCGTCTTCTGTAAGAATCTTTATGCCGCCTAAAGAAGATCGTCGCCGCGTACTTGAAGCAAGTGATGAACCCATGGTATTATTCCCTGACGTTCCGCCTCCTTTTCCACTCAAGGGTGCTGCACAAGCTACAGTGGTACTATTTGCAGACATGTCCAACGAGTCACGGCCACCGAAGGTATCTAGTGCTCCGGATGCTAGAACCTCAGTGGCTCTTGCATCGGGCACTCCCAGAACCACTGTAACGCCGTCATCACCGCGCCCCTCCCCGGGGCCCTTCCGCTTTTTCTTACTCTTCAGCTGCCTCCCCTGGATCCCAACGGTGGCGCGAACAATGCTGGCCGCAGCCTTAAATAAACCCTTGCCACGCCTTGTGCTTCGTGGCGACTTCGGTTCTCCATTCACTCCTTTTCCCTGTTGCGCGACTCCTCCACCTGAGGGCACTCTTTTTAGAAGAGGGACAGAGTACTGGCCGAGTATAGCACCATGTTCATGCATTCGCTATCTGAACTTAGGAACATCCATGTAGCTGTTGCTGACGATCACAGATCAGAGGTTACACAGTAATTCAGAAGCAAAAGCATACTCCGAAAGGTAAATGCATAATGGATTCTCTCCCGCTTTCCGTCGCTCTTCCTCTTCTTCCGACGCCAAAATGTTCCGCAGAAGCTCCGCTGGAGACATCCGTTCCTCATCGAGCTCTTTTTCTACTTTCTTGGCCGTCTCCAATGTGATTCTTTGGACACTGATGTTTGCAGTCATCCTCCGCGACTGCTCCCCAAAGTGTTCGAACACGCGCGAAATGGCGCCCACGTTGCGACCCGCGTCTGCGTCGATTTCCGATGCGTTGCACCGTAGGATCTTGACTGAAGATTGTTGTTGGACTGTATTGTGTGGTAATACTGCGGTGACGACTTGCGACTGCCGCCGGTCCTGCATCGACTTGCGTCGTTGCGTCCCAGTCGGTGCCACGTTTCCTGGGTTCAGAACAGCACCCTCATCAATGTTTTCTAAGATGTTGGCACGAGAGACACGCGGAACGATAGACGCGCGCGCAGATTGTCGCCTTTGCGGCAACAAAAGCTGACCGCCACCTTGCAATGCAATCGCGACCGTGCCGCTTTCGTGCGCCCCTTCAACATGGCTGCCGTCAGAGCCAGTAGCTGTTATCGGAAGCTGGCCACCGACTGAATTGTTTCCCGTCAGGAGGAGCATACCTCCGGACTCTAAAACAACAGACCCTCGCACAGTGCTCCTCCGTCGCTGTGCCGCTGGCAGCGAGGATTGGTCCGATAGGCCGCCACCAAGACCCACGTGCGCATGATTATCTCCCCTATTCGAAAACATTCCTCGAACACCGTCACGGTTGTCGCTGAGCAACGTTGGTCCCGGTAGAACAACGTATGTCGAGCTCTCCTTCCGCAACAACTGTCGCCCGCCTGACAACCCGCTCTCCTCTAACACCGTGCTCTCCTTTCGCCGCAGGAGCCGCTGCAAGTTCCCTCCTCCAACCCCACCACTCGGCTCCGACTCCGAGTCATCTTCTGGAACGGTCGCAACAGGGCCATTGATCGTGCTCCCGGCTCGACTGAAGGTACGTCCTACGAGAGCACTACTCCCTTTTCGCACGATAGTTCCGCGGCTCGACGGCGGGCCGCTGCCTCCCCCGAAAACCATGGAACCCGCGCGACTGAAGCTGCGGCCACCACCTCCAAAATCCGGAAGGTGCGCAGACGGATCATCCTCAAAGCGCGTTGACTCTTTGCGAGTTACGGACTTGCGATGCCTTGGAAGCGCACCTCCATCGAAGACACTTGTCCGGAGCGAAGCCTGACTGGGCAGGAAAGTCGACTCCCGTCGCGCAGTGAAAAACTCATTCGGCAAAATTATGCCTCCAAAATCTTGAAACACACTCTGCTTCCGGTTTGAAGGCAGTAACTGGTGTCGATGAAGTCCTAAGGGCTAGATATCATGATTATAAGTAGTCAGTGTAAAAAAAGTATGACCACGACGCGCCAGAAGGACAAACCCTATTTGCGGTCGAGCCCAAAGCAAAAGAGCAGGAGATTGAGTTACTCCCGAGCACTTAGTTCGGAGGATAACATAGCACTTCGGCGACAACCGCCGTGAGCATTGGGGCTATTGATTAAACGTTGGTAGTACAGTTACCTTCCTATCTGCCACCGAACTAGAAGAAGCACTCGCTTGCTCCAATGCCAGGATAGTGTCTTTTCGCACCATCTGCTTGATAGTTCGAGTCTCCACGCTATCGCTATTTTGTCCTCCCCACATGCGCATACCGTAATTGACAAACTCTACACCGTATCTGTCTTTCAACACTGGTCGGAGACTCCACAGCCCGGGCCGTGTGTGCCGGCCTCCCCTTGAAGACGACGTAGACACTGTCGCTGATGACAGTGCACTGTCGACACCCCCGACACGAGTGGCGTGGCCCAGACCAGTGTAGGTGGAGGTTGAACCAAACATATTAGTATCTGCAGCGCCTTTGTTCGGGCTGTCCGAGCCTGCATGCACCTCACCTACAACGGGCGCAAATTTCGCTTCTCCAGAAGATTGATCTCGATCTCCATCGCCTCGAAATAAATGGTCCTTACCTGTCGAAGAAGGGGGTTCTCGATGTCCTCCTGTTGAAGAATGCTGCAAAGGGGAACTCGAACCATCACCGTGCTTCTTTGAGGATCCTGCGTCTCGTATGTTCACATGTCGTTGCGCAAACGGCGACGAGGAATACTCACGCATCAGCAGACGCGTAACAAAATTACTCTTGTCGTAGTCGACCCATACTACGGCATCAACGGAACTGTAACTCAGCCACAAACGCAGTTTCTCAATGATGCCTTCGTTCTCGCGTCGAACTCGGCACTCACAACCGTTGAAAAACCCAATCGCTTCACGATATGAAAAATTGAAGCAGCGCTGCACATTCTGTATGCACCGTTCTAAATCCTTAAACCGCGAGAGTGCGTAGCGGACCTGGATTATTCTGAAATATCAACAATTTCGACAATACAATCCCACGTTTGATCCACGCGACACGAAACTTTTGAAAAAATACTCCAACCGCGTCTTTCTTACAGTGCCACATGATCCTGTTGACTGAAAATGCTTGTTGTTGAGCCTATCTGATTACAACAGAGAAACAGAATCCACCACTGTGACCAAAATGAGTTTTTTCCTTGCAGCACCTGTTTCCTCGGCATGTGCGTGAGCTCATCCTTGCAAGCAAGAAAAGGCGGAAGTTCCGGTCCGTCGACGAGCCACTGCGTCCGCAGTTGAATTTGCTCTCTTGGAGCTACGAAGGCAAGGTTTGTCGGACCCCAGTCGAGAACAGCTATGTTTCGCATTTGATGCATCATCGAATACCGCGGACCGTGATGCCGATAGTCCAACATCATCTCGCTCTAAGAGTAGCACGAAAGGGAATAAATTTTCGCACAACTCCCTTTTTTGGCTACACTTTAGCTTTCCGGATTAAGCCTTCCAGGGGTGCTCCGTCGCAGCCCCGGATAACAACACATCTGCAGATAATCCATGACCGCAGCGACAAGCACCAAGAGGACGCCGCACAAGCACCAAGAGCGGGCTCGATCGACAACTCAACTATTCCCAAAGAACAACATCAGACACTCTGTGATGACCTTGTTCGAAATATCAGATACATCATGACTTTCACAATGACAGGGCCATAGGTAACTAAGCGCATAGCAACAAGGGTGTGGTTACAACCACACGAGCAACTTTCATAAAACGACGGGAAAACAAGTCAAAAGAAAAACTTCAAAGAAAGATCTTTCTAGAGAACATCAGAGGCCAGAACCGTCAAGCACCGACTCCAAGACAGACCCACCAGTCACCACTATACGTTCACTGATAACAGAATCATAGAATGGCAGTAGACATGCGTCAATGTCAGATAAGTAAAACAGGCCTCCTCCCGCTCCAGGAAGCTCTTGTCGGATTCGGAACAAGCACAGAGCGAACCGAAACTAAACCTCTCAAGGCTGATTCCGACAATATGAATATTCTCCCTCCCTTTCCACACTCCTGATCGTCGCATGTCTGTGACTGCGTCTTTTGCCTGACCCTTCGGTGATCAAGAGCGACCGATAAATCCGAACAGTCTCATCTATTTGCAATGACACTCGCATGCACAGCCTCTTTTGGTGGAAGGAGATGGAGATCCTCTTCGGCATAGGAAATGCAAAGGATCGGATTGAAAAAACCAAAAAAAAATTAATTACAGATCGCTTGTTTCCCTAATCGTCGTTCCCCGGCAGACTTGTTCTATGTCAGGCGAAAATGCGCTCAATGGACGACCCAAGTCATCAGCGCAATATACCATCAATTCGGATGCAGGGACACCCACTCCACACGATAGTTGTCCCGTCTTCTGGTATTTTCGCGAAAGTAGGGCACAGGCTATGCCTTTCGCCGCGAAGTCAGCAACGGGGTTACCATCCGTATCTAAATAAGCTAAAGACGGGTCCCGCAATCGTCGCACGTCGTCAATTTGGCAGCCTTCAAGTCGAATAAGCGAAAACGGCATTGTTGCAGGGGCAACGTCGACTAAATAAGGATAGGCAGGTGGCCGGCAACGCGATCCGCCCAATGCTTCACTCCTCTCATGAGAAAGAGGTGCCGCCGACAAATCAGTAGTAGTTGAATCCAATCCTGCCTTGTCCAAGTTGTTCGTGCCACGTCCCATCATACTGTCACCCGAGGCAGCTGCATAGGTGGCGTTATTATTTGCGAATGGATATATTGTAGAAGTTGCAACTTCGCTTCCCAACCGCTGGTCCACTTCTTTGCTATTACCAGAAGCGCCTGTACTATTGAACACAGCGTTTCCGAAAGAGCGCATGGCCGCTTCATCCACACCCCCAATCTCCGACGATGACATCGTTCGGTACTTTTCCCATGCGTCGCGGAGATATGTTTCTGCCTGAACAAGGCCGTTTTCTGGACGCGAATCGCAAAAACACGCGGACCCTAACTTCGTGGTCCAAAAAAGCGCATCGGAAGTGAGAGTGTCGCAGGCACGCCATCCATCTGTCTGCACGTTGCCGTCATGATCCGTGCCAGGTAAACAAGTTTCGCAGCTCGCATCCAAACAATTGCTTACTGCGATCGCCGGCGACCAAAAGCGGTACAACACATAAAAATGTGCCACCATCAGACCTACAGCCGTGAGGGCAACAGAATCCAACGCACGTTTGAAAGTTTGCGCACTGTCTGCAGGGTTGTAACGACCCCACTGTCGTGAACTCTGCAGTGGCTTTGCGTAGTACCAAATGTTGGCGAGGCCAGTGAAAGTGAAGAGCACGCCAAACATTTCGAACATGAAAGAAAGCATGGATAAACTGGGCGCGCGAATCTCGAGGGCCCAAAGAACCTGGACGAAAAAAAAAAGCGTAAAGGAGGTGAATGAGAGGAGCACCGCTGTCAAGCGTCCGCTGCGCTCGGGCTCGAACATGCGAAAACTTCGACTCTCAAAAACGAAAGCGTCAAACTGTTCGGCGTCGTCAAAACCTTTGTACGACGCGAAAAACTGAGGCCCTGGACTCCTCTTTGCGAGCTCCTCGGCGTCTTCATCCGCAACTCCTTTGTCGATGTCATAAAGCGTTTCATCATCGTCGATTCTTGCAACCGCCTCATCTTCATCCTCATGCTCTGGTATGATCATATTCGAATATGCAGCACCAAATCTAGCTCCGGCTTCGTCACAGACCTCCTTTTCTACTGCAACCTCTACTGCGACGCTCTGTAGCTGCCCAGATTGCATGCGCGCATCTTCACCTCCCGACGCGAGCAGTGGCGTTTCGAGTTGCGAGCAATGGTCGACACGCACAGAGCCCTCGCATCCGTCCAGGATTCCGCAATTTTCACACTCGTGCAGCACGGCGCATCCGTCGACCTCCGTTGCTTTCGAGATTACATCCTTCGAAGGAGTACCTGGCGAGCCACCGTTTATTGAGAATTCGCCGACACTGATAACAGAGGAACGCAAGTTGCTTTGGAGGTTATTCACGGTCTGAAACACATCACTGGGCCAGCACGAGCATCTTGCACAGGAAAATCGTACCACACGTCGAAAAAAGTGTACGACTCGCCTCACGTCTATAACGCTCCAACATTTACTGTAGTAATCCCCACTATCTTGTTCTTCCAGCACACTGTGCGCATGGAGAAGAACTGAGCACTCGCTGTCAGGAGACAAGCCCTTGTTTTTTACTGACATTGAAGACAAGACCTTGTTTTGTTGAAGATGCTCAGCCGGAGGTGCTTGCCGCTCTGAAGAGCTGATGTGTTTCATCGGATACAATCGCCGCTCTTTCCCATCCGACATTCGGACGATCAGATCACTACAGAATAAGGTGTGCGACTCCGCCGCCAAAAAGAGCATGAAGGCCGATATCGCGCACGCCTCGTGGGTCCATCGCTGGGTCTGCGACAAGGGGTCCCGACCTTCGGTCGTTGGAATCAAGATGAGAATGACGTAGCACATAGGCGCGAGCCAGCGCAGCGTGCGATTGCTAATTCCGTACCGCTTACAGCAGCACGCGCCATTGTGCAGCAAAAAAGGGTAGAAGGAGATCATTTGCGCCAGCGCCCCCAAGAACTGGAAGCAGTAGTAGATGCGCGTGTAGCCTGCCGTCGCATCCTGCACGGACATTGCTTCTGAAACAGTGCTCGGCATCTCAATCACCCGATTGCGAGCAATCTGCACGAGAAAAATAACATCCGCAGCGAGAAAACCGCCACAGAGTAGCAAAAGCGAAAGGAGCAGCCACTTTCGCGCCCACCGAATCCACACATTGTCGTGAGACACCTCACCCGCATACAACAGAGGCTCTAAGTTGCTAGCTAGCCGATTGCTCTCGTCCGGAAGCAAGTGCGCAGTCGCAAGCAACTGCCGTGCTTGCTGGTACGCGGCGGCATCCATAGGAGGGCCAACAGGTGGAGGACTGCTGCCACTGTACTGCCTATCGATGACGCTCCCTGAAAAGTTCCGCCTGACTTCGCCATCTCTTGCAACCCTATGCGGAGCAACCAGAAGCAAATGCTGCGGGCCCGGTTTGTCTACGCGACAAAGCGGAGATGTCGAGGCGACTCTCGCGCTACTTGTTGACGTGTGGAGAGCCGCTTTAGGAAACGGCGAATACTTTCCTGGCCGTCCTCCCGTTTGAAAATGAGAGGAGGTGGAGCAATAATTATCATTAGCGCGCGATACGCTAGACGACGACGTCGCACCACCTGAACCAGTGTTCCCCACGACTTGACGATCACCAGCTTTTGCTCCTCTTGCGCGAGGCGCTGTGCGCTCAGGTTCTACCTTTACCTCTACTACGTATATTTGTCGTCGTTCACTCCGTTCCGCTGGAAGGCTCCCAATTTTTTCCACGCCACGAGCACCACTCGCATCTTGTTGTCCCGAACCATCACGAGCGGCACTTGTCTTTGGCTGTCCTGGGGCCACACTCGGCTTGCTGTCTAACCGGACAGACCCTAGGGGTGCACAAGCAAAACGTTCCCCGCCAATTAGAGGAGAACCAAGTATCTGACCGCCGATTTGGATACCCGGCAGCTGCAACACCGGAAGGCGACGATTCCCATATGGTATCTCAGCCATTTGCCGCTGCGCAAGCAAGACCGTGGTCACGTTGCCTTAGTCGGACATCCGAGCCTGACTCTAAACACACATTTTTTCGAACACTCAACCAACGGCGAGTGGAATCGCTACAGAAGCCAAAAACTGCCCAACCATCAGACTAGATCAAACTGGTCTAGTAAGTGGCAATCCAAAACGCAGGAGGAGCCCATCGAAATGCAAATACGACATATGATATGATCAATGATTTACGGACAAAAATCAAACGTCATTTTGTCAGACCAGTAAGAAGCGCACTTGCTATAAAATCATGCAGAAACAACGAGCGCTGCCTATCGTCTACTTCGATCAGCTACAGTACTTCGGAAACAGCAGCTAGCTTTTTGTTATATGTTGTTGCAAGAAGTTGAAGACTACCGCGAATAGATTTTACCATAGGGCCATTCTTCTGTAGCGCAAATCCAATGGCTGATTAACGGATGTACGCTTCACAATGGGCGCCAGGATTTCTCCTTACATATATTGTTGGAAAGGCTAAGCCTATAGAGGTAAAAACTAAGCGGATGTTTTATTTTAGTGCTTTGAGCGCCGCTGGACCTAAGCCCCAACCTTATGAAAAGAAAGAAGCCAGTCTAGATTTGCAGCACGCCTCTCAGAAAGGGAAATTCTTAACAAGATCCTGCTATAGGAGGAGGTTACTTCATCATTGTCAGATAGAATTTGTTTTTAGTTGCTTAACATATAAAATATTTGTGAGCAGCGTCACCAAAGATGCTTCCGCAAATTTCTGTACAGTTGCCTGTGCCAGCAACACTCCGAGTATTTCACTCGCAAAGGCATACCGAAGGAATTGGAAAAACAGCCGATCTCGTCTGGTGACCGCGCAGCACCGAAGGGACAGAGTACAACTTCTTGTCCGTAAAATTTTGCGAAATCAGATCAACTGCTACAAAATACTGAAAGGTCGGCAGTCTTCGACTGCGCTTTTGAACACGGAACCAGTACTGCGAAGCGTCAACTCTTGTGATGCCTGCGATCGCTATCAGATTCAAAGCATAGAAGCTTAGCTTGCTTTTATTCCACACGAGTGAAGGTTAGGGATGTGTAGGAAGGGGATCCAATGTCCTGGGAGGACACTCTGAGCAGTGTACGCTAAGAGTTCAAAGTGAGTAAATGGGTGCGCATAAAAATCCAGGGGATCATCTTCATCTTATGAAGGCAGATCATCTTGTCTTCTGACTTCCGCGTTGCATGACTTCTGAATCCTGCAAAAATTTGATCCATACCTCCTTAGGACCGTTAGCTTCGTGCGACCCAACCGCCATGGCAAGGTACCGACCGTCCGCACTGAAGGATAAACTAGTGATTTCATCATCGAACTTCGATGTCTTCCATATTCTCTTCTTACAGGTGCCATCCCACATGCACAAAGTACCATCACCGCCCACAGTTGCGAAAGTATGATGGATCGGATGAAACGCGATATCGTGCACTGGATGTATCTGCTCCATACCGTTAGCGCCGGGCTCTCGATGACACTTGAAAGCGAACTTACCCTTCTGCATATCCTCAGCGAAATAGCTAGTAATTGTGGAGTCGATTTTCATTTTTTTCCAGAGGAATTGAGTGTCCTGAAAATTCTGTGTGATATTAGTATACAGAAATGACCAATCTGTGATCATCCCGCTTCTCTAGAAACGTTCATCAAGAATTGAGCATGAGTTCCGGCACCCCGACGGTTTTCAGGTAAATCTCTTTTCGAATGTTTGATGCCGCCACCTAGCACATGCCTATGCCAGTCCGGTCAATGTAATTTTCATCATATCGAGGATCTTTTAGTCGGGAGGCAGCGACTAATAACTGAGTAGATTTATGATCATGATTTCTCGAGGAAGTATGAGCTTGTGGACATCTTGTGAGTAAGAAGCATTTCAGGTAAATCTCTTTTCGTGTTTGTTACCGCCATTGCGCCAAGACGCGGTCCGGAACTTCAAAATTCTCATCATTGCTGCAACCAAATTTCATTATAAACTACCGTAGTCTTATAATCAACAGCAGAACTCAGATCGATAATCGCAAAAAGTCAATTTAAATCATAGTAAGTACTCCCAGCTTGCCCGGCCCTCTACGCTTCCTTGGACAAAGCCCTGTCCATCAGGCATACAGGCTATGGACCGCAACTGATATTTGAGAGCTGACTCTCGTTCTTCAAGCTTTGTGATTCCATTGCCATAGTCAAATATGTGTATGTGCTTGTCGGATCCACCAACGACAAGCTTAGGTGAGCTTCGGTCCGCGTGCGTCACGTCCATACAGAAAACCTGTTATGACAGAAAGATCCATATCATAACACCTCCTTGGGCAGCGCCAGAACTCCGCGAGCCCTGGCCGCAATCGATAGCGCACACTCTTAATTAAGATGCCAAGCACAACGCAGCAGCACTCTTGTGCGAAACTCAAATTCAAAGAATCGCCAAAAACGGACACGCCTGAATAACGGATGGTACCTTTGCATTGACGTTTCCAGTGGCTACGTTTTTCATCGTTCTCGTATCCCACATTTTCACTTTTTTATCCCAGCCACCAGTTATTATTGTTGTCGAGTCCAGCTTTACGACTCTCCGTATTGTCGACTCATGCGCGCGATCAGCCTGATATTTGAACATAAGGCGTCTCTAACTGTAGACAGGATTCTCAAACAGCCAGTGCAAAACTTATGAATGCCACGTCTCGTACAATATCTGTGATCTCACAGTAGATTCTGCATCACCTAGAATATCTTCTTCCTGTCTAATAACATCCTCTGTCGCCAAATGAATGTGAAATTGGCGTAGTACCTGTGCCACCGCCTGATTTGTTCTTGTGTCAATAATCGTTATCCTGGCATCGAGACTTGTTGCACACAGTCTTGTGCTATCCATCCATGCGCAGTCTGTGAGCGGGAAATTTGAAGGAAATTTTTGCAAAAGGCTTCCATCATCGGCTCTGTAGAGGTAGCCCTTACAGTCCCAACTCATGACTGCGAAATGCGGATTCCCAACCTCCTCGTGAAAGCGGATCGCACTGATCGTGTCCATCGGGGAGATGGGGATCCGCGATAAGTTCTGAACCGAAGAACTCGACGCCATTTTCCCAACCTCCAGTGCTAAGATAAGCAAGACCGTTGTAGAAGTAATGAATCAGATGGAGAGTGTTACGAACAGTCGAATTGCTACTACCACGTCGTTCAACTTCCTTATTACAGCACACCCACTCGCCTCGCCTACGTAGCAAACCCTTTCAAAAAATGCGCTTCTCGTCGTATAAACAGCCGCCGATTATAGCCACTGCTTGAGACATGAATTTGTTCTCGGTTGGATCAGTTTTGTCTTATTCCAACGTATCATACAAAATCGCAAACTTGCTTGCTGCTTTTGCCGCCACAAAGACTGGTCTAAGATTCGTCCTCGTTCTCGATGGATAACACTGACGCGCTTTCTCTGGGGTCCCACTGAAAAGTTCTTCAACCGCGGTGACGCACGTACACTGCCTGCCGCGTTTACGCACTGTGAAGCTTAGTGGGAGAGCCCACACGGGACCATGTTCTCAACGCTGAAAGCGAAAACCTGGACCATTTTTCCGACACCATAATATTTCGTCACTACCTTATAAGCCCAACTACCTTATACTAACAACAACTCACCAAAAAAAAATTTTCGTAGTGACTAAAAATGAAGGTCATCCAAAAAAGATAAGTGGAACAGAATGAAACTGCCAAAAGTAAGACGTGGTTGTACTTTATCAAAAGTATAATTTCTAAATTTCAACCCGAAATCGACTACGCGCCGGGTTTGTATAATTGGAACATTTTTTGCTGCAGATGATACACTTAGTCGAGCTCTGGGATCGTCTTGAAGACCGACGCGCACGGTCCCAGAACCAATAGGAATCTCGTTTCATCACAACGAACCAAGAATTGAAGATCACCTGCTCTTGGTCTTTCTGCTATTCTTTTGAAATCGATTACAGATTCACGGAGCAACAAAGAAAATAACTAAATGTTGTTCCCCCGTTGCATGAGTTCTTTTAGTGTTCACGGAGCGACCAAGAGAAAACTTGATGACAGACATATCATGTCCGGCGGAGGAAATACATGTAATGATCATTTTCATCGGTGTTTTCAAAAATCATGACCTGTTGCGGATCTTCACTTACAACACAAGCTGTGAAGGAGAAAGGCATTCCCAACATTGAGGTTCTCGAGAGACATATATTTCTGGTTCTCCATGCAGGCAAACAGCAATTAAAACTAGTATCATTTTCATTAAAGCATGACGCTGACGCAGGTCAACAGAATAAAAGTCCGAAACAATAGATGATCATCTAGGTTTTCATCGCAGTGGAAGATTTTTGCCCGCATGTCATCTATATTAAAATGCCTATCTTCTTCCACCGGGGTACTTGTGTTTACCGTTCGTTATCTGCTTTTGCCTTTCCCTGCTGGCCTATCAGTTTCACGTCCTTTTCCGTACCTCTGGCTGTGCCACCAATAACCAGGTATTCTGCCTTCTTTGTAGGTCATTGGCGCCGTGCCTAATACGCAATCCCAGAGCAAGAGGACCTCACAGAAGTGCGACGCAACCCGCTCGTGGTGCATGTTGTGGAAGCTAGAGGTGTTCACGAACAGCGCAGGCAATACCAGCTCGACCCAGTCGAAGGCGTAGCCGCAGTGCAGATAGCAATGAATTGAGAAAATAAAAGGCGAAAACCAAAGGCGCGACTATTGGAATACAGTGCGGCATCGACGGCATATTCCACGCTAGAGCGAAGCAAAGTGTCCACAGAGCCTCGAAGGGGTGAATAGCGAAGCCTGCCAGCACCAGCGGCGACTTGAATTGATGATGAACTTTGTGCACCGTTTGATAAAGAAACAAACTGCGATGAAGAGACCGGTGTTTCACGTAGAGCCACAAATCAGCGGCCAAGGCGCCAACAGGCAAATGGACTGACAAATACCGTTGCAGCGAATTTGCAGGGGTAGCGAGCTTCTCACCGGAGACGGGGTGATGACAAATTTCGAGCGCGCTAATAGACCAAACGATTCCAGTGTGCTGCTGGAGGTAGAAATCGCGATAAAACGCAACTGTCACGAGAGCTGTCCCGACGAAGATGATCAGGCTACTCTCAAGGAACTCGACGCGAAGGAGCTGTTCGTGTATTTCTTTGCACTTGTCGAATATTTCTTGACTGTAAAGGTAAATTGATTAGGGTAAGCATCACTTCTACCTAGTACCTCCTCCCACTGACTCTAATATATCTGAATCTTCTACTCGATCACTGACACGGGAACATAACTCCTAATCAGATTTTACCTCAAACAGTTCCCCCGCAGCTTGCGGCCCCAAAGCTTCCGCTTCTTCTCCTAGTTCTGCGAACACGCTCGCCCCTAGCAAAAACTTGGTAATAGTCGCTGGTAATCGTGGTGCAAAAAGAGCAAGACGTAGTCAGGCGTTTGCGGTTGCAAGCGTACCCCAAAACGCCGTCCCACCACATGCACGCAGAGCATTGATGCAGCTATGAAGCACATATTGGTGCGAAAAATCGTCAGGTGTAGCTGATTCCAAGTGGGTGCGTGCCATAGAAAACCCCAGATGGGCAGCAACAGCAGAAAGAACCACCAGGACGCGTCTCGAATCTTCTCGTTGCGGGTTAGCTCGTTCCATGGCTTGGTCAAATGCGAGTTACTTAGCGCCTCGACCAAGCTCTTATACTCCAGTTGCAGCTTCTCGCGCGACGCCATTGTCGAAGGCATCCTGGCGGCGCTTTTCTTCGTGTTGCACGTCGAAGAGCCTCCGGCTACCGAGCTGGCAGAAGATACTGTAGATACCATGTTGGCTTTACTTCTATGTATAGAATAAAAATCATCACTCTTCAGAGACGACGAAGCCTTCAAACAGCACACGTACGTTATCGAAAGCAAAATCCCTGGACACACTAAATGGGAATTTTCGTAGAAACTTATCGGCCATACACGTGAGAGAAGATGTAGAGTTTCCACCTGAAAAAGTCAGTTCATGTCAAAGAAGAACCTGCTGTTGCAACCCAGGGCTCAAACATTGATCAGAAAAATCGTTGATGGACAACTTTCACTCAGGTATGGCCATGGCTTCAAATCTAATCTAATCTAATCGAAGCTTTGGATGTTACAATAAACTGATTACTTTCATCTCAGTTACGAGTAACAAAAAATCTTGGACTTAGGAGGAGCGGGATGCGGGATTGCCGTAGCCAAGCAAAGACCAAGAACTGTAGAGGTCATAGTGAGATTTTAGCTCTTCCTCCCAACTTCAATACTTAAAAATGGTACTATCACGACTAGATGCCGTCAACCTCCTCGCAAACGCCAGCATGAAACGCAAATTCTCGTTCGGCGCCGACAGAGCCACAGGTGTGGCGATCGCGAACAGACAGAACATAGCTAGCTGGAGAGACTCACTCAACATCCTTAACGAACTTCTAGGCCTCAAAGTCTCCCGCGCTCCTCAAGAAACAGATTTCTAGGCTAAGAAGGTCCAGATATTTCCATTTTTTCATTGCCTCACGACACACTTCTCACAAGATCTTCCTCGTTATCGTGAACGCATTTCCTAATCCCCTCTTTGGTCGCACGTTGTTAGATATGATACTGTAGTTTGATTGTCGTTAGATGTTGGCTTCGATATATCGCAACAGTCTCACTGAATTATGAGCCTACCGTTGTCCTGTGAGACACGCGATCGAATTGCGCAGTGGGAAAAGGCATGCTGATCGCACCAGGTGTCCCCTCATTATGTGCCGCACAAAAACTATCGACACTATTGCCTTCTGCGAAAGGCTCATAATCGTGCTGTGAATTTCTAGCTCTGAGAAAAGGCGACTCTACGAGCCACTTTCGTAGAAACGTTTTCTCGATCAGAGCTCTCTCCGGATCAGAGAGGATATCTCGTCTCATGGCGAAGACTCCTGCAATTTCGTCGACTAGGATCCGAAGTCGACCGCTTAGCTGCTCTCGTATCGCCGCTGCGCCTCCATCTGAATGCCCGTCATTGTCGATCTCATCTTCTGTTTCCGCAAAAGCTTTTTGTGAAGACCCGCTCTTTCCCTCTGCCATCTCCGTCGGGCGAATGCCCCCTATGACATTCCCCTCATCCAGCTCGTCGTTTTTCACATTTTCTTCACCCAAATTCTGGACTTCGTCGTCATGACGATTGAGCAGTTTTAGGGCAGACACCAGCTCCGTCAAGAGCGCATCTGTGCTACGACAGAGAGCCAGCAATTCATCGACGCGAATGCCACTCGCTCTTCGCGCGACACAACATTCCAATAGTTGTAGCCGTTCAGGCAACGCAAGACCGCACCATCGAAGACAAAACACGCATATTCTAGGACTCTGCGCCACGCGGCGCACGTCCCGGATCACAAGGTCGCGAAAGCATGAGGCAATGCCTGAATGCTCGGGCACGAGCACTCGAGCCAGATTTTCATAGCTTTCCGTGGGCGTTGAAGAAGGGAAAGGGTCGCCATATTTAGAAGTACAACTACGACTTCTTCGTGATGTCGAACGAAGTATATTATCGAATCCTTCTTGACTCGGCAGATCCAACTTCGTGACTAGGAAAAGCACACGCACCCATTGTCGAAAATCGATCACATCTTCAGAAGTAGTTTCTGAGGACCCACTCGCACGGAACAACCTGTCTCTCAATCGTACAAGACGCTCTCGTGAAAACACCGGTGGTGGAATGAGCTCTGCGTAGCGCTCGATCCATTTTCTGCGTTTCGCCGTCTCTCGCCCCCTGCGTCCATCGAAGCTCTGTGCTTCCTCGGAGGTAGCGCAGAAGCGTTTCTGGAAAACGCACCGTCGCTGCGCAAAATACAATCTCTGCAAAAGCAGGTGCGTCTCCAGTGCAAAAATCACAGCTGACCAAGTCGTGGTGGGACTACTTCTAAAGGGATTCACACTGGTCAGGAGCTCTTGTGCACCAGCAGACTCACCAAGAAAAGCAAAGCTGCGTGCCAAGCTGACGAGATCTGCCGGGTCAGCGCCCGTAGCAGTTTGTAATGTCTGCCGTACGCGTACACACAACTGCCTCAAAACTGGACTCGCGTCTGAATCCAAAAACCGAAAAGCAAAAACGAACGGAGATGAGCTAGTCGTGCTCCCCGATGCTTCCATGGCATCAGAAGCTTTTTTTTCGACTTGTTCGCCACCTTTCAAATTATAGTATATTTCGAAGACAGCGCGTAAATCGGCAACTGCAAGGTATGGCGCATTATTCATTACCATGGCTGGAAGTTCGTTATCAAGGATTTTCGCCACCACGCTTACCGGCTGCAGGCAGTCGCGCTCTGCTAGGATCCTCCAAGCACGACAGAGGCGCGCAACCTGCGCCAGAGACCCCAATCCCTCTACCTCGTCGCGAAATCGCAGCAACATCGCTGACATGTCTAGACGATGGCGCCATCCAGTCCGAACCGAGTTGCTTGCGGCTAGACTACGCGGACGTGGGATCCGTCTCGAAGCACGTTGACGATCAAGATACGCTTCCAAAGTAGCGGTTTTAGCAAGCGAATAGTTTTGACCCTGCATCGCTACTGGCGAACACGTCGAGTCCTCTACTTCATCCTCATTCTCGTTGTCGTTTTGCTTTCTCCTCCACGTATTGCTGGTTCCTCGTGCGTCCGCTCCCGCACTTGACCTTGTTCTAGAGGTATCGGACGCACTGCACTGTGCTTGTCCAAGTGTCTGTGTCGTCCGCGCTCTCGTAGCACCTAATAAAGACGGATCTTCCAATACTTCTCTCGCTGCCCCTTCCTCGCTTTCTAAGATGCCTCGTAGCTGCTCGAACCACAGCGCACCGTCGTCGCCGCTTCCCTCGTGAGCGTCCGCCACTTGCGCTCTTCCCAGAACCGAGGCGACAGACGTGGTCGCCGACAAGTTGCGCACAGATCCATTGCCGGCGGCTAGTGCTGTAGCAGCGAAGGCTTGAAACACGTGGACTATCTCTTTGCCACTGAGCAAACGAGTCACCGCCGGATTACTCACGAGTGGGCCCACCTGTGCCCATATGTGGGGAAGGCGCGGTGAGGGAGCCCCACCGCGACCGAGAATCTTTACCACGGCATCAGCAGATGCGGAAGAACTCGCCATTTCTTCTCTCGCAATGTTCGCGGATGCTCTCCTCGCTATTTGTTGCGAGAACAGGTAAAAGCCACGCCGAAGTGTCTGCACAAGAAAAGCATGCACACGTCATCGTGTATCTTATTCGTAGTGGGTCCAACGCTGTCAATCGTAAAAATCAGTGGTGATCTCCAACAAATGACCTACAAACCTCCACGTATGAGTGATTCGAATTTTGTAGACTCACTGTACCTTCAGCAAAAACAACACACTGACTGAATAAAGTGCATTTCGAACACATTTTCACACCCCACTCACAAAGTCAAAAAATCCAAAAAATTATTTTCTCTGCGTGCGATTGGACTGGCGCGACTTCATAAAAGTTGACTAAGTCTGTTCCCAACATTGACATCTGTTCTTGTTCTTTGTGCTTGTGGCAAGCACGAATTCCTTTGAAGAAGACTACCCTTATCATTCGTCCTCCATTCTGTAGGCCCTGAGTCAGGGGCACTACTTTTGTTTCTTTGCACCTCCTGACTCCCGATCGCAAAGGCATGTTCATGCCGCCGCCGACTAGTACAGTTTTTGAAACTTCTTGGCAGTGTTCTTCCATGCTTGGATTCTTTCTCAGTCGAAATTCCCGGCAGACGACACGCAGCTGCTACCATAGTGGTCGCGTAGAGAGGTTCGCCTGCAACAGAACCAAAACCCTCAATGCTCACGCGCACCGAGTCTGCTGGATCAACGTCGCCCTCACCAGCAAAATACCCAGGCATCCACACCGTCGGGCCTCCAAATTTGTCCGGAACAACGCCAGGGGCGGGTGAGTTGAAGTCCCGATAGATCGATGGGTGCGATCCCGGATGCGGGGCTGTAATCGACGCCCACGATGGACCCGTGTCTCCAGTATCCGTCGGATTTGCCGTTAACGCATCGAGCACGCCGGACAAAGCTGCTAGAGCCATTCTTGTTTGAAAGCAGCTACTTCAATCATTCAATCTAGATGAGTTCGGTTCATCTTAAAATCCCATGATGTATAATGGCGGATACGCATTCATGTTAGCCTCTACATCGTGACGAACTATGAAAACGCAATATTTATCCGAGGACTGGGAGGAAACTGCCATCAATCGTTTTTTTCGAAACAAGTCTCCCTCCGGTAACCCCATATCTCTTTCAAGCGACCTAGCGATGCATTCAAACGACATGCAGATGACCACGATCATACCGAACGAAAGGCCTGTCTCGAAGCGAGTTTGGCTGCCGACCGCGAATATAGTTGAGCTCCTCGACCGCTTCTTGCAATCTTCTATCCTCATTTTCAATGTCACCTGTTTCTGTTGCACCATCGAAAATGAGTAGTTGAGATATCCGGTTTTTATAACATCCATCATCATTGTAAGCGCCTGTTGTAGCTGAAAGCGCAGCTCCACAGATCCTGCTGATACCCAAGAAGATAGATTCAACTAAACTTATTGGTAACCAGATTGCTCACCAGTTCATTTCTGTGCATCATTAAATTTGCGCAGGTGAAGTTAGATAGACGTAGTCCATACAGCCGGTCTAAGTAATCATTAAGCTGGTTGGTTAAAGCTGCAACTTGCGTGTTCCGACTTTCTTGGAATTTGTTTGCGAAGAACAATCAACTGTGTGGTATCTCAGGAGTCACAAGGACCAAGGATTAATTGGGAATCTAGTTCTGCTACAAGAATCAATAATATCAAAGTCGAAACATCTACTTTGTACTACTACTATTTCAAGAACTGTTCAAACTTATGATCGCAAACTGCTAGGTCGTGACAAGAAAGACTGCTTCTCTCTATTCATCTGCTTCACCATCGATATGATGTATCCAGCTAGTTGCTTTAAACAAACATTTCAGTGATTGTAGTCCGTGGCTTTACGACGCGACACCTGTAGATCGATACCACCTTATCATTACATCAGTATGTTTTTCGGATGCAGGAGAGTTCCACAATTTGGAATGGGTGTCACTGGGTTCAAAAACACAACTTTCGCTGTCCCCAGGAAGCAGCTCCACGCCAACGCCATTTGCGCTAGCTTCTGTCCGGTCGCGTACCACGGGGGTCGGTGTTCCACACTCATATCCGCGAGGCACATCGACATCAGGTATCCTCCTAAAAGTCCGCCGACGTGACCCCACATGTCTAGATGCGGCGCTAGATTCGACATGACCACGAGAGCAAGTAGCATGCCGCCGAACCAAAAACTGAGTCGTCCCTTCGCATCTTCGGAGAGCAAATGCCAAGTAAGGTGCACTTCCGAAAACCAGACACCCAACAAACCAAAGGCACTAGTGCTCGCTCCAACAGCCAGCTTGTACGGGTCGACCAAAATGGAGACCAGGTTCCCGAAATACCCGCAAAACAGGTAGAGAATCATGAACCTGTTTTTATGTAAGATAGTGAAAGAGATGCAGATGCGACGAACGTACACTAAAGGAAACTATGTGACAGATTGAAAAATGTTGGGAGCCTATATCCCTCAATGCATAGGTATCACTATCTGCAAGTGTCGTATATTACTTCCTCGTTCCCAGCTGCTCCTCTATACCAAAGCCAACGCGACTTTGAAAAAAGAGATTGAAGAAGATATGGAGCCCGTTCGCGTGTAGCATCATCGGAGTAATCAATCTCCACACCTCTCCTAGAGCGATTGATGGGCCCCAACTTGCTCCCAAGAGATACAAGGAACAGGTATTCGGACTCAGCGCTAAGTTTGCACCTGTAAAGATAACAACGAGAATAGCGCGGCGACCAAGACAAGCACTGTTTTCCAAGAACTCTAGAAAAGGATGCAAAACATTTAGTGAATCGTCTGAAGTGGAGTCGGCGCAATACGTCGTGACTTCTCAGCAACAGCGTTGAATATATTATTTCATATTTCGCTAAAAAGGTTCCTGCTAGAGTAACATATTTATACCTAGTGTCTGTGCAACTGGACTTGACGCGACATTGGATCCCATCGTTAAGAACAGAGAGCCAATGTACTCAAGAATTTGCAAGACGCATATTCGTTTCAAGAAAGTGTCGCCTTTGAAATTCGGGAAAATAGCACTGTATATCGACGAATCGTTCCCCGGATCTGGTTCTCTGAGCGCACGTCTCAAAGAGTTTTCACCTAGGACGGTTCCGGGTGCCATGCCCCACAATAACGAAAAAGGCCCAAGTCCTCCGAGACCTGTAGTGAAGCTCATTGGTGAAGAGACCATCGTCATCGAGTACAATGTAGTTGCATGTGTCCCAAGTGATCAATGTGAAAAAACTTTCATAATGGTGGATCAAGTGTGGTCTTATCATTTTTACCGCCCAGGCCCAAACAAAAAAGAAAAATTTGAGCAAAGTTGGGTCTACGACTACCTTTAGCACCCAACATTTTTCCCCCGGCTGCTGCTGTCTTGATCCCAGCAGCGGTACCAAAAAGCCACTTTCCATATAGGAAGTACGACGACGCTAGCGTAGGCAGCACGAACAGCGGCAGAGGAAGGTCCCTAATCTCCTCTTCTATTGGCCGCTTCGTCAGCACCGAGATTCCTGGTGCATCTTTTTCATTTCTGAGATTCTTCGCAGAATGATCCTCATCTTCGCTACTTTCTTCTCTAGGTGCCGCGAGACCCAACTCGACGAAGCGTTCATACTTTTTCCGCGCGTAATTTCCAAATGTCCATGTCCCAATCTGAAAACCGCATGAGTAACCAGAAGAAGAGGACGAAGATGGGCTACTACCAGCGAAGACCGTGTCACTTGTAGGTGCCTTATCCCGATCGTGTATGTCGTCACCCGGTTGGCTAGTCGAGCCGTCCGCTTCGACCCCCCAGCGGCTCGGATCGATGTCGAGAAAAGTATGATACCCAAACGGAACCAAAGCGACGCTCTTAGTGTCTTGCCCGTCTCCAAAGAGGAAATCGCTTGCACGGGTGTTGCGCTCGCATTTGCTGTAGACGGGCGCCATTCTGATGCCCCTCAAAAGCCAGAGGCTACCGGTTCATTTGGCATAAAAAATTATTTACCTTTGCTTCTATCAGCCTTTATATACCTTTGCCTTTATTTAGCTTTGCCTTCATTTGCCTTTGCTTCTGTCTACCTTTTGTTTGTGAGCATCGCAAGCTCTCTGGAAACTCTTGAGACTTTTCAGATTCGAATCTATCGATAGCGAGGACGTTTAGACGATTTCGATAATAGCTTGGCAGAAGGGAAAGACCTAAGAATAGAAGGAAAACTAAACGGTTGTTTACTTGTATATGTGCTCTAAGCGTCCTTTTTTTATGCAATGTTGTATCGAAACCACGAGTTATCAGTTCATTCATTCATTCATCACGATCAACGCGGCTGCGCCTCTCAAAGATGAGGCATTAAGCTCGAAGGAATGCTACGACGAGTGTACCTGAATCTTGCTACTCCTTCGAAGCACACGAAGAAAACGATACCTTCCCGCTACGATCTCTTTTACGGAGAAAGCAGAAACCTTCGACGAGAGTCGCATTTTCTTGATGTGATGACTTACTTATGCACGACGAAACCTTATTTTCGAAACGAGGCAATATCATTATGTCTAAACAACAAGTCGGGACATACTGCTTAGAAAGGAGCACCAGTATGTGAGTCCATTTTAGCATTAGATTCTGATCAGCTCTGTATGCCATCAGCCGAAATATAGCTCTGCAAGAACTTGTCCACTACTCATGAAACTATAGTAATATCAAAAGGGCGGGGGACATAAACACAGCACTAGAATATTGTTTTCTGCCTGATAGTCTTAGTAGAGCCCGTTATGTGCGAAAATGATGATATCCATGATGCCAGATATGGAAGCTCGAAAATGACTTATCAATCTTTATGGAAATCCGCCCTCCCAGAACTATCTACAAGTATGGAGAAGAATTGATTATGTTAGCAAAACCGTCCTACCATAGAGCTTCTACGGAAAAATCGCAGTACAAAGACAAATCAGATGTAAGCCGTGATATTGACCGCAAATGTTCACCACGTATAAGTAAGGACTCACTCTACACAGCAGCCTCGTAGGCTACAACTGTACTAGTTTATGATACTAAAATGTGGATTGTCAAAATTACTCGACTGAGCTTTCTACTCGTGCAATTTTCATCGATGTAACTGTATAAACTTCCGAAGTCGCCTAAAGCGACCTAAGGCGAGATTTAGGCGTAATATTGCAACTACTTACGCCACTTTCTTATCCGGAAACGAAACTTTAATGAAGATAGTCCAAAAGTTCTTAACCAAGCGTGTTAACATTACTAATGGATGATGAACTAGGTAAACAGGTCGGAAGCAAAACTCTAAACAAAGATTCGTAGCTTTGGCGAAACTACTGGGTGCATATGAATAGTTGTACTACATGAGGCATGCCAGTCTATAAGCCCAAGCTATGCCTGCGGCCATCAGCATACTCTTTGCTGCGTCTGCGTTTAACTGGAAGCATGTGCCGAATACAGCGTCCTTCCGGTGCTGGCAGAATGGTCCACGTTACACCACGAGCGATTCTATCTCTAATTGCATCCTCAAAGACCTCTTGACTAGACCCGGACGCATCTTTCTGGGCCTCAACGAATTTGGCCACCTCGTTGGCCGTGTAGTGCGCAGGAGACATCGTGTTTGTCTGGATGTATCTGTCGGTTGACAAGGAAGAAAAAACTTGTTTGTGAAATACATAGAGTCAGTGCGAGAATATTCCTTCAAGGGTGCGCGCATCTACTTCAGAATCAAAAAAAATCTAATCAGCGTGGACAAAAGTTGTCATGCTGTGGGCTTCTAAAAAATAATACTCTAGATGTAGCATTTCTCCTGTTAGCTGTCGCGTCGTCAATGCTTGATAGTCCGCAACCGTCATTGGCAGTAGTTGACAAATGAGTCCGTGTAATTCTGCGACAATCATGCACGTTTTATCGTTCGCCCACTCCTCCGCTGGTATCCCGCTGATATCCTCATCGACGTCGCCACCAGGGTGTTCCCAGTGGCCCTCTCGCATTTTAGGAGGCTGAAACTGTGCATCTGTGTTGAAGGTAAATAGAATTCCATAGGGAAAATAAAGCTATCGCATTCTTGCTAAAGGGGGGTACAACGTCTATCTCACTTTCTTTACGAACACGACGAGCGTCTTGACGCAATCTGTAGATGTAGTTTTTCAAAAACAAAATCCGACTGCACCTCTTGATGAGGGGAAAAGTGTCAATGAAGGCGTAAAAAATTTAACTAAATACTTTTTGACCACGGAATTGCCTTCACTACGTAGACATGCGTGGAAGCAGCGCTTTTCGAAGTGCTGTTTAGATCACGAACAACCATAAACCCCCTGCGATCACCCCATGTTATCGTCACGGCAAAGTCCAGAGCGATCTCGAAAATGATGAACATGAACATGAAAAGGCAACCAAAAAATCCTATCGTGTCCTCGCGCATGAGGAAGTCCAAAGGTGTCGGCGTAGCTCCAAAAAGGTAGAAATACATCGGATACCTGAAAGCAGAATTGATAGTCAGGGGGGCGAAGTCAATATTATCTGGGGAAAACCGTGTCTATATCGAAATGCAGTCAAGCAGGCACTGCAGATATATTTATATTAATTTTCTGGAAAAGCTGATAAAATTTCTTACCGAAAAAGCGCGGTCAGCGGACGCACGTAGGAAAAGTGGCCGTAATTGTTCCAACCGATCGTGACTAGAAGAGAAAACACGAGGACGCAGTCGACAACAAGTAACGCCATGAACTCCTGTGTAAAGGCGAGGGATACGATCATGAATAGCATGGATACTGCGGGTGAAAGATTCGTCGCCTGTGTCGAGAACGACTCCTGCCACCTGGAAGTTGAAAAAGGCTTTGTTGTCCAACTCAGAATGTTCTTATCAAGTAACAGTAGTGACCACAGCGACGTAAGTATCTCGTCGCATAGAACTATGTATGCTCTATACACTGCCTGAAAACTACAGCACGCGTCCTTCTTCATGACGTATGCCTACATTTAATCTAGGTCTAGTACGCTGTGAGTGTTCGCTTGTGGACTACTGGCACTCTCAACGCCTCTTCTATGCACTGTGTCCGCGTTTTTTCGTTGTTCGATTCTTCCCAAATATCGTGGAATATCCATGTCCGCGTCATTAAGGGCTTTGGCTTCATCAGATACAATTCCTGCGCTAGCTCGCTAGGAAGACCTGCGAGAGCGGAAAATATAAAGTCACAGTAGGTACCACTGCCATCAGGACGAAAGCGAGCTTCTTCTAGACTGCTATACGACTAAGCAGAAGTAAGACTACAGAGACTACTCTTTCCCAAGACAGGACTTATACCTCCCACGACTTCACGCTCTGAAAAGAGGTCCACCAGATGAAAATCAGGTATGCGCTCCAGCTCCCGCCGTCGACGCTCAGCACGAATCCGTCGCTCGTGTTGCACATCTTTGCTCAGCTGTTTCTGCTCGAGCTTCTGCAGAAGTAAGAGCTCCTTCGACACGTCTATCTGCGAACGGTTTAACTCAATCCTCACTCTCCCAGTGAAGGGGCACCTGTGACTCCGGCCAAGCAACGGATCGGGCATACTCGTTTGCCACTTCCGGAATTCAAGATAAGCAGCAGACCGACGAAAAATATGAAAGAGGCGATGAAAATGCAATCTACTTGGTGAACTTACTCCGAATTAGCCGCAGCAACCTGCCTAGCCGACACATTAGACGTACACTCTCATCTTTCTAAAACAAACGCAGTAAGAAACAAATGAACTAGTTGATCTAAAAGAACTGCTTACGCGTTTTTACATGACATGTGTCTCGTAGATCTTACTCCGCTGTCGGTCAGCCTTGTTTACGCTACTGCTCCAACTGCGGCGGCGCGCTGGATCCAACATGACGCTGCCTCGGGTTTTCGAGCTCCGTCTGCTTCCACTAAGTTCTTGGCTCGCCTGAATGCTGCTCCGTCGCCGAAAAGTTCGCACGAGCTCCTCGTTGAAGTTTGCGTTCAAAAGCTGCGAATGTGCCATTTTCGACGCACGTCGGGTCCCTCCCGCGGACATGCGCCTACCAGTTGATATTGATAGCGTCTTCGAGACAGCTTCTTTCGACGCCTCCACAGAGCGTCTCCGCTCTTCCACGGATCGCCTGCGCTCTTCTAAAGCCGTCATCCTGTGCTACTGCTCTATCCTACCAGAATCTAAATCTCAACACGGTAATATCATTTTCCAACCAAAAATGGTAAAAGCAGAGGGCAACAATGTCACCTTCATGTTCCAAATTTTGGCACAAATCCAGGATTCAATCAAAGTTGTCGAAGAAATGAAACTGCAGTTATTGCCCTGCCAAAATGGCACTTGCATTATGTAAAAATAGGCTCAGCGATCTCCGGTGAACAAATCAAAGCTCCTCGCAACTTGCAAGAAAAAAACGTAATTATGATACGGAATAAAGCGATTGCAACAAGAAGAAGAACTGCGTGAGAGGCATCAAGGAAAAGGGTGATAGGATGCAAGTACAACACAGAGTGAGCGCAAGATGAGTGCACTAGGACAGAGCCATTTCTTTGATATCTAACCGGGGTTTCCAGGGAGTGGCCTCACTGCATCCACAGCCTCAGTGAGACACATTGCCCGAAACATTGAAGCGCACGCTTCCACGCAAGGCGAACCTATTCCGCAGTACAGCGTCACAATGTCACTGTGGTTTGCTCGCAAAATAGCAATGTCGCCGGTCACCAACTCTGGCGCTCCTGATACAAATGCCTGCGTTGGTGGAGGCTCTTGACTTCTGCCTCTGCTTTCCTTCATCGGTAAGTTGTCGCGGAATCTTCCGGCAGCATCGGGCATGACGACTCCCCTCCATCGTTGTTCTACGACAAGCGACGTAAAATGTGTCCCAACCTCCGTGATTAACAATGGAGAACGACCAGCCAGCCACATGTGAAAGAACCCCTCCTCGTTTTTCTGAAAACTATGCGTTGACTTCTGGAATACGTGAAAACGGACTTCTTCCTGAAAATGTCGTGAAGAACGCTCTCCTCGTACACTTTGCTCCTTCACAGGAATATCAGTGGTCTTGTCAAAGATATCCAGTGGAAAATTCGCAAAAACTTCCAGCGCTTGCTCGAACAAGGCTGTGCCGCCACTCGCATAAAGAACTTGGTGCAACGTGCTGTCTGCTTCCACACTATTGCCTGAATCTAGCTCGTTGCCGAAGTGCAAGTTCAAACGGGCACAGGTCAGCCCCGCTCGACGCGTCGCATCCGCAATGGCCATGGCCAACTTGCGCAGCGAAATAAGCTGAACGCAGTTCTGATCCACTATCCTTCGCTCGCGGACGCACCAAGTGAACGCAGCAAAACCTGTCGAGACGCGCGACAGCATCCAAGACAGCGCGTCCCCATCTTTTAGAAGTTGCAGTGCCGAGAAACTCTTTATTGGGTTTGACGACGAATCGGTGGTGCTGTCTTCCTCAGCGGAACTGAGGTTCTTCCTCGCGGATTCATGAGCCGTGTCGTGGTTTCTCCCAAGTGCGTCGTCAGAATCTTTTCCGCGCGAGGATGCCGCTATCTGTTCCAGGATCGCTGATGTCAGGGACGACGATATGGAGAAGTCTGACAATCCGCCTCCCAAAGCAGCAGCTTTATTCCCCGACACTGCGAGCGCGTGTTGCTGCGCGACCATCTGTCTAAGCTGATCCTCCACTAGAGCAGCTATGCGCAGGCTGTCCGCAATGTCAGCGGCAATGTCGTGCCGCCAAGACACTGAAATTTCCGGCGACCAGTCGCCACGCTCCTCTTGCTTGCTTATCGCGCGTATCTTCGCATCGAGCGCGGTGCGAAGCGCATAAACATCGCCTAAAACGGTCTCTGGTAGCCATTGCAACGGCCGCCGCAGAAAGACGTAGGCACACTGCGCTTGCCCAGTCGGGTCCAGGAGTTCAAAACGCCTTTGTGGTGGCCAGTAACGCTGGAGCGACAAGTACCTCTGGGGCGGGAGGCTGCGCAGTGCTTGCGCAATCGTGTAAGCTGCCTCGGGAAAGGCCTGGCTCACCAACCCCATCTGGTGGAGCCATCCGGAAGTGTCGAACTTCCCCTGTTGTTGCAAAAGAATTCGGAACACTTTGGGTCTCTTATTTACCTTAGCACTCGTTATACTCCCACCTCGATCATTATTCCCCCGCTTCCGATAAAAGAAAAGGAACTTCTGCACGAGCAGCAGCAAGTTGTGAAGGTAAGATTGCATGTTCGTTCGCCGCCAGTGTTGCCGCGACCGCGCAGCCGTTTTTGAGAACCCGGGAGGCTCCATATCCATTTCGAGAAACATTCGGGGCCGTAGAGTTTCCAAAAAGGCTCCAATTTCGCGTTCTTCGGGAATCCTCTCACCTATGTCATGTTCTCCCGAACTAGAAAATGACGAGGAAAAGGAAGCAATCTCCGTTCTTCCTTTCAGCCCTCCATCGATCTTCTGCGAAGAAAACTTCGACGTTGTAGTTTTTCCTTTCCCTACTCCTTTTCCTACTTGTTTTAAGGTAGCTTTCGTCTTCTTTACTTCAGCGATATTACTTTTGTCCGTTGCAGATGATCCAGAAGCAGATCCACGAGGCTTCGCCTTATCTTCCTCGTCAGCTGGTTTTCCCCAGAAAATAGTCTTTTTCTTCTCCTTAGAAATCACTGGTTCCGGAATTGGCCGGCGCAGAACAAAATCAGGGTCGATCTCACAGTTCTGCATGGAGAAATGATAGTCGTTGTGACTTTCCGGTACTGTTCCAGGAGGTACTTCTGGTACCCGACTAGGAGCAGCGTAAAAAGTATTTCCCTGTTGTGCAGTCACGAGGGAATCCATGATCCCTGGCTGCGGCGCAGGCGGCGGTTCGTAGATGTGAAGAAATCCGTCAGGCAGAACGTCATTCATAGCTGTCAAATTGACGACTTCTGCTGCCGGAATGGGCTGCGTAAAATTCAAGCGCACACGGTTGTTCCCGTAACCTCGCCAAGACCACGTTGCGGTAGAAAGTGCGGACGGCGGCACAACAACGACGCGAAGAAACTTTTCATCCTCTACCTCTCCAGACTCTGCCCTCGAAGAAGCCGTCACGACATCTTGCAGCAATTTCGCAAACTCCAGAACCAATGTGAGAAAATGCTGTAGCGCCGCAACTTGAGCCCCGATTGTGTGATACATTGCGGAGCAGATCGCAATTTCGAATTCGTGGGGAGATGCATGCTCAGATGTTGATGAAGCTGCAACACTACCATCATTCTGCTCCGCTTCCGCGAGCTGGCTAGCTGTTGTATCTCGATCTGACATTTTTGCTTCTTTGGTTCTAGGAGTATCGAGCTGTTGTCGGTTCGCAACGCCGTGCACCTCGCTGCTGCCAGGCCATCCTGAACCTGCGGCATACTCATCCAAAGTTGGTGATCCTTCCGATTTAGAAATCTGTGACTGGTTGTGCTCGAGCAACGGCCTGCCATTGCTGCTCTTCCAGTTCACTAGGTTCTCCCCGATTGCCTGAACGTCCAACACGAAACCACGAACGTAGGGACTCGTTGTCTGCAGCGTGACCGCCGCTTCTTCGATTCCTCCCCAGTGGGCCGCTCGAAGCAGATTTCTTCCTTTCGCAAACGTGTCAGCTTCCAAAGCCGCTCCACCGTCCAAGCGGATCCGTCGAAAGCTTACCTGCTTGAAATCCTGTAGCAAAAGTAAGCGTCCTGAATCGACTGCATGCCTCGCGGACAACAGCCTGCGCTGCTGTTCTAGATGACGGAGCGAGTAGTCGTGCCACTCAGGCCATGCACCCGTGCCCCAATTTGCATTCCGCAGAAAGTAATAGCCGTAGGTCTCTGGGTCCTCCGCGACCGGCAAGTCGTCACATCGTGCACAAACCGTGCAGCGCCAATATTCATTCTCCACACCTGCTTTTTTTAGCCGATCGCCGTCCTTCGACTTGATTAGAAGTCTTACGCCACTTCCTGATGTAGTCGAGACGCCTAGTGATGTATCCCCCGAAAACGATTCTGGTACGTCTTTCTCCTTGTCTCCAAGAAGTGCCTTCTCTTCGCTTCTTGCCGCGTCATCAGACGTCTTCTTTTGTGCTGAGGAGGTCGTCGTGCCCTCAACTGCGTGGTACCAGTTCGCAGTTTCCACCGTGAAGAAGCGGCCTCGTTCCGGGAAATGCCGCGCCGCAGCCTCGCAGAACGCCACGCGGGCAAGAAATCTCTCCTCAGCCGTTTCGATGCCTTTGAGTAGCTGCGAAGGAAGTGTAGACAGTCCAGGCTGCCACCTAGACGCGGCAACCTGCCATCGGGGTGCGTCACTGAGGCAACATCCTCCGGGAACTGGGATGCGGCGAAAATTCGAAGACGCTGAGTAATCAGCTAACGGTGGCGATTCCTCTGAATTCACACTTGCATGCAATGTCACAACACACCAGGAGAGGCAGATACGAAAGATTTGTAAAAAAGAACATGATGTCCGCATTTTTCTTTCATCTGTCAAATTAGTAATTGTACAACATTAGCTCGTAGCGTAGTGTAGAAAGACTACGAATTAATTACTGCAAGAACGGACACACTTTGACGGCATTGTCGAACTACAAAGAAAAGTAGAACTTGCTTCATAATATACAACTTCTGCAAAGTGTACATGCCTGAAAAGCAAACCCGAATGCCTCTAGCTGCGGCATACGTTTGAGAAATCAAGCGAGATAAGAAATTTCACTAATGGGCAGACCAGAGCAGAAATTGCGGGCCGCATGCTCTATTTACACTTAGCTTCCATGCCCTTTCACCATGAGGTAAAATAGTTTCGCCTTTACTCATGGCACCTAATGCTCTCATTTGCGATTCCCTCAAATGTGGTAGAACAAGTGCGGAGATGGCGCTAAGTCACAGCTGGGCTGCTGCTTTCGGGCTAGGATATGCTCCCCAAATCGTGTGAAAATTGGTCGCAAGACACAAGAACATCGTCGATAACATGTATAAGCATGGATGTGGTGACACCAGAAAAATATCCTCTACAAACGCGCTCATCGTCGACAGGCACCCACAGAAGCCCGCTGGGACAATCTTGGTTAGCCAAATGTCTTGGTGCTTAGTCGCAGTCAAAAAGCAAATCACCGCGCACGATAGAACGTTCGCAATCAGCGTGCCGCAACTTTTTGTCCAACCTGTCAGTGACACAAAACGGCGGCAGATGAACCAACGTAACGACGCCCCGGAGGGGGCAGCAATTACCGTTGCCGCTAAAACGCTGAGCCAGGTCCATGCTGCGCCACTGTGAGCGGTCTCCTCACCGGAGAACGCGAACCAGAATAACAAGACATGCAGGATGCAGAAAAAAATTCCGAGTATGGCGGGAAACATAATGAACGGACCTTGACTCCTCACATCATGACTCCGTCCCACATTTCTGGACTTCGCAACACCCGACGAATTTAATATGTTCTCCTTGTCTTCAGAAGCGCCTCCATCTACAGAAGTCATGTTTATTAGGGTTACACCGCCTTCACGCGTCTTGCTTTTTGTCAACTCGACAATGCTCTCCGCTTCAGGTGCGATCACACCTTGTTTTTGTCCTTTCGTTTTCGTCTTGCCCAAGACATAATAGGCAATGACAAATGCGACGAAGCTTCCAGTCAGCGAGCCAAATAGAACAACGCTCAATGCAGGTCCTCGTCCCGAATAATCAACCGCGCGCTCTGAAGTGGGCTCTCCGTTTTCTAGTCTTCTAGACAGGCGCAGCGACTTCGCCAGCTCTAGGTTGAATGCTGAGTACGTGGTCAGGGATCCGCAAAATCCGGTTTTTAAATGTGCCACATTTTGTCTCACAAATGTTTCCAAAAGTACTTTCGTGTGTTGAAAGGTCGAAGAAGGGATCGCAATATGATTTTGTGCAGAGGACTCCACCTCCATGCGTGATTTATCAGTATTCTTTGTGTGTACTAACAGTTCGCCTGCATTCGCGACCTCTTCCGCTTTCATTGCATCTTCCTCGTCTGGAAGACTCTGATTCGCTCCCCTTGTGAACTGCTTCGTGTGCGCAACAGTGGAACCAGCCTGGTTTTGAGGAGGTATACCCCTGACTTTGGCGTCGCTTCCCTTCGGCTCAGTTCGCACACGACAGAGGAGGCCCATGCAGAAACACCCAAGGACGTTCGACACGAAGGAATTGATCATATACTTCTCCACCCCAACAGAACCACCAGTCGCGGCAGTCTCGCCATCGAATTGAAAGACCTGCGTCAACGATATTCGAAGCAGCGAACCATAGATACTGAAAAGGGCTATCATGGATGCGTCCCATGCCGCTTCAGCCGACGTTGTCATGGTTTTTTCTGTCGTACTATTTCCAACTGTTTGTACTTATATAATTATAACAGGAATTACAGCGATTTGTTAAGCATCAGCAATAAGGGACGACTGCAAAACAGTCTCACAAAATTGTCATCTGCAAATTTTGAATATATTAGAGGACCCTGCCATAAAAATAGATATGCTTAGCTGAACGGACCAAGTGCACGTCTTGAACAGACGAATCGACACCCTTCAGGAGCACTAAAAAGTCGTGGTTGGAAGCGTGCAAAACATGCCCAGCCACAAGCTGTAATGCTGCAGTCTAAGACGAAACTCCCAAAGATTCTTGCATCATATGTCTGTAACTCGCGCATACGAGCGAACGACTGGCTTCTTGGAAGCACTTTGTTTGCTACTATCATACATCACCTCTAGAACGAGAAAATAAGTTCCTGAAACGTTCATCTGACTGTAGTTAAGGTCCCTACGGTATGACAACGAACTACCTGCGAGAGAAACACTACTTCGTCCTAACCTAACATAAATCGTTTAACAATTTAAATTGAGTCAGCTCTTTTTTTTTTTTTGTATCGCGAGCGAGGTCCGGGAAGAACCTGCCGACATATTTTCCGCGTAGATACCGGCGTAGGGGGGGGTTCTTAATCTCCTTAACAACTACGCTAATGCCCCTACGATTTTAAAATGCTGTGAAAAACCGCCTTCCAAGGCCACGCAATAACTCAGCATTTTACTCCTCGTTTCTAAATGGATCTATCAAGTTCGCTACAGATGGCGATCATGATGGTGAAAAATACTTCGATGCACATCTGGTGACTTCAGCATTTGATTACTGAAAAGGCTCAGTAACTTTCTTAAAGGAAATGCTCCAGTATCAAGTTCCTTGATCTTCAAAACCATTTCGCCTGTCTGCCTACTAGGTACAACAAGCCGAAAGTGGAAAGTGTCACTGTAGACCAAAAGACAACTAGACCCCACGTTCCCAGTTGCAATACAGGATCCGCTTGAATCCACCCGTCGACGTCATCTTTGGTCTGAAAATTCATACCAAAATAACCCGCAAATGCTTGTAGCGGCATGAAGATCGCCGTCACCATTGTCAACGAAGCCATTAGAAGAGGAGCCACGAAGCGGGAGGTGATGGTAATCAAGTATGATGATGAGTAGCCGAGTTATTTTTCACTGCATAGCATAACGTAAGATAGTACGCTGGGACTTTTTCACTTTCGCCCTCAAGGAAAACAAAACATAAGGATAAACTACACAGTGATTCCAGTAGCAATACGCACCACTTCTACATTTTGTGATGAGACATAAGTACAAGACGCGGTTCTGCCTTCGATCTACGTAGGTTTCGTGCTCTTCTTTCAGGGATAGGCATTCTCGACTTTGCGCCGCTAACTGCATTAGCAAACCATTCAGGTTGTCCTCGGCGTCTTCGACGTATCTCTGTAACTCGGGGGATCCAGCGGCACTCGCAATCATCTGCCGCAACACCCGGGTCAGGGGCCGCATTTCAGATTCTAACCACTCTAGGTGTCGTTTCAGCAGAATCAGGCTCTTCACTTCGGATGAAGGCAACCGGTCCTCAAGTGCATGCAACCTAGTACTGGTAGCCGCGAGTTGCGCTTCAAACACCTGTGCAATAGGCAGCATCTTTTCCACGCAAGCGTCCAGAACCGAGTGTGCAAGCCAGTCAACATTGCCTTACATTAGACGACACCTGCAAGCAAGTTGAGGGCAGCGAGAACCTCTATCAATGAGCGTGAATTTTTAGCATGGTTGAGTTGAACAAGTAAATGTTAAATGATATAAAAGAAGATTTTATAGTACGAGGCTACAAAGATTGGAGGTGGGTGTTTTAGGGAATATAATGGTGTGTTGCGTGCTACTTTTCATCTTCGAATCATAACTGTCTCACACTTGAGTATTCTGTTTCGAGCATCGCGGGTACTCGGCTGAAGGCTGCATTCATCTTCGTCTCTTTTTTCTTGCTCGCTGAACCAAAAGCAGTCTCCATCTGCTCTAGTGGCTTCGTATTTAGCGTCGCGACTGGCTGCGATAGAGCGGGTTCCTGACCCTCCTCCGGTTCATCCACTTCCCCGAGAGTATCGCTTGAGGACGACGAGCGTGCGCCTTCCTCAACCCGCACTTCGGCTTCCTCTGAAAAATCCACACTGCTGTCCGTCGCATCCTTCGCATTTTCTCCTTTCGCTTTCGGCGCCTCATCTTCAGAGTCTGGAGCTTTAACGCGACCTCCTCTCTTTTTTGATCTCTTTTCTGGATCCGCCGGCGCAAAGTCGATGCCTCCAACTTAGAAGAAACAGGGACACCAGTCGTCATGTTGCTTCATCATGATGTCATTATGATAGTTGTCACGATGTTCAAGACGTGAGCAGTCAACTGCTACTTGTACGATAACTTATATTTTCTCAGGTCAATGGAAAGTGAAAGCCTAGTTCAGCAGAAGGTTTGCACTTCTCACTGGGTATCAAAAAGAATCATAAGGCGAAGTGTTACTTCACGACTTTACAGATCTTATCAGCTCATAATTGAAGTTGATTCGCGTTTTTTGCCATTCTGTGGTAACACTAATTAATGTGTCGAAGTCCGGCTTCCCGGCAATGAAGAGCCCTAGACTGGATCGCTCCACCTCGATCTGCAGGCTGTGAATCGGTTGTGACTGAAACCCTGCAACCGTCTTCACCAACGACCTCGCGTAGCCGCCTGCTTGGTTCACAAAACCCTGCGTGCTTTGGGCGAACGACTGGTTGGGTGCGACATTTCTTAGAAATAATGTACGCACACTGAAATTAGAGTAAGTCAGTTAAAAAAACGATTTTTAGAGAGTCAGGCCAGACAGATCTACCAACGTATGAAAAACGAATTCAGACGACACACTGGAGGAAAGAGAATTCTCATCTACCTTGTAACTGTATCATCTCAATCTATGTTGTAAACAGTTCTTACATAGATACTCTCTTTACTATGTATATCACGTGTCAACACGTGTAGTAAACTCCTGAGAATATCGCTCATTATGAATGTCGTAGTAGCAGCATCGGTCTCGATATTGATCGCAAGCAGGAACCTAATTAACGGGACTACGTTAACCAGGAACCCTAGGTGCCGTAAAGCTTGGTTTGGATGCGGGCCTGGCGGAACAAGGTGATCATCGTCCAGCAGTGTTCGCCGCTGCCCGTTCGCGACGCGTGCTGATGCGCGACTCTTTAGCCCGCTGCTGCGACTTTCTGCCGCCAGCGCAATAGGATGCGCATCCGCGTTTGTTGATGGCGACGACACAAATGTCCCTGCTGAAGCCGAAGACGAGGCACCCCGCAGACTATCTCTGATTCCAGTCGGCACCATACTCAAAAAATTCCCGTCCCCAATGAAACTTGGAGTCGAAAAGGTGCTCATCATGCTACCTCTGTCTTGATCATCCGAGTCTTCACCGAGTGTGTTATCGTTTTTGTTCTTCGCGCCGTTCTTTTTCGCTGAGTTCCTTTTGTTGCGGGCAATGGCCTTGTTCTGCTCCAGTTGCTCTTCGTAAGCTAGCAGACTGGCTTCGGAGCGGTGCGAAAGCCGAAACAGTGGCAAAGCAACGTACCACTGCTCGCCGTGACCCTCTTTTGCGGCGTGCGCGTCTTCGTCGTAGCTGAGGTCCGCAATGTCGTGCATCTTGTGTGTGTAGCGCGTCATGCGGCCCGTAACGGGCTCGCTCCCCAGTGAGAGAGCGCTCTCCACCGCCAGTGGGTGCAAGTTGAACTTCACACCAATGCGCAGCATAGCTAACCGGCAGCCCATGTCGCTGCCCGCTCTCGACATAGAGATCCACGTCACCCGCTTGTTGTTCTCCTTGCTGCTCCCCGTCGTCGCGGCCTCGGCAGAAGCCTCCTGGCCGGACACCAGAGCGGACGGCGGCCCAGCACTACCAGAAGTGGAATCTCGCGTACTTGCGTTAGTATTCTCGAAGAAGAAACCACGACTCGTACGCCGGCTGAAACGGTGGGATGAAGTTAAGTGCACCGAATGTCGGCTGCTGCTGGGCACCGCCACGTGTTGGCCCGAGATTTCGTCGCCCTCCACAAGGGAGTCCACCACGCGCGTTCTGTGGATGCTCTCTGCGTCGTAGTCGATGCAGCTAAAACTGTACCCGCAGCCGTGTGCTGCCAAAACCTCTTCCTGTAGATGGTCGTGTAAAAGCAATTCTAGGAAGAGAAAACGCACGATTCGCTTGAAGCCACGAAGTCCGAAATCTTCAGGCCCAGCAACTGCATTATGCAGGAATTCGCGCCACACCATCTCCGGAATGCGGCTGCTCTCCCTCTCTCGCGACGCCCCGCTCGCACGAGACACGCTCCGCTCCTTCACCTCAGGTAGGCTAGTTAATGTAGGTCGAGAATCTAGTGCGGAGGTACAAAAATCACTCCCTTCGCCGGTTCTCGTGACACGTGGATCCGGTTTCGTTGGTGGCGACGCATCCTTCGGAGTGCCCCCTGGCTGGCCCACGTGGCGGAGTCGCATTCCAAGAACCGCAAGACATTTCGAGAACTCAGCTGGCGTGATGTTCCCATCACCATCCGCGTCTATCTCCTTATGGAGGGAGTTCAACCGAAAGGGCGACACGTCGAAGCGGCCCGCCAGATCGCAGTTGTCGATATTCTCGTCCAAAGCGTACTCAGGACACTCGAATCCGACTCCGAGCCGCTTGAACAAGTCCCCAATGTCATATTCTTTCAGCGCGCCTGTAAGCCGCCTCTTTACCTTGTTGGGATTTTTCTCGTCTCCGGACGACGATTCCTCCGCCTCGATATGAAGAGGCCCGTGCTCGCCTTCCCCTCCACCTCCCGTTCCAATCGAGTCGCCACCGTCCCCGATCGGCACATTGGCCCACGCATCTTCGCCAACGATGATCTGCGTTATACCAATCCCTCCTGAGCGGCCGGTGCCGATGTAAGAACTTTCGCCCATATTGAAATTGTTGTAGTTGAACTAGACTTTCATGGTGAACACCAAAGAACTTCAGATCATTCGAAGCAAATCTTACTATTGAGGGAAACTTTTCTTTCCACGAATTCTGCAAATGAGGATTAAGAATAAAAACAGCAGGGCACGTCGAGCAGGATCAACTACTCATCCACTTTCACTTCAAAACAATGCATTATCCACATAAATAAGCGATTTTTTTCTCACGTTGTTATCTCCGTTTTTGATTCTTAGATATTTTTCAGTCTCAACTCAGTTACACACTCTACCAAGCAGCGTGACGGTTCTCGAAACGATTAATGCGTTATATGGTGCGTTATTTGCAGGTCTTGGGCCTTCGACGTTTCTCAGTAGCTCTGCACTCTTTGAGTGACGCTCTTCTAACACTAACACACGACCAATTCGATCATTCGAACAAGTCAACGTTCGAAGATAATCTTCTATCAATTACTAGTTCGAGATGAATTCATCCGTTGTGCAGAGTGGAGCACCCCACAAAGCACAGCGCAACAAATAAGAAGCGATTTGTTCGTCTCCTGAGGCAGACTATTATTAAGCCTGCTGTAGCCTGAACTGCAAGGAAGACATAGAATCCAGCTAAAAAGTTGCGTAGCACAAAGCGAATAATAGTTTCTTGCTGCGGAGCATTTTTTCTGGTTACGCCGCAGAAGACCCCGCGGACCCTAGCATGTCGAGGACGTCAAGTTCGACAAGACTACCAATGTTTGAGTGCGTCATGTCAGATTTATTTACGATCAAAGAAATCTTACCCCTCGATCAATATCCTTATTGAAAGAACGAAAGACGTATACACAAGACAACAAGAAGTAAGTATTTAGTGGAGCAGTATCGATACTTAGAACGATTCAAAAGAACAAGCAGCTTATTCTCTTTACCTTTTTGTACAACTACAGGGGTGGTATTTCATTTTTTTCTAGTGAGACAAATACAGGCTACGTACACGACCTCTTCCCAAAAAGCTCCAAGATCCTCAATCATGAATAGATAGCGCTAGGAAAACAAGCAGATTTTTTTACTTTCGATCGTGTATAGAACTACAAATTCAAATATTATATGTTACAAGTACATTATGCTTTTCGAATACTCTAGGGCAGACACTCTCATGAACATATCTTTACTGCTCGTCGGAACTTTCTCCTGGTAATAGTCCGCCATGCTCGTGTCGCGCACGCCAGAGAGGAGGTACCTGGTCTTCCGATGTGCTGTCTCGCTTCTCATATTCGATCTCCTCGTGGAGCGCTGGCTCAGACTTACTGGCTTAGATCTTGGAGTCCATCTTTCTGAGGCACATCTTCTTGGAGGTCGTGTTTTACCCCTCTCACACCAGCTCACGTCATGTCATCTACCTTGACGCTCTTTTCGTTCTTTTCTGCTATGTTTGTAGAACCCTACTTTTCCAAGAAGGCGACGCTCCTTCGAAAGATGCATTTCCTGAAGCCTTAATTAGACGCTTCCTGGTGTTGTTCCTCTTCCACACATCCCTGGCGTCCCGGGAGAAAGGCTTCGCTGAGTCGCTTCAGCGTCTTCCTTACGGGAGACATAATTTTCGATACTAGACTCTGCCGTTTCTCGTCAGGCCAGTGAACCTGGAGGTTTGCGATTAGGAAAGAAATCTGTTGCTACAACAAGTAGTACTTGATTCCAAAGACAGTTCATCTACTACTTTCCTACTTCATTCAAGAGCATCTTCACTTTTTACCGACAAAAGTATTTGCATGCAGCACCACTTGTTTTCTTTTGAAACTTTTTTGTTTACTTTTGCTAAGCACACACACACACACACACACACACGAAGTGTAATTCACAAGACCTTTCTCGCACTCTCTCCTGGTGCGTTGTCGTCTTTCTTCATACTCCGTTGCTGCTCTTTTTGAGGAACACCTTTCTGTCCTTGCGCAGAGGAAGCAGACGCAGCAGATGACAATGCGCTGTTTTGATGAGAAGAAGAGCTGCTGCTCGATGCGCTTGCTGTAGACGACAAAAAAAGTCCACCCGTGTTTTCTCCTAGCATCTTGCCACACAAATGTGGAAAAGAGAAATCTTCATTGCACTTTCGTCCTCGCTCGGTTTGCTCGTCATCTTCTAAAAGCAAAGAGCCCTGACTTGCGTTGAGTGCCCGACCACTACCTCCGCCACCACCACTGCAAGCAGCTGGAGGGCGATTCGAGTCGTCCTCGAAAGCAAGCACCTTCTTCGTTGTTTCGCACGTTTTGCTATTTCGCGGGACATGCATCTCGCTGTGCTTGCCATCGCGAATCAGTTTCGAGGAGGCCGCAACTTCACCGGCGCGCGGCAGAGCCGGAACAGAGGTCGACATCCGCCGTCCGCCGTGGGCTTCTGGCGTTTCAAGTCCGGTACTGCGAGATGCGCCCATTGCCCTGCCCTCTTCCTTGACTTTGCTCGCAGACCCGAACAAAGAAGACAGAAATCCGACCTGCTACTGCTACATTTTTTACATCTTGTGTCTTACACCATTAGCCTTACAGTAATAGCGCAACTACCAGCTATTTTTTCACTTTTTGGGATTATTTACGGTCGTTCCTAGCAGGTAAACGAAGAGTCATATTTTGGGTTTAGAAATTGCGTTTGATCCTACATAGAGCAGACGATTCGTTGATTTGGATGAAAAGCTGGAAATTGATTTTCTTGCACAACAAGTGTGTCTTGTCATCAGGGTGTTCTTGTCTCATGTATAGTTGGGGTGTGACATCAAACAACTACTTATGTTGTTATTTACCGACTTCGGTGTCGCCGCAGCATTCGGCTTCTTGATCGCTGATCTTGGAGTCGGTGCCGGTCTCTCTCGTGGTTGCCCGCGTAGCTCCAAATACTCGAAAACCTTCTCGACCTTCTGCGCGAACGCGCACGTCTCCTTCTGCGCCTCTTCTTGTAGTGATGTGAACTCCTGTAATTTGCGCTCCACCTCGCGAAGTTGCGCCTTTGCGCTCTGCACTGCGGCGTCCGCACTGTGTTTTACTTCTAGCTTCTCCGCCAAGAGATCCTCAGCGACTTCACGATTGGCAACTTCCGCTGCCACGCAAGCCTGTAGGCCTGCAATGAATTGTTGAATGACTGGATGTGGTAACCAGCCACCATTTACACTTCCATACTAGGCAGTATGCAGCATGTTCTTTTCAACAATTACGAAAACCAAAAACTTAAAGTACGATATCAACAACGCGACACCGTATTTAAAATACCCTGTAGCCTCTCTTCACGATTCTTCAATGAATCGCTAGCATCTGTCAGGCGGTCCCTATGATGCACAAGCTCGCTGTCCAAAATCGTTTCCGCGCGGGCAATGGCTTTCTTCCCGAACGATGCTGGCTCATGCGCATACTGCAATGCCTGTAGCATTGACTCGTCTGCTTTGCACCGTCGCAGGTGATGCTCGATTGCATCTGTGGGATCGAAACAAGAATCATGATTAGAATAGGTCTATTTATCAAGAAAGAATTGCGCTGTGTAGTGACCACACATTCATCGTGATAGTTTTTGTTACGGCGTGTATGAGCAGTAGGCAGAAAAAGGAACACGCATCAACAAGGAGGTTTAAGTGCCTTTTTCTGCAGCGGAGGGCTTGACAGAATCGCGCGCATTTCTCAGTCCCTGCAGTGCTCGCTCCAGTTCCTCAACTGTGCACTCAATTTCCCTTCGGTTTTGTTCAACCGTACGAGTTCCATGGCGATTTATTTTTACTTCTTCCTCTAATTTGGATACCGAATGTTGAAGGGCTTCTGCCACCATTCGTTGTTCGCCCTCCCCAGCCTTCGCGCTCTGTGCGAGATCTTCGGCACCAGCAACGGTTTCGCGCGACTCCGCAACTAGGCTCCACTGAGCCGTCGTGGCTGCGATGGTGAGCGAAGAAGACAATACAGAGAAAGATGAAATTCTCTAGATCGTAAAGTGCAAATCTCGTCTAATCACTGTAATCGATCCCTTTAGTTAGTCATTCATCGTTATTACGACGAAGCTCTATAGGAACAAAACGTCATACCAGTTTAAAGAAAAGCGACTAAAAAGAACGGTGACCAAGAGACTGAAGCGAGGCTTAGCTGCAACAGTCACCGCTTAAGCGAAGCGAGGATTAGCTACAGCAGTCACCACTTAAGCGAGACAGGGCTTACGCGCAACAGTCACCGCATAGGCGAAGCGAGGCTTAGGTGCAGCACTCACCACTCTAGCGACACAGGGATTACGCGCAACAGTCATCGCTTAAGCGAAGCGAGGCTTAGGTTCAGCACTCACCACTTAAGCGAGACAGGGCTTACGCGCAACAGTCACCGCTTAAGCGAAGCGAGACACTTAAGGGAGAGCCGCATACCGGAATCCGAGGACCTTGGGCGAGGTACTTAAGGGAGCACCGCATACCGGGTGCCGAGGCACTTAAGAGGGCGCCGCAGAATGGGGGCCGAGGCACTTAAGCGAGACGCTCAAGCGAGGCACTTAGGGGAGCGCCGCATGACGGGGGCTGAGGCACTTAAGCGAGGCACTTAAGGAAGCTCTGCATACCAGGGGCCGAGGCGCCTAAGCAAAGCACTTAAGAGACCCCTGCGCCTCGGGGCGCGAGGCATCCAAGAGAGACGACAGACAACATCTAAGCGAGCCATTTAAAGGACCGCATTATCTAGGCACGGGCACAGTCATAATCAATCGTGGACCTCCTTCCAGTTGTTTAGAACTAGATACTTTCTTCTACTCAGCACAACAAAAGATACCTTCTTCCAGTTGTTTTTTTCGCTGTGCGAGCTGTGTCGCGCCTTCTCGGACCAGCTCCCCAACTGCTGCAAACACTTCTTTGTGATTTTTGTTTCGTCGACCTGGAACGGTAGCCGCGCACGCAGGAAAGCAGCTCTGCAGCAGCTCTATGCGCGCATCTGAGATGGTCGTGTTATTTGGCGTTTCGCCTGCGTTGTTGGAGTTGTAACCAGTTGTACTAGAAGAAGTTGAAGCTGTATTTGTTGTGCTACAGACATCAGCGGATTTTTTCTCGTCTTGAGGCAATGCCATGCTCTCAACCTGGTGTCCTGATGTTGCAGGAGCAGGGCTAGTTTTTTCTCGCGTTACATCGACTTGCGACGCCTCTTCCCCCGCAGACACAGCTGCTGCAGATTCCACATCGTCCCCAGCACCTGAAGACTTGATATTTTCGCTGCTTCCCACCGGGCGCCGCCCATGCAGTGCTTCGAATAGTGCAACAAGCATGGCAGACGCCTCAGTAGCATACTCCATTGACTGATCCAGGGTGTTCTCTGAAGAATTCGGACCTCGATTTTGATTTTCAGCGTTGATCGATAGCTTCTGCCTTTTGGCCGGCGGCTCTTCTTCGCTCGACGCACGGCGCTTCGCGCACGCACCGCCACGCAAGACGGATGCCATCTTCGTCGTCGTAGAAGCAGAAGCTTGTCACTAACTAGAAAAATAAAAAAAATTTGATGAACAAACAAACGCTCACGCTGTGATCAGCATGTAGAAATCATTTGATGGATGACGCAACAATACAGACAGATTGAAAAGATGCCGTTTCGTACAGGGTTGTAGCTGGTCCTTACCGTTATTGTTTTAGAGCAGCCAGAAAAATAATCCAGTCAAAACGCTAGTCGTGGGTATAAATACATATTTTCGATTGTCTTTTACCTGGGAAGAGCATCTTGCGATAGCTAAGTCGACTCTGCGGGCTCAACTTTTCTATTTCGTTTCGCCTTATTGATCGCGCAAATTGCTATGCTTCAAAAAATAAATTGAGATTCTATAAAAATCTATGAAAAATCTCAACGCTGCACCACATTGATATTTTTGGAAAAGGGCTTGGTTGTCAACAATATGAAAGCATGAAACATTGAGTCACCGATTTTGAGGCTGATGTACAATTTAACCCTTGGTTGCGCATGGATGGACAACTTTTGCTTCACTTTTCATCTTCCTGCCAGGTCTCCAGACACTTTGGTAGACGCTTGATTTTTCGAATGAGAAATGCAATGAATTGACAGGCGCCTTCAATTTTCGTGGTATCTCTTTTGAAATCGATTCTGGAAATGTGGAAATCAACGAGAGTGGGCATCTAGAAAACTCATAGTTTCGGAAACAGCCAACGAACGAAGACGATGACTTAATTAACGTGCTTTCTCAAGACGTTTCCAAGACTGCCACAAGCGGAAGGTAGATATGCTCATGCTATGCACAATAAAATAATGCATGGATGCAATGGCTCACAGAATTGGGCGAGCAACAGTATCTTCAACTTTATGTAAACATGTGCAGCGTGCGTGAATGCAGTAGAGCGCAAAAAAAAAATCAGAAAACGAGGGCATTTTTCAACAAAGAAAATAGACTAGTAGATAATGCATTTTTTTCGGTATGAAAATAAGACGTAGCATTCTTATTAAGGAATGGCTATGTATCACAAGGACGTAAGTCGGATACCTTTCGTTGTCGCAATCTAGTGAACAACAAATTAGTGTCTCGACACAGGATCCTGTGACTGTGGTCTCAACAACGCAGAGAAACGTTTCATTCCAATCTTAATTCTCAACTTGCCAGTTGAAAATATCAGAAACTTTGTTCTACTCGCCGTCACCCACTCAGTCACGCTACCCCCCCCATATTACAAGTGGAAGGCAACCGATATTCCGCTAATGGGATGCGTAACTCGCCAATTTTGCCAGCAATGGGCCTTCGAAGTGAGACCGTTGCTTCGGGGTGCATTTAATAAGGCTCTGCAACATGTGACACTCAACTAATCACTTACCACCAACAGCTTTTGGTGTGCCGAAAAAAGAAATAAGAGGGAGGAGCCTCTGCCTCTTCAAGTATAAAATTTTTGAATCAGAACAGCTCATTGGGAAATGCGACGGCACAAAAGAATCTGATACGAAAACTTCGTGGCTTCTTATTCCGCAAAAGCAATTCATCGAGAAAAACCTCTCAGTTTCTGCACAAAAAAAAAATATGTATCCAGTACATGACCAAACGAGCCTTTGAACTAAAGGAGCCTACCGGGGGCTGAATCTTTGCCCTTCCCATGATGGATTCGGGGAGGTGCTACTACTACAGTATATGCCAGGAAAACTTGAGGACACCAGCGCGCCTGTCATCCTGTTGATTCAAGCGACCATTACTACTGTTGTGAGTAATACTAGAATTGTGAGTAGCGGTAGTTCTCGAGGGAGCTGACACCGGTGGTACTAGAGTTGTGAGTAGTTGTTGTAATAAAGGGAGTTTGCTAAGAGGTCGTGGAGTATCTCTAGGCTTTCTTTTTTCCTTTCTCTGCTTTTGCACCACCGAAGCCCAAGGCTTTCGAGACTCCCTTCCAAATTTCATAGCCCCAATAGAAGTTCAAAAAGCAGAACCCGAAGTAGCAAGCTGCGACGCCTGCGGTGATTTGGTACTGTGGAAAGGCGATCGGGCCCTGCTCTACTACTTGTTGCGGAAAGAGCCAGGAGGCCAGGCCCGCGACCCGCGAGATCTCCAGGACTTGCGCGAGCAAGTTACTCAGAAACGGAACTCCGCAGTTGAGGCACTGGAGCACTCCCCAACCCATTGGCAGGATACGGCATAAAAAAAACGGAGATTAGCGCGCATGTTACGGCATAAAAAAAAAGAAAAAATCACAGCCACTCAGTTTCTAACGTTCATTTTTTCAGGATTCAAACGACCTGTGGAAATGAAATACAGTGAGCCTTAAGAAAAGGCAAACGCAAGTCCTGCTCCTATCCGCAAGTTAGTAGGAGTCGGAATTCCTGTCTCAAGTGCCTTGAGACGCATGATATTCCGTGAGTGCAAGAATATCGTGGAAAACTCCGAAAAATACACGAACCTGGAGTTTTCAGCAGGTAAAACACCACTCCTTGTTGAAATCTAAGAATCTATATATCAGTTGAACTGATGAACATCAAGGTCACAAATTCAAGTGCCAAACGCCAAATTTCCTAAAGGAATCTCGCCTAGAATTTTCTGCATAAATAATGCAACGTTAGACTTATGCATTTTCTACCTATTGCAGAAGCGCAGCGTGTTCAGGAGAGTCAATTTTTCGAAGTCTGCGCTTGATGCCGTCGGAGGACGAGTAAGGTCATATCCCCCCAGGGCTTTTAAATGAAGGAAGCTCGGAACCATTCCAAGAAGGCCCAAAATGTGATGATAGTACACCTGAAAAGGATGTGACAATCGTAAACGTTTCTACTGCTAAACTTACATTGTAGAACAAACCCTCGTTTATCGGGACTCTGTACGCTCACATAGTACTAAAGTCAAAATAGACAACGTGACGAACTGCCTTGAAACTTATTATTGAATGACCAATAATATCACACTTCACATTCGTCGGAAGTGACTATCATACCGCCAAGTATTAGTTGCCAGGATTACCTGATAGACGAATCCGGGAATCGCTTCTCCTTTTTTCAATAGCTTGTAGGTGTCGAGTGGCATGTAAATGAGGGAATCGACCACGCACACGGCCATCATGATCGCCCAGACGGCACTCCACGCAAGAAGTTCCAAATTGTAATGTGTCACATCCACAAAGTTGCCTCCCGCATCAACTGGAGTCTTACCTGGAGAATCAATATCAATGGTTGGCCTAGAAGAGTGAAGGAGAGAAGCATATTCCACGTATCATTGTAACAACTGCAGACGCGGATGTAGAAAATATTTAGGGAGAGATCGAGGACACGGCCAGGGAGGAAAACTTCAGTGGTAATCAGATGTCGACAGCGAAGAACATGACTGCAATCCCAAATCCTATGCTCTTTCCGATAGTCATCTGTTCTACCAAAATACCACACTGTTCCAACAAGGGGCATCCATACTTCTCCAAACAGTTCTTATTCATGGCGTTCTCCACAACTAACGAATATCTAAGTAAACGACCTAAGGAAGTTCTTAAATATCTGACTAGAAAAGGATATAGATTAATTACTACCTGTCGATCCTGAATAGTATGGGTAAGTGAAAAGCGCTAGCTCAGCCGCTGATGACGTGAAAGCGACGCCGAGGTAGAAATAGCTTGCACCCTTTTCCTGCCATGAGCACATCCAGAGCCAGAAGGTAAAAAAGGTACACGTGGCAATGCCCGCAAGCCCCAGTGTTTCGCCGGTTAGAACGTTTCCTTCGAACGTCCCTTCCGGCAACAACATTTTTTCTACACGTTTTTCTACTTATATCACACGATGAGTAGGACTCAACTTGTATCACACAATTAGACGCGCAACTATAGAGAATTAAACACTAGTAGGTAAACAACAAGAACGCTAGACGTTCTGCACCCACGCGTTCTGGACTTTGATACACGTTGTTAGAGAAATATGATTTATTCATGTGGTTTTCATCTATTGCATTTTTCATTGTAGCCTTGTTGCATCCAAAGTTTCCCTCGTTGCTTTTCTTAGATAGTGGTTACACTTCTTTTTCCATTTTCACGATATCATTGTAAAACTTTTGCTGACGACACAAACGCATTTCACGCGTGCCTACTTTGCAGTAGCGATTGCTTAAAAGCAGATGTCTCTAACGTCTTACGACTCTAGCTTTAACATCGCGTCTGAGCCTCTCGGAGTTAACATGTAGTTCAGCGCTGGAGTAGGATCGCACAAGTGTAAATGGTGGCTTGTCTCGTAGATGTCGCTACCAAAAAAAAATTTTCGTCGAAAATTCTATTTAATCGAGAATAACATCTATTTGTCCTGATCCTGTTCAACAGGATCAGGACTTCATTTTCCTAGTCCTTTGCTACGTCACTTCTTGCTCGCCAGTAACCAGACCCATAGTCTATAAAAAACTCTTCACCTGCTGTGACATCACGTGTGCACACGGCTATGGCATGGAACAGCGTACGAGATTTGTGTGCAAATTTGGCGTTGATTTGGTCTGGGCTGCCGTGATTGATGTAGCGCGCTGCAGCAACTGACTGCAGCGCGTCTACGCTGAAAAGCCCGAAACCGCCTAAGCGATAGTCGGTATTCGGCGCACCAGATGAACTCGTCGCATGACTCTCCTCTGTGGTAGCATTGGTCGCTGCTGTCGTTGCTGCTTTCATGCGCTCTTGAAACCCGACTCTTCGTCCGAAGTAAACACAGATCCATTCATCCTTCCGAAAATTCCGCGTGGCGAAGAGTCCTTGGCCGGCGCCTGGGATCGTGCTTGGTCGACAGGATAATCCAAGATTATCATAGGTTTTTTCCGGATCTCCTGCACTTTGTTTTCTAACAAAAAGAACACCACCTGCTCCACCACCACCACCACCACCAAATCGGCTGTCTAAAAGATAGTTCTTTTCATCGGAGAAAATCATGTATCGAAGGAGATTCTCAGCGGTTGATTCCGCGGCTGGAACGGACTTGAAGCCGAGGATTTTCCAGTAACTCTCAAGCCGAGAGAGACTAAACTTTTCGGCGTCGCTGACTGCACTCCACACATCAGAAAATTCGATCCGCAATAATTCCTCCCCGTGGCAGCTCTTTGTGTCATTTTAGTAAAGAGGGACGCGAGAAGGGTGTACTTTGCAGGTGTGACGGAAACCCTACGCCAGAGCCGAGCACCGGCGGTAGAGATTTGTGAGAATGAAATCGGGCATCCTATGTCGATCCTCTTCTACGCCTAGTAGGCGATAATAACATCTGTGCGCGCGAAAATCTCGGGGGCCTGCGTTGCTGTGCTCAGACTTAGCCTTTTTCAACAAGGCCTTCGAGTACGAGTAGGTACCTCGTACACGCCAGTTTTTTGAAACGCTGCCGTAAGCGAGAGATTCGTCTTCGTAATGGGAACATGATTAGCGGCCCGGTCACTTTTCTGACCCCTTCTCGCCGTCTCTATCATAACTTTTTCCTGACTCATCAGCCTGATTTTTCACCGGCAGTGAAAGTGGTTTATTGCGGGAGTCGTCAGCTGCATATTTTACATCATCTAGTTCCGCACGAAGTTTGTCTGGTACAATTTCTGACAGCAAACCCGTGTTTAGTTGTTCGAGGCCCACAGTTGGCAGGTTTTTCTTCTCACCAGAATGAGCATTTTTTTGTTCCTCAGTCGTAGGCACCCACCGCACACTGAGCGAGTTCACACAGTGCCGCTCCGTTTCGCCCTCACTCTTGTGACCTAAAAATACATGCCCTAAATGACTGCCACACCGTTTACAGAGCGCTTCCAGCCGCGTTCGACCGTGGTCGTCGTCCCTCGCGTAGCTCACATGACTTCCTCCCAACGCGTCAGAGAAATAACAGGCGTTGTAAGCAGGCCAGCCACACCCTGAGCGAAACTTTGCACTTCTTGGATACAAAGGCAGTCCACAACCGCGACACGCGTAGAATCCTGCTTCGTCGCTAAAATGGTTCGCGTATTCGCCCTTACCTGCTGGTTCGGTTCCGCGCCTACGGAGGATCTCAAACTCCTCTGAAGTCAGTCTCGCCTGCCACTCCGCGTCGGACAGAGGCGTCCAATGTGCTGTACAACTGCCTGCGCTGCCGGTGGTCATCCTTACAACTACTTAGACGTACCCACATGATCATTCAATAAATCCTGGATATATATCATGACGGAAGAATGAGCTAACAGCGATCAAGCAAGTGACCACTTTATCGAAGACATCTAACGACGTGCCTGCCCGGAAAGAAAATTGATGGGAAGAACGGGCTGAATTTTGCTTCTTCACCACCAGGACTTTGACTATTCATTTTGGACGAACAAAAGCTCGTGCCGATCGTTTCAAGGAATTTCGTCCGGTGATTTGGTTTGCGTTATTAAAAGACCATGAACGCCTTCAGAATTTTGTATCACACACAAGAGAGATCGACTCGCCATGACACATTTATTGCGCCGAGCAGAATACTGCTTTACCAGATCGCGCGCGCGATACGTACGCGATTGGTACACTTTCCCTCTGCCGTTAAGACATTCTCTTTGAGAAGTAATGGGAGGCGTAATAGTCAGTTTTTGTTCGTCCTGCAGTCGCGCTGGTGCAATCGCAACAGCTACAGGAAAAAAATCAGAAAATACGGAAATGCACATTTTTGCTCATCATCGTTATAAATATAATGGGATAAAACATAACTTTACAAAAATCAGTGACCGCCGCGAAAGGCTCTTCGTTATCGGTATAGCTGCACACGTAAATACAAAACGAGCAAATGGTTCCACAAGAAAACTTTTCGTGCTCAGTCACCACTGCATTTATGTGCCGGACACGCGGGAACAAGTCAGGGGGATGAAGCGTATGATCGTGAATCAAGAAAAATAGAAATGCTAATGTGTCTTTTCTTCATGGGCTTTGGTAAATATCATTTACCGAGGCCCCTGATTCATCATGTTCATCATATTTTGCAAAGCTTGTGGATTGTTCATCAAAGCCTGCACTTGCGGGTTGTTCATCATCTGTTGCATCGCTTGCGGATCGCTCATCAATGCTTGTGCTTGCGCCGCCATCTGTGGGTTGCTTGCCATCATTGCCTGGGCCTGCTGCGCTAGCTGTGGATTCCCTCCGCCTAGTCCGCCGGGTAATCCGCCGAAGGCTCCTCCAGGCATGCCGCCAAGCCCTCCTCCCGGCATGCCGCCCGCTAGGTTGTTCAACAATGGATTGGTCATCCCTCCGGTGGAACCTGGCATTCCTCCAAACCCGGCTGAATTTGGTACTATTTGTGCTGGGAGCTGTTGCGGCGGACGCTGCTGCGGCAGTTTCGACTCTTGGGTCGAAAGCTTCGAACAAGCAAGCCGCAAGTCACTTAGAGACAGGCGTGATGGATCGAAAACCCAGTGATCAACGCCATCTACCTCATCCGGAGCAAAGCCTAACGCTAGAATGCACTCTGTGCCGCCTGGACACTCCGCTACTTTTTTGTTAAATGCCGGATTTTCCATCTTGATTCGGCGATACTTGACTTCGCTCGGATTGTCGACGACTTTCATGAAGAGGGGAGAAATGCTAATTTGACGAGTTTTTTTAGGTACTCACAATTGTGGTCTCCTCAGCGACAAGCATGCCCTCAAGCTAACAGAAGTTGCAATCTTTTGCATAGGCTGCACTGATGGTTGTACAGATTTCGTGAAGCATTAATACTGGAACTAGAATTATTTGAAAGGTAACAATCTGATTTATTCTCCGCCATACTGTTGAGGCACATCTTGTTCAATGTAACAAGACAGGCGCGCTTCTTGTCTACATCAGAAACGCCGCAGACCTCGGACAGCGCGCGATCGAAATCTGCCAAACTCGACGACGAAGACGAGGCAGCTCATACTTAGATAGCGGACGTTGACTTCCATTTAACGTAGTAAATCATAGTCGGAGACAGGATCGTTTTGATGATGTCGTTCTACTTATATACCAGCATTTGAATCAACTAGTGATGAAGATGCTTGTGTGTAAGAAATCAACAAAATGAAATCACGAGCTTCTACTCCCTGTGAACAAAGTAAAATCAAACGCACGCAGAAGTTGAAGTATAGCTTCTATTTTTCTTCTACAAGTCATGAATGAGAGAGGGAAGTGGTAGATAGATCCACATCCAGCATCATCTTCACATAAGGTGTTGTGCCCAAAGCGCCTGGTACTGTGCTTGTGGTGTTCTGGAATGGATTGAAACTATTGCCGCTATTTTGTTGTCTCATCTGCCTTTCAAAGCCCTCGATCAGTCCGCGCATTTGTTGGCCTTGTGGCGTCGACAGAGCTTCATCCGCTACATTCACAATGCGGCTCGGTACTTCGGTCACTGTTGTATGGTATATCTAATTTTGTCCTGTTGTTCTCCCATAAGGTTTTGTTATGTCACCATGGTGCTGTATTTCTTGCAAGTCGTGTGCGAAGCTGTGACAGCAGGACTTCTTCAGAGGCAAAAAAATGAAAATTTAGCCTTTTACCCTGACCATGCAAAACGAATTCAAATGCTTCGACATCCTTGAAGATCGATTATTTCTACAAGTACCTTCTAAAAACTTTGCGACTGCGTTGGCGAAGTGATTGCAATTGTGCGACAGAAGGTTGTAAGTTTCCGTTGTGTATTGTGGTGATATCTGTGTCAAAAATTGTCCGAGTTCGCTCTCGGTCTTTGACGTATTCCCCAGCTCTATGACCTCACATGGCGGCATGGGAACGGCCTTGCCTGCCTCTGTCACGCATACGCCGCCGCCAAAAAAATACTCCTTGCCAAAGCAAACTATCCCACTATGCGGAATGATGTCAACCTGGTCGTAGGTAGGGAAGTGAAGTGAAAAAGCATTCGTCCAACAACATTCTCATTGCGTTCGGGACAAGCTGATATTGTGGATTTGGCTTCTCAGCATCCATAGGCATAGTTAAAATTGTGGTTTTCTATTGCGTCTGAGCACATAACGTGGGAGAGTACCTGTTTTCCCAATAGGGGCATCGACATCATTCTTGCCATTCCTTGGCTAATGTCATAGACATAGCATTGCACCCGCGTCATTTTCAAAAATCACCGAGAACGACTGGTCTGCAACTACCAAGAGGTTAGATAAACTTGCGGTAAAGGTCCTACGCTCTGTTCGAAATTCCAAAATGAAAGTCACGCTCTTTTATTTTCCGTTGCAGAGGTCAGAAACTAAAAAAACAGCTGATATTTGAAGATGATGCTTTCTCTATTTCGCTTCATGGCGGAAAGGAGCTCGGATGACAACAGCCTACAATAGCGCTTTTAGCTTCACGAAGAACTGTCTTCGCAACAAGATCCCGACCAAGAAAGAAGTCAGGGGGAGCTTAGGGCTGATGCACGTAGGAGCCTCCGTAGAGAGGTTGGAGAAAAAGGGTCTGCGTTTTTCATGTATTGGAATCGAAATTATTTAAGTGGGCGTCGCTTGCATTGTTTTTTGATTCGTTTGACGGAACTAGATTGTTGCCTAGTGTAAAAGCGAATGTGAACACTGTTGATCAGCGATTTGCGATGTTCCGATTGGTTCTTGTCTCGTCATGAGTTCCTATGAGTCTCTCCAGAATAAAAGAGAAACACTCGTGAATGGTTATGTAGTGATGCTGCATCGACCGGCACTCGTGCGTTTAAGAAATGGCGGTCATACATTTACGACGCGTGACGCCGCTGACCCACTTGCAGACGCGGGTTGGGTTGACCGAGAACTGGAAAGCGCGGCGCCGCACACGCACAGGGAGGCCCGTGGCAGTCTCCCCGGAGATCGTCGCGGAAAGGGTTAGAGCCTTGCCACGCTACAGCCCGTCAAGGGGGTTGTGTCTATGCCCATCGAAGACGAAGCGCGGACAGGTTGGCTGGCCACGCTCGTCAGGCTAGTTTCGTCGCTGGACTAGCTCCGTCGCCGGATTCGCTTCGCCACTGGATTGGTTTGGTCGTGGGGCCGGTTCCGTCACTCGGTCCTTAGCACCAGGCCCGAAGCCGGCCCCATGTGTGCGGGCCCGTGCCCCTTTTCTCCAAGGCCGGCTCCTTTCCCGGTTTTCTAGGAGTTGGGGCCACAACTGGGCCCGCGGTGCCTAGCAACTGGGCCCGACCATTGGCCGCCGATTAAGAACTTGCCGAAGTCCCTTCCAGTGCGAGGCGGCCAAAGCATCCAGCGCCCACGCCACCCCTGCCCAAGGCCTTCGCGATGTAGTGAGCCACACACAGGACCGAGGCGGCAAGAGATGCCCGCTCTGTGTCCCGGGACCGCTACCCAGCCGCAGCGAAACTGGTGACAAGATGCCAGAAAAGCACAGAAAAGAAGAGAAGGCAACACACGAAACCGATGACAAAACGGGCGGCACAAAAGCAAACCGCGGCCACGCCTTGGGCAGGATCGGGGGAAGCAAATGAAGACAAGAAGGGGCAAAGAAATCCAAAAGGGAACCGAAGCAGCGCCGTCCCTTAGCGGTTTCGCTTAAGAGCTTTGCGGGGAGGACTCCGATGGCGCGCAAGTGTCTCCCGAGACAGCATAACAGGACTGCGGCGCAGAGGTGGCCGACCCGTGGCATTATATAGAGAGGGACGTGAGGAGGCGGGAGAAACAAACGAGAGAAAGCAGCCGGCGCGAAACCGCTAAGCAGTTGCCAGAAAAGCACAGAAAAGAAGAGAAGCCAGCGCGCGAAACCGATAACAAAGCGGACGGCCCAAGAGCAAAACGCGGCCACGCCTTGGGCAAGACTGGGGGAGGTAGATGGGGAAAAAAAGGGGCAGAGAAATCTACAAGGGAACCGCAGCAGCGTCGTCCCTTAGCGGTTTCGCTTAAGAGTTTCGCGGGGAAAGGAGAGCCGCGCACCATAGCGGGGGGATTTGCGTTCTGTTTCGGCATCGTCGGCGTGTTCGCTGCAGGTGGCGCCAGCTCTCCGCGCAGTCTCTCGGCGCCGCCGTCGTGGTGGTCGTGGACTTCCAAGGGTGCACGCACGGCCCCCAGCCCTTTCCCCGTGGGTTCCCACGAAAGGCGGACGCCTGCCCAAGCCACTCCCTTCACTAGAGACGACGCCGCCAGCAGATACCCCACGCCTCGCGGGTGGCATCTTCCTCCTCACTACGACGACCACAAGCAGAAAGGGCAGCGCGGTCCGCTCTTCACGGGTTCGCACAAAGGACAGACGCCGGGACAAGCCACGCCCTTCACTCGAGACGGTGCCGCCAGCAGATACCTCACGCCCCAGCTGTAGAACCTTCAGCAAGACGACCACAAGCATAAAGCGCAACGCGGTCCACTTTTCGTGGGTTCCCACGAGAAACGGACTCCCGGCCAAGCGTTCCCCCCCGCTAGAGCTGACGGCGCCAGCAGATGCCCGATAAGGATGCCTCGCACCTAGTGGGAAACGCCTTCCCCACGCTAACCACGAGCATAACGAACAACACGACCCCCAGCCCTTTCCTCGTGGGTTCCCACGAAAAGCGGGCGCCGGTCCAACCCACTCCCGTCACTAGAGACGACACCGCCAGCAGATACCTCACGCCTCGCGGGTAGCGTCTTCTTCTTCATTAGGACGACCACAAGCATGAAGCGCAGCGCGGTCCGCTTTTCACGGGTTCCCACGAAAAACGGACGCCGGGCTAAGCCATGCCCTTTACTCGAGACGATGCCGCCAGCAGATACCTCGCGCCCCATCTGTGGCATCTTCATCAAGACGACCACAAGCACAGAGCGCAACGCGGTCCGCCTTTCGTGGGTTCCCACGAAAAACGGACTCCCAGCCAAGCGCCCCCCTCCGCTAGACCTGACGGCGCCAGCAGATGCCAGATAGAGACACCCCGCACCTAGTGGGAAACGTCTCCCCCACGATAACCACGAGCACAACGAACAGCACGGCCCCTAGCCTTTTCCTCGTGGGTTCCCACGAAAAGCGGACGCCGGCCCAAGGCACTCCCTTCACTAGAGACGACACCGCCAGCAGATGCCCCCCGCCTCGCGGGTAGCATCTTCTTCGTCATTAGGGCGACCACAAGCATAACGCGCAGCGCGGTCCGCTTTTCACGGGTTCCCACGAAAAACGGACGCCGGGCCAAGCCATGCCCTTCACTCGAGACGATGCCGCCAGCAGATGCCTCACGCCTCACGGGTAGCATGTTCAGCAAGACGACCACAAGCATAAGGCGCAACGCGGTCCGCTTTTCGTGGGTTCCCACGAAAAACGGACTCCCAGACAAGCGCTCCCCTCCGCTAGGGCTGACGGCGCCAGCAGATGCCAGATAGACATAGACTTAGACATAGAGATGCCTCGCGCCTCGTGTGAAACGTCCTCCCCACGACGACGGCGAGCATATATAACGAACAACACGACCCACAGCCATCTCCTCACGGGTTCCCACGAAAAGCGGACGCCGGTCCAAGCCACTCCCTTCACTAGAGACAAAACCAGCAGCAGCAGCAGCAGATCCCTCGCGGCTTGCGGCTAGCGTGAGCATCTTCGTGCTTGTTAGGACCACAAGCATAACGCGCAGCGCGGTCCGCTTTTCACGGGTTCCCACGTAAAACGGACGCAGATGCCTCGCACCTCCCGGCTAACGGGTGGGCGTCATCACTCTCAAAGAAAGCGACGCGCTGCGAGTATCAATTGCCCGGAATTCGTGGGCCCCCACGAGTTAGCACACGCGGGGGCTCCAAATTGTCCGCAATTCGTGGGCCCGCACAAAAAGCGGACGCAGATGCCTCGCATCTCACGGCTAACGGGTGGACGCCGTCACTCCCAAGCGACGCGCTGAGAGTGTCAATGGCCCGAAGTTCGTGGGTTCCCACGAGTTAGCACACGCGGGGGCCCCACAGAAAGCGGACTCCGATGCTTCATATCTCACGGCTAGCGGGCCCCTCGCCAAACTCTTAAGCGAAACCGTTAAGGGACAGTGGTGCTTCGGGGCCGTTTTCGATATTTTGCCACTTTTCTGCACAGTTTGGCACGCCAGTCCCTAGACCGCGGGGCCAGGCAGTTCGCCTCTCTCCTTTTCCCATTTCCTTATCGGTTTCGCCTCCGTCTTTCCGGGCTCTGCTCAGATGCTTCCGCCATTCCCTTATCGGTTTCGCCGCTCGCTCGGCGTGCCCGTCTTCTCTGCAATCCCTCCGGCTACCGATACAAACCGAATGAGACGACAGGCGACACCATCAGACACGGGCCCGCCCTCCTTTTTAAGAGTCTGGAACACCATTAACGGGAAAGGCTACGCCTGTGCGCCTGTAGCTCTCAGAAGTGCGCCCGGTATAGGTAGCACACGCACACGAAGAAGGCCAAGGAGATAACTTCAATCGCGAACATCTTCTGGGAAGGCCGCAGAAGCTTGGTGAGACACCCTGCCTGGCGCATCGTCCCGCTGGCGGCCGAAGGCCGCCAGGGGCGATGGGGCGTGGGCTAGTCCTTCAGCTACGCGGCCGCCTGTCAGGAGCGTTCCCCCGCCCCCCTTTTACCCCGCGCCCCCCTTGTACAAGGTTACATGGTTGGGCACAGTCCGGGGGCGCGTTCTTTGCTGCAGGCTCGTTATATGGGTTCACAGTCGCGCAAACCTTTAACCTTGTACAAGGGGGGCGGGGGGCGAGATGGTCACGCATTGCCCCTCGTCCTTGCCGCCAGAGGGACGGCGCGCCACGCTGCGCTGGTGGGCGCGTGGTGTGCGCCGCATAATCCAGCGCGAACAGCCCAGCAAGGCAGCCCTCTGCCTCCTCGTCCTTGACGGCCTACGGCCGCCAGAGGGACGACGCGCCACGCTGCGCTGGTGGGCGCGTGGTGTGCGCCGCATAAGCCAGCGCGAACAGCCCAGCAAGGCAACCCTCTGCCCCCTCGTCCCTGGCGGCCTACGGCCGCCAGAGGGACGACGCGCCACGCTGCGCTGGTGGGCGCGTGGTGTGCGCCGCATAATCCAGCGCGAACAGCCCAGCAAGGCAACCCTCTGCCCCCTCGTCCTTGGCGGCCTACGGCCGCTAGAGGGACGACGCGCCACGGCACAGAGATTAGACACACGGCAGGAGCACACGAGGGGAGCACATGCGAAGACGTAGAACACAAGAGCAGCCAGGCCAGAAGAACACAGACCGACCAAACTGGAACAAAGACGAGCCAAGCCAGGGGAACACAAGCCGACCAACGTGAAACAACCAGACGGCGGCGACCTCTCTCGCGTGTCTCCTGAAATGAAAGAAGTGGAAGCAGATAGAGGCGCGCGCGGTTTTATCGAAAAACCGCCGCGCGGAGACCTATGAAAGTTGATGGACAGCAAACTACGCTTTATGGCTGCGCGCCTTCTAACAAATATGTAGAACATAATTGGCCGTGTGCCCAGAAAGAAACTCCTTTCTTTAATGAAGAAATCTCCGAATGAACTATGCTAGTAAATGCATGGTCATAAGCTGTTCTCTGCTCGAGTCGAAATCTGAAACAGCACAACGAGAAGATGCAAAGTATCTCTGTGTGAGAATGCCAAATGTCTGTTGGAGTGAAATGGAGATATCGATCGTACCTATGGGAAGTTGGAACAACGAGGTGAGTTGATCGAAGGGAT